TCAAGGCCGTTTTGAGCTTCTGGAAAGCGTCCGTGCACTCTGGGGTCCAGGAGACCTGTTTGGGAAGGGCCTTTTTGGTAAGGTCCGTGAGGGGCTTGGCCAGGGCGCTATATTCTGGGACGAACTTCCTATAATACCCGGCCGTCCCTAAGAAAGCCAGTACCTGGGTTTTGGTCCGGGGTTGGGGCCAGTTAGCTATGGCTTCTACCTTAGCGGGCTCTGGGCGTTGTCTACCGGAGCCGACACGGTGGCCTAGATACTGGACCTCGGCTAGGCCTACGTGACATTTGTCGGGTTTCAAAGTGAGCCCGGCGAGGTGGATTCCTTCGAGTACTCTGGACACATGACCCAGATGGTCTCCCCATGTGCGGCTATAGATGGCAATATCATCTAGATACGCACATGCGAAGTCCTGCAACCCCTCCAGGAGCCTATCCGCCATCCGCTGAAACGTAGCCGGGGCGTTCTTCATCCCAAAGGGCATAACCTTAAATTGGTATAGCCCAAACGGGGTGACGAACGCCGACTTGGGGATGGCCGCAGGCTCCAAGGGGATCTGCCAATAACCCTTGCACAGGTCCAGGGTAGTCAAGTAGTTCCCACCCGCCATACGGTCTAAGAGCTCATCTATTCTAGGCATGGGGTAGGCATCGGTTATGGTACGGTCGTTAAGCCTCCGGTAATCTACACAGAAGCGCGTAGTACCGTCGCGCTTCGGTACTAGTACCACCGGGGAGGCCCAAGGACTTTGGGAGGGTTCTATTACCCCTAGCCGTAACATATCCCTTAACTCGGTGAGCATACTCTCACGTACTGCTTCCGGGATCCGATATGGCTGTTGCCGTAGGGGCGTCTCTCCCTGGGTTTCCACACGGTGTATCGCAGCGGAGGTATAGCCGGGGGTAGCGGAAAACATCTCTCGGTATCCCTGCAGCAGATGGGTAGCCTCACCTTTCTCCAGGAGGTCTAAATTTTGCCCCAAGCTTACTTGGTCAATAGTACAGGGGGTGGTCTCCAGTAAGTCAGGCAGGGGAAGCCCTTCACTATCCTCTGTGGCGGGGGCGCACACGGCGCCCACCTCCTCTGTCCTTTCAAAATATGGTTTGAGCATGTTCACATGGAAGGCTTTTGTCAGCCTTTCATCTGAGCATTTGCTCACGATGTAGGTAGTCTCGCTAACCTGTTCCACTACCTTAAAGGGTCCCTGCCAGGCTGCTTGCAGCTTGTCCTTTTTAACGGGCCTCAGAGCCAGTACCTTCTGCCCTAAGTCCAGCACGCTATCCTGGGCCCTCCTATCGTACCACTTTTTCTGGTCCTCCTGGGCCGCCTGCAGGTTCTCCCGAACCGATTCGGTGAGGGCCCGCAGACGGTCCCGGAACTCCAGGACATACTGGACGATAGGGACTCCCCCCTCCTCTGTATTGCCCTCCCAGTGTTCCCGTACGAGCTCCAGTGGGCCCCGAACTTTTCTCCCGTACAGGAGTTCGAGGGGGGAAAACCCAGTGGAGGCCTGGGGCACCTCACGGTAGGCAAACAGAAGGTGGGGAAGGAATTTTTCCCAATTCTTGTGGGACTCTGTAAAAGTTTTTAGCATCTGTTTTAGAGTGCCATTGAAACGTTCACAGAGCCCGTTAGTCTGGGGATGATACGGGGCGCTGAACAGGGGTTGCACTCCGCAGCTCTGCCACAGTTGTTGCGTCAGGGTAGCTGTGAACTGCGTCCCCCGATCGGAGAGTATCTCCTGCGGGAAACCTACTCGGGTGAATATCTGAATAAGGGCCTCTGCCACGGTCTCGGCCTCTATATTGGTGAGGGCGACTGCCTCCGGGTATCTAGTGGCGTAGTCAACCACCGTTAGGATAAACCTTTTGCCCGACGGACTGGGGCGACTGAGGGGACCTATTAAATCCACCGCTACTCGGTGGAAGGGCTGTTCGATGATGGGTAGGGGGTGAAGCTTAGCCTTCCGAAGGTCTCCCCTTTTCCCTACCCTTTGGCATACATCACATGTCCTACAATAGTATTTTAGATCCTGGGTGGCTCTGGGCCAGAAGAAGGTTTGAGTTAACCTGTCTCTGGTCTTTTTGACCCCTAAATGTCCTGCTAGGGGAATGTCATGACTGAGTTTTAACAACTCAGCCCGAAATTTACGGGGCACAACTAACTGTCTTTTATGACCTGGGTAGCCCCCTGTCCCACCCCCTCGGTTACCCTATATAGCAACCCCTTATACCACTCAAATTTTTCGTGCGGGTTGTTCTCGGGGGTAGCGGCCGCGGCCTTCCTATAGCCTTCTAATGTGGGGTCAGTACGCTGTTCCTGTTCAAACCCCTGGGGGGTATCCCAGAAGGGTACGGGGGGGATCGGGTAAAGGGGGTATTTCGACTCTTACCTGGTTCTCCTCAGAGTGCAGCGGAGCTTCCAGTCTGGCTTGAGCTCGGGTGGTAACCGGGTAGGCCTCGGCAGGGGGGTCTCGGGCTAGTTGGGAGGTTAGGCATCCCACATCATTTCCCAACAAAACCTCGGCGGGCAGTTCTTGCATAATCCCCACCTCCAGTTGTTTAGACCCGGAACCCCAATCAACAAACATATTAGCGGTGGGTAGTTTGTGAATAGCGCCCCCAGCCACCCTTACAGCGACTGTGCGTCCGGTGCGAGCTTGTGCTCTGACCGTGTGGGGCTGTACCACAGTCAAAGTAGCCCCAGAGTCTCTCAGCGCCCGGGCCCCCACGCCATCGACGGTAATCCATTGGCGGTGGTGGTCCCGGTTGTCCCCCCAGCTTGTACTGGATTGACCTCATGTAATACGCTCCACTGTTCTTCGTGGTTAAGGGCAGGGCCTGTGTGTTCCTGTTGCACACAGTGAGCAGCTGCCCTGGGTTGTTGTGGGGCTGGCCGTTCCCAGCTTCCCCGGTTTAAGCGAGGGCACTGATGCTTGTAATGTCCTGGTTGCTTGCAGTAGTGGCACACTGCAGGAGGTCGAGGTGTGTTTGCTGGATTCGGTGGGGGGTTACCTATGGCAGGTCTAGGGGGAGCCGGGTTTGTTGGAGCTGTGTACTGAGGCTTAAATGGTGGTCTGCTCGCCCCTGGCTCCTTCCTCCTGTTATCCTGGTACTCGTCCGCTAGCCTAGCGGCCTACTCCACGGTTTTTGGTTTCCTATCTTTTACCCAGTCTTTTATGTCCTCTGCAGTATGATTAAAAAATTGCTCCAGTATCACTAGTTGCAAAGCTTCTTCTAGGGTGGTTGCCTGGCAGCCCTTCATCCAATTGCGGGCTGCCCGCTGCAGGCGAAAAGCCCATTCCGTATGGGAATCTCTCCCAGTCTTTCTCAGGTCTCTAAACTTTTTCCGGTATGCCTCCGGAGTTACCGCATATCTGGCCAATAAAATGTCTTTTATTTTCTCATAATTATGTATGTCCCCCTCAGGTACTGCTCGCAGCGCCTCGGCTGCTCTACCTGACAATTTACTGCTGACGACTGCAGCCCATTTGGTGGAGTCTAATCCCTCCAGTGCACACTGACGTTCAAAGTCTTGCAAGTAACTGTCAATTTCCATTTCATTGTCAACAAATGATTTAAACGCTGCATAATTTACCTTCTTTGGTATTTCCCCAATACTTCTCGGGGAGTGTAGCAAATCCCCTGTGACGATCTGTCCCGGTCATCTCGCTCTTTTTGCGCTTGTCTGGCTTGTGCTACGACCTGCAGTATCGCCTCTGAGGATGGATTGGGTCCCAATAAACTGAGTGTCCATCGGATGTCCTTTTGCATCACGGTTTCTTCCTCTTGGTCCATCTCTATATTACTGGTATTATCGCTCTGCCTTAACTCCGCAATTATCGTGGCTTTTGTTTTGTTACTTGCCACTCTGCCTCGAGCTTCCAGTAAGTCCTTTAGCGTGGTTCTTTTAAGTAGCTGGTACTGCTGAGCCATTCATTCCTTTGCTTGTTTTGAAATGTCCATTTGGGATTCGAATCCCTCCGCTTGCCACCAGTTGTAAGGAAATCAAGTATAGCTGAATCGCTTTGATAATTCCTCCTGCAATGTCAGCGTCCAAGGTAGCTCTAAGCAATGAAGTCCATAAGAAATATAACAGCTTCCCAAGATAATCCCCTTGGTAAAGCATACGAATTCCCAAATAACAGTCAGAGTCCAGAATCAGGGTACAAGTAGATCTGAGGTCTGGAATCTCCAGCCTGCTTTTTATTAGGGTTACAGACAAAAAATACACACCCAGGGGGAGGCATTAAATCACCAATCAGGTACAGGTTACAGCCCCTACCTCCCTCCCCTCTGATAAACAGTTAACTTCTTTAAAACGTGCACTATTTTACCCCAGTTCTGGATGTACCCCAAAAACAGGGGGTACACCTTTAAATTGGGCACCGCTGGATAGTGCTCACTTGTGGGGACAATATGTCAAAAAATCAGTCCATTCGGATGAATGGTTCAGGAGTTATGGAGCACTAAAGTTTTGACCGACCGCACGGATCATCTAGCCTAAAATAGTTCCATAAGTTTTGGCCCTGCGGTCGGTCTCCGTTTAGGCGAATAAAAAAAGACGAAAGTCCTGCCATCCGTTCGCATCTTCGTGGTCGTTGAAATCCCCATACGAAGTTGCATGTAACTACCGAACGGCCGGTGATTCGGTTTTTCCCGTTCGAAGTTCTGGATGTATGGAGGTCTCAGCGGTGTTCGCCTGTTTGCGTATCCGATTTTAGTTCCACGCGTTGACGGGCAAACACCGCTGTTCGCACGTAAAATGGCCGCGACCACGTGTAAAGTGCCGAAATGGCGGCCACCTAGATTTTACACGGGGAATTCGCCTGAATCCATCCGAAGGGTAGAAATTATAGCTATATGCCGAATTCCAGCTGAATTGGGTGAATTAACTGTGCAACAAAGGTAGAAATCCTGATGAACGGAGTCATTTCTTCACAACCTCCATGCAGAGAGACTACCAATCGGATGAAATATCTACTCAACTGGTAATTATACTGGTTTCATTTAATTAAATTAAATTAATTAAATTATATTAATAGCATTATATATGACTGGATAAAGCACGGTCAGATTTCCATATTAAGAAATCTTAGTTAACTAAGAATATATAGTTAGAAACATTCCATTCTGCAGGTGGAATTAAGAATAATTATATATTGATGTGATATTATCACGTGTTAGCATACCGCTGTTTTTATCCAGGTGTATTGATTTGCTCTAAATTAAGATAGATATCTTTAGACAAATTAAAAATCTGCTTATAAAACATATTAGACTCTATTATTGGATGGTTTAAGAAAATGAATTTAAACTGGTTTAAATGTTATTTTATTTAAAAATTACATAAGAATAGATCTTAACTACCTAGGAGATCTAGCCAGCATTGAAAGGGTTATTCTAACTGTCTGCTAAACTTTACGACCTCACGCTGCACTCTGAGGAATTCTGTTCTTCTGTGAAAAGTTTCACTTTCAGCCTGTGTTAAAGATAGTCATAAATAATTCTTGACAGGAAATGCTATTTAGCCATTGTAACGTAATACCCATTTCTTTGTATTGCATATAATTTTATACTGAATATTCATTGATTATTGTTATGCATGTTACATAATATTATTTGTTAATTATTGGTTATCATAAATAAAATCTATTTTTATACATTGTGATATTATTATATGAAATACATTCCACTTAACACGATAAACGTTCTTTGGGATCTGAGAATTGAATTAGTGGGCAATTCTCACTGTTACTATTATTATCCCATAAATATCCCCACAGTAAACTTTGACCCTGCACCTCACAGTCAGCAGACGCATTCCAGCCAATCAGCAGCAGACCCTCCCTCCCAGACCCTCCCACCTCCTGGACAGCTCACTAAGAATGCAGCTTCACAATGAATGTAAAATGGATGCTGTCCAGGAGGAGGGAGGGTCTGCTGCTGATTGGCTGGAATGTGTCTGCTGACTGTGAGGTACAGGGTCAAAGTTTACTCAATGATGACATGGGGGGCGGACCGAACAGCGCATATGTTCGCCGTCCGTGGCGAACCGTTCGGCGAACTGTTCGGGACATCACTAATAAGCTGTTAATGACATTTCCACATGAGTAAATATGAAAGGATAGATTGCAAAAATCAATAGATGGTATGTCTTGATATTTTTACTTTTTGAAAATAGTAAACTAGAGAGAATTTAAAGTCGTTTATCATGTTATGCAAACACATTTGGGTCTGAGAAACAAGATAGGCAAGTCATGAATCAGACTAGAATGTCACATATGAAAAAACAAAAAGGAAAACCTCTGGAACGTAGCTTCTTATCACGGTTAATCATAGACTAAATAAAAAATTAAGCAAACAATATTGCAAGAATGGTACTAGCAACAGCAAGGGCCTAAAAGGGCAGAAAGATGTAAGGCGGTGAAATGAGCTTTTGAATGGAATAGGCTGTTTGCCCATGGCAGGAATGTCAGCCAATGCCCCGAATCGGAATTGCAGGATATTCACTGCTTAGTGTGGCAAAATGGGAGCGCGGCAGACCTGAATGAAGACCAGAATTCTTGTACCACAGACTCGGGTGCATATATAGTCCATCCCTATTGGGAGAGTACTGTTAGGAGCTCCTGACGGTGTGCAGCCGCTATAGCGACAGGTCTCCCGGTCGATGCAACAGGGTCATCAGCCCAGATAGGCCAATATCGGAAGGAACTCGTGCCTTTGAAGATGCATCGCCCAAGGATGGCCCATGCACCTCACGCCCCTCTTGTCGTTTGCCATCCTGATGTCGATATGGTGGAGCCTTCATGTGTGCTTCTAATTGTTCCCAAAACCGCACAAACAGCATATCCAGTCGCTTCAATATTTGGTTGGCTGGGGGCGGAGCCAAGCAACTAAGCAGCTCAGAAGTGTTAGGAGAGAGCTCCCACGTCTGGGGACAAAATATGGGGAATTACACCCAGCTACCACTAACCACAAGCCGCAGACCAATAGCTGGGAGGGGCTGCTGCACAGAATGGTACCTCTCCCGAACACCGGTGCAGCCGACTGAATATATTGAGGCCTGCGGCCTACTCACAACTGAGCCATGAGGAGACAGCTGCTCCACAGGCACAAGAGCGGGAAATGGAACCCCCGGGAAAAGTCTCCCCCCCCGCCCGCAGGACCAGTGGGGGTTATCCCAGTCCACACATCAGAGCAGAGAACACCCTACAGAGCGCTGCATTAGGGCGCGCGGCAGACAAGCGAGAGCCACGAGGCCCGATTAAAATGGCCGACGGCTTCATTGCCCAAGCACAGCAACAGACTCCCAGCTACTGGGAGGCGGCCTCCAACGCAAGCTTTGAAGCCATGTGGGAGCAGTTCTGGGCCAAACTAGCACACAAGCACCGGCTACCTCAGCCACCAAACGCTGGGAAGCAGTCCAGACTACCTACGGCACGACAACCAGCCAGGGCCATACATCCTGGACAACCCACGACCGGGACCAAAAAACAGGTAACATACCTGCAACAAGCCACTGCATCTGAGAGACACGCACACCCACTACTGCCCATGGGAGCCCTGGCAAGCAAAGAGACCTCGGCAACACCTCCGCGAGGGGGAAAAGCAGGAGAGGCAGGCCCCAGCAGGCTCGCTGCATTGGTACCCTAAGGTGGACAGGTCTACACGGCCCGCAATACCTAGCCCGCCCATGAGACTGCATACCGCACACCACAGATGTGAACCCACCCCAGCGGGCTGCACCGCAGACACCCACGGTAAAACCAGCTCAACAGAGCTCCAGATACTCCAAGCGGCGCCCTCTGCTTCAAAAGTATGGGTCACACAATGCATGCGTTGATAAAAAGGGATACCGGCTTGCGCAACCACCCATGCTGGAGACATCACACAACCTGACAGCAATCCCAGCAACAATGCAGGTACACGCCAAAACACACAGAGACAGCACCACCCGGAATACACACCTGCCTGCCCTAAGCTTCACAATTCGGGGCATAGGCTGACTGTTCACTTGCGTAGCAGGGCAGTTTCACCATGCGCACCATGGACTTACCGATCCGCGGCTGTGGACACCTAGTCCCGTATGAACTATGAAACTAACAAGCATTTTGACCTGCCACGTATGATTATGATTTTTGTGCTTTTATTTCTTTTTTCTTTTACTATGCGCAAACTGGCTGGTAACTCACCTGTTGGCCGACTCGCGCAAGAGAGCGCCACCGCACTCACTTGCTTAGAGACCCAGTGACTCTCGCTCTCATAGTCCAGCATCGATATGCCTACTTGACAGATTCTTAAAGCCCCATGACACCCTGGACTGTGTAATAATGTTACCCCACATTGGAAGCAAGATATAGCCGTTGTTTACTGTTCTCTGCTACATCATCAGCCTATACCAGAATAGCGCAATCTGTCTACACACTACACATAAACCAACTATTGTTATAATGTAATTCACTATACCACACTACGACCACACTAGCAAAGCTAAACCAGTGCTGTTAAGCGTTGAACACCCTATTTTATCCCCGGTTAACTCACACTGTCTACATATATTGCATACCTTCTACCCTATTAAGCCTGTGTAGTTACTCGTGTCTTACTCACAAACGCAATGGTTTAGCATGTATATAACGCACTGATATCTAGGAAATGTTATCCGCTGACATCATATTCTAAACAACAGTTACTGTTCAATCTTTACCAAAAAATTAGCAAATTCCACCATGTACCTCTATGTTACAAATGAATATAACACGTGAGAGGATTGCCGTTGGGGTACCTCATAAACGAATGTAATCTGCAATTGCACAGCAAAAATAAAATATTAAAAAAAAAAAAAAAATAATATTTGGTTGCGCCATTTTGGGCCTTCTCAGACTGGTGTGGCTCATTTCCACGTGGTGAGAGTGAGTCCGCCATCTTAAGGTGTTCAGCCACAGACAAGCCAGAGGGGACCTGGATAACCCCCACTGGTTCAAAGGGGAGGGGCAGCAATATTTGGATTCTGCACAGACAGCAAAAGCATTAGGAGAGTGGCCACCTCTCCTCTGCTCATTCAAGTATAGGCCACAGAGCCTCGATTTGGGCAATCCAGTGGCAAGGGAGCTCACAAGTGGTATCCCCAGGAGCACCAATGTCCCCTGAGTAAGAAGATCGCTTTACTGTGGTCAGATTAATTTATGACTCAGGAATATTCCACGTTTGTAGGTGGCAGATGCAGGAGCTCTTGTAGCACACGTCTGGCCAGCTTGGTTGCCAGGCTCTGCCCCCTCTTAACCATAATCTTGTATTGTAGCAACTGGGTATAATAAAAACCATATGGTCATAGAAGTAGATATACTTTATGGGATGTGTTTTTCCTTAAATACGGAACATGATTTATTAAATATTCCTTGGGGTAAGTTGGGGATCAGAGAATAACTTTATACCAAACATGTTTTAGTAAATTTATCCTTATGGAGTGAAGTCTCTGTCAAAATCTAAATAAAAATGTGGGAGAACTGAGGAAGATTAGAAAGAAATAATGTTGAAGTATGTGTTTAAGGATTGAAGCAAGGTTTTTGCCCCCCAACCAAGATCTCTTCAGTTATATGAACTATCACCCACAGAGGTGTAAGCGTAAAGCAACCAACAACCAGCCGTCCACAGTGACAAGATAGGTAGACATTGCTATTAACAGCGTATATGACTAACATTTTCTGTAGAGAATTGAGGGAACTAAGTTGAATTAAACCGAAGGCCTAGAGCAGGTGTCTTAAACTGTGGCCCTCTATACGAGCCTTGAGTGGGCTGCCTTTTTGGAAAGATGGGTTCCCCAAGAAAGGGAGAAACAAGTAGGCATATAGAAACATAGAATGTGACGGCAGATAAGAACCATTCGGCCCATCTAGTCTGCCCAATTTTCTAAATACTTTCATTAGTCCCTAGTCTTATCTTATAGTTAGGATAGCCTTATGCCTATCCCACGCATGCTTAAACTCCTTTACTGTGTTAACCTCTACCACTTCAGCTGGAAGGCTATTCCATGCATCCACTACCCTCTCAGTAAAATAATACTTCTGGATATTATTTTTAAACCTTTGTCCCTCTATTAAACCTTTGGTGTTTGCAAGTCTTTCACCAGGCAAGACTTCTTCAGTAAATTGTGGGGGTTTCTTTAATGTAGCATGGGAGTAATTTGGGTGCTTTTGCAATAAAATATGAATAAATCAGCAATCTGCATCAAATTGAAATGTATGTTAAAAATCTTTGATTGGTAGAAATACAATTATAAAACAATAAAGAAGAGTAGTCACCAAAATAACTTTAGATTAATAAAGCAGTTTTGGTGTATAGATCATGCCTCTGAAGTTTCATCGCTCAGTTCTCTGCCATTTAGAATATAACGTTTGTTTCTGTTTATGCAGCCCTAGCCAAACCTCCCCTGGCTGTCACTGACATCCTGCATGAAAACAAAATGGGTTCATTCTCAATCAGATGTAATTTACTTTAAATGTTTTTATCTCCTGCTCTGTAAATTAAACTTTCATTACATACAAGATGTTCCTGCAAGGTCCAGCAAGCTATTAACAGAGCAGGAGATAAGAAATTCTAGATTAAACAGAATTTGCAATAAAGCAAGTGTTAATATTAGATGACTCTTTACAGGAAGTGTTTAGGAAGGCGGTGTAAGTCACATGCAGGGAGGTGTGCCTAGGACTGCACAAACAAAGTAATATAACTCCTAAATGCAGAGGATTGAGCAGTAAGACTGCAGCGGCATGATCTACACACCAAAACTTCATTAAGCTAAATTTGTTTTGGTGACTATAGTGTCCTTTAAGTTCAACAATATAGAAATAAGCCACAAGCATCTGTTACCTATTTATAATTCACAATAAGATAAATAATATAAATACTCACAGCACCTCAACAATTTGACCAAATTATCTTTTTCAAAGGCTGTATCTGAATATATTCGACCAGAGGTTTATATAGCCAGAAATATGCCAAGATGGCGGAGCTGTGCGGCAGAAGGGTCTAAAATTTCCTATGGTCAACTCCATGTCATTACGGCAGGCTTCAATTTCCTATGGCACAATGTCCAGTCACCATGACTACCAACCCTGCCAGGTGTACTCACCTACAAAACTTTATCAGGAAAACAAAAGGGTAAAGTCAATTGTAGCCCACCTCAGTTGCTGGGCACATTTAAAAAAAAAAATACTCATTTTAATCTCCCACTAAAGTGGGGAACTCAGAATACCTTATACCTGTCACAGACTCGAGGCTGCCACGGGGCCTCTTCCAGCACAAAAAAGCTGTACAGCGTTCTTGCAATAGTGGATATGCTGCAGTAAGGAAGCAATGAGGTAAACAACGCACATGCACCCAGACATCCTGATCTAAAAGAAAACATGATTCATCAGACCTGGCAACCTTCTTCCATTGCTCCATGGTCCAATTCGGACATTCACGTAGACATTCACATAGACGAGCTCCCCACGTGCATCAATGAGCCGCGGACGCCCATGACCCTGATGTCGGTTCACCAGTTGTCTTTCCTTGCACCACTTTTGGTAGGCACTAACCACTTCATACTGGGAACACCCACAAGACTTGACGTTTTGGAGACGCTCTAACCCAGTCAATTATCCATCTCTCTATTTGGCCCTTGTCACTCAGATCTTTTCACTTCCCATTTTCCCTGCTTCCAAGACATGAAAATCTATATTTCTAAATCCTTGCCATAGCATCCAAACTCATATTCAGTGAATATGCTACATTTGTTGTCATACCTCTAATAAAAGCTGCCAGGGGTCAAAACAGTGTTCCCATAGCCTTTAGCCATTATATTCAGTATACTTCCACATTTTGTGTCACTCCTTGTGTTTTTATAAATATTAGATTGTTGGATCCAGCCAAAGGAAAGTAACATTTATAAATACTGTTACCGACCTACATCACAAATTCTCCTGTCTCCCCTCAAAATCATGCATCCCCATGTCACATTTTTTTAGTCAAATTCCCTTCTATCAGATCCTCTCATTTCCTCTATAATTCTCCTGTCCTTCTGTGTCAGAAATGTATTCACAAAACACTGAATTGCAGTGAACGTGAAACTGAAATTAAAAAGAATATGTTAAAATAGTTAGGCTATGGGGCGGAGCCGGACCGCCGAGCTGGATGGTCGCATGCACACTCAGCTCCTGCAAGCCACCAAACTTTAAGCTTTGAAACTATGATTTTAAGCACTAAAACCGACCACCAGCGACGGTCCTCGGAGCAAAGCGAACACCGGATCCAGGGTGAGACTGGCTCATCGAGCTGCAGTCCCCTGGAGGAGAGGGCATCGATGCCCCAATCGGGGCCTACTCCGGCGGGGAGAGGGGCGGACGGCTGCTGCCCCACTATCCTGCCTAACATAACCCAGCCTACGGCCCAAACTTGTGTGGACATGGCCCTGTTCCAACCTTCCCCCCCCCCCGGACCGGTGGGGGTGATCCCGGTCCACACCCTGGGGCCGAGACCGCTGTGACAGAACCCGAGCCCAGCAACACTAACATCCTGAAATGGGGCCTGGACACTCCAGTTAAGATGGCGGACTCCATGTGCGCTGATGCTAGAGGGATGAAAAGCTCTCTCCCCGTGCCTGCAGCAAGCAACGTGACACCCAGGCGCAAGGTGGCTCGATGCCTGCTACTGCAGCATACAAATAACCACCATGATACCATAATGAGACGCCAGACCCCCCCGGGGCAATGCAAGACCGCGGCTCCAGAGCAGAAGCGGACAGAAGAAAGGGTGGTGCTGCGGGCCAGAGAGCGCTACACATCGCAGACAACTGACACTTGGCAAACACCGACTTAACCTCCAGATACCTTGGGAAATGGGTCTCTCAGGCAAGGTACCGTGCTGTACTCCTGGACTGCCGTATGGCGCCTCACAGCCAGCTCCGACGAGCCCACGACGCACAAAGTCAACCGACTTCGGACCACATTAAGCTTAATGAGGACACAAACAAAGCAGAGACCAAAGCGGAACACCCACCACAACACCACTTAGACCCCCCACTGGCTCAACGCCCCACAGAGATGGACTCTCAATTAAAGCCAAAAAGCGGTGTGGGTTGACAGCCTTTACAGGACTCCGCAAAGGGGCAAAACATAGCTCTCCTACACCTTGTCAGCTCCGACACCTCCACGGACGCTACCAGCAGAACACGAACAAACATGCTGTTTATTCAATAATAACTTTCCCGCATGTAACTACAGTTAAACATATGAGAACCACCCAGCATATAGGTGTTGTCTAGCATTTAAACTGGTCTGTTTTTCTGTTTTTCACATGCTCAATGGCGGGGACTGCGGGGATCTGTCACTGATAATGCTTTACCTTAAACTAGGGCAGGGGAGGGTTATGCTGACCCGTCTGGGCCTGGGGTTATATATATCTAACTAAACGGATATGCTTTAGATGCCCCCTATCTGAATTATCTGAATGATCTACATACCCTCACGCCAGTTGGCTTGGCCCCCGTGGTGTTTGCAGCCACTCCCGTTTACCTAGCATGTAACCACACAACTACTGTCTAAACAAGGCCTACCGCGATGTGCTTAACATGAAACTGACCAGTACCCACATAAGCAATTATGGGAGTGCCAGGGCTAGCATATAACATAATATTTCATTTAGACATAAGCAGTCCCATCCAAGCGTTACCTATCTTACCTAACTTATATATGTTATACTACTGCTTAATAGTCAACAGATACCAAGGCGTGAATAATCATACCAAACTGCATGCTACTTATAAAAATGTGCATGCATCAACATACCCCTTAATGTTTATAAAAAAGCGTGAGGATTGCCGTTGGGGTACCTCATGTGCGTTGTTATCTCATATGCACTGCAAAAATAAAGAATATAAAAAAATAGTTAGGCTATAACGAAGTTAGAAAATGTAATAAAAATCAACATTTTTTTACCTTTTTTACTTTTTAGTTTTTTATTTGCTACAATTCAGAGTTTAATGAATGAGCCCCAAACTTTCCTTGTCAATTTGTGATCCTCTCTAACCCTATTTTATTTTCCCCCTGTAGCTTCGTATGTCCTTTTAACCCTTCTCTCTTTCCGCACTTTGTTGCTCCATATTCACCATATTCTCTACACTGATTCTACCTTTACCCTTCCTAATTCCCTCACCCCATTCTCTTTCCTAAGTCTCTTTGCATTTTCCTGTAAACCTATTTTCTTTGAGCACCATTGCTCTGTATTCACGTCTCATCCTGTTCTTTAACCTCTATATTTTTACACTCCCTCCCACCTTACTCTCTAGCCCTTTTTGGCTGTAGTTCCACCTCGGTCATTTATCTCTAAATGCCTGTGATTGTTTTTCTTCCCCTTGTCCCTTTGTATTTCTTTCACACTATGTTCTTATTTTCACTTGTCTATTACTCACACCTTATTCTTTCTTCTCTATATCTCAATTTCCCTATTATTCTATTCTCTCTCTTTCACCTGTCTGTTTTTTTGGACATTCTTTCTCCCCTCCCTGTCTCTGTATTTCCCTCTCATTCTATTCTCTCTCTTTCACCTGTCTGTTTTTTTGGACATTCTTTCTTCCCTGTCTCTGTATTTCCCTATTATTCTATTTCTCCATCCTTTCAGAACCCTCCCTGTACTGTCTTAACCCATCCTGTCTACACACCCCCTTCTCTTCCTTCTCTCTATCGCATCTCTCAATGTCCCTCGCATTATTCTCCTTCCAATGCCAAATCTTTCCCAGTTTTACAACCTCCCTGCCATCACCTCCCCCCTCCTTTTTTTCTTTTTCATCCCTGCCTCTCTCCATTCCTCTCTTGTATCAGTCTCCTGTAGTCAGCCCTCCCATTCGGTGACAGCTCCCTCCCTGTCTGCTCACCTGGGTGTGAGCTCACATCGTGGCAGAAGATGTCCTGCCAATAATGAGCTTACAAGATGATGTTCAGTGTGGAGGACACGGCTGAGAAGTGACGGAGGGCAGGATGTTGCCCCCCCCTACTTTGATCAGAGCATGGGGGCTCAAAGAATGATATCTATTTGTACCAATTCCAGCTCCTGAGCACCATGGAGCCAAGAGATGCCCAGTTTTCCAAAGCCAGCCACCTGATGGCAGATGGAGAGGCTGGCATGGCAGGAGAGGAGGGGCCCGTGATGCTCTGTGCACACAGCTCATCTCCAGGATCTAATCAGCATCCTGTTGTCTCTGGACCTTTCAAGCATCCTTCTGTATCCAGCCAGCATCTTCGTTTATCCAGTCCCAGCCAGCATCCTTCTGCCCCCAGTCCCAGCCAGAATAGTTCTAGCCCTGGATCCAGCCAGCCTTCTCCAGCCACTGGAACTAGTCAGCAGTATCCAGCCCCTGGACCCAGCCAGCATCCGACTGCCTCCGGTCACAGTCACTACAGTTCTGATCCTGGACCTAGCCAGCATCCTACGGCCACTACATCAAGCCAATATTTTACGGTGCCTGGGCATAACCAGCATCTCTCCATCACTGGGGCTAGTCAATATGCAGCTGCCCCCATATTTAATCAGAAGCAACTCAAACCAGGGCACAACCACTCTCCTGTAAATCCTGGACCTGCACCACCTGTCCATAACCAGACATCTCAACCAGAACAAATCCAGGTTCTGACCTCAGATTCCAGCCAATATGGTCCTGCCACTGAACTCAACAAACCCCCTGCTCTTGAACCAGGTGTGTGTCCAACTCTGCCACTCTACCAACCAAATAATTTAGTACAAAATCAGACTCCACTACCACAGCATGTTCCTGAAATTGGATGCATCCACATTCCCTCCCCAAAGCAAAACCTGTCTCCTAGCACAACAATCAATCAATCTCAAGACTTGCAATTCATCAAGACTCCTCCACCAGGATCGGTCCAGGCTCCTGTACAAAACTGTAGCCCAAATCAAGTTTCCAGACCCAGGCTGCCTCCAAGTCAACCATCCAACAAGCCTCCTGGTCTAACACCGAGACAATCACCTGCTTCAGAATCCAAATTGCCTCCCTCCTCAGGATCAATTCAATTGTTTAACCCTAATAACCAGACTCCAATCCAGGCAACTAATCAGGCTACTTCTGAGAGAGCCAGCCAGAATTCAGCCAATGGATTAAACCAGCCCCCCTCCACAGGCTCAACTCAGCTTTATGGTCCAAGACCAAAAGTACTAAACCAGGCTTTTGCCACCGCAACCAATCAGACTCTTGTAGCACCCGTATCCCACCAAACTCCTGCATCTGGACCGAAGCAGGCACCTCTGGCGCCCAGACTTCCCCAATCTGCTGTTGTCACTGCACAAAACCAGACGTCTGCCTCCAGATTCAACTTAACTATTGTCCCTGAATCCAATCAGTCTGTTCCTGGAGCCGGCATGTTTCCTGCTTCAATCCCCAATGAGATTTTTGCGACTGACATAAACCACACGCTGGTTAGTGGACCTGGCCAGACTCCCATCCCTGCATCCTATATGTTTACTGGTCCTGGACCCAGCCAGGTTCTTGACACAAGACCCAACCAGTCCCCTGCACCCACGCCCAACCAATCCATAGTCCCTAGCATTAAACAGTCTGCCACCCCTGGATCTAACCTGTCTCCTGTCCCCACAGCCACTCAGAGTGCTGTCCTTGGGCCAAATCAGTCTGCTGTCCTCGCACCCAGCCAAATTCCTTCCTCTGGGCCCAATCAGCCTCCCACTGATGGATCTAATCACTCTCCTGCCAATGGATCCACACATTCTTCTTCTGCTGGATCCAATCAGTCTCCTACCCCTGTATCAAATCAGTCTCCCACCTCTGTTTCCAATCAATCACCTGCCCCTGGATCCAGTCAAAATGCCCTTCCTGGATCCAAACTTTCTCCTGCTCCTGGAACTATCAAGTGTCCTGTTTCTGAACCCAGCCAGACAGGGTCCAATCAGTCCCCAGCTGCAGAGTCCAACCAGAGTCCCACTCCTGGTCAGTTTCCAGACCCAGGACTCAGTCAAACTACAGACCCTGGACTAAGCCCCCTGATTCCCAAGTCAGACGCTCCTGAACAGAGTGACACAGAGTATCATGGAACTTTCATGCAGCGTCAATTTGGGGCCTTCTTACAGCCAGCTGTAAATAAATTTTCACTGCGGATGTTTGGGAGTCACAAGGCTGTAGAGATTGAGCAGCAAAGAGTAAAATCTGCTGGGTTCTGGATTATTCACCCTTACAGTGACTTCAGGTGGGTAGTTGGCATATTGAGGAGAGAGGATTCTCTCATCTATTAAAAATGCATGTGTAACACTGTTCATTTGTGAATCACACAATACTCTATGCTCCACTTTGTGCAGCATTTGCTGGTCCACCATACCCTGCTCCTCTTTGTGCAACACTCTCTACTACCCTCTGTACCATGCCCCCTGCTCCTTTATACAATATCCTACTACCCTCTGTACCATGCCCCCTGCTCCTCTTTGTGCAACACTCTCTACTACCCTCTGTACCATGCCCCTGCTCCTTTATACAATACCCTACTACCCTCTGCACCATGCTCCCTGCTCCTCTTTCTGCAACACTCTCTGCTACCTTCTGTACCATGCCCCCTGCTCCTATTTGTGCAACACTCTCTGCTACCCTCTGTACTATGCCCCCTGCTCTTTTATACAATACCCTATTACCGTCTGTACCATGCCCCCTGCTCCCTTTATATAATACCATACTACCCTCTGTACCATGCCCCCTGCTCCCTTTATACAATACTCTACTACCGTCTGTACCATGTACCCTGCTCCCTTTGTACAATATTCTACTACCCTCTGTACCATGCCCCCTGCTCCCTTTATACAATACTCTACTACCCTCTGTACCATGCTGCCCCTTTCAACCTTTATACAATACTCTGCTACCATCTGTACCATGCCCTCTTTATTCAATACTCTACTACCCTCTGTACCATGCCCCCTGCTCCCTTTATATAATATATTGCTACCCTCTGTACCATGCCCCCTGCTCCCTTTATACAATACTCTACTACCGTCTGTACCATGTCCCCTGCTCCCTTTGTACAATACTCTACTACCCTCTGTACCATGCCCCCTGCTCCCTTTATACAATACTCTACTACCCTCTGTACCATGCTGCCCCTTTCAACCTTTATACAATACTCTGCTACCATCTGTACCATGCTCTCTTTATTCAATACTCTACTACCCCCTGTACCATGCCCCCTGCTCTTTTTATACAGTACTCTGCTACCCTCTGTACCATGCCCCAAGCTCTCTTTATATAATACTCTACTACCCTCTGTATCATGCCCCCTGCTCCTTTTATACAATACTGTACTACCCTCTGCACCATGCCCCCTGCTCCCTTTATACAATACTCTACTACCATCTGTACCATGCCCCCTGCTCCCTTTATACAATACTCTACTACCGTCTGTACCATGTCCCCTGCTCCCTTTGTACAATACTCTACTACCCTCTGTACCATGCCCCCTGCTCCCTTTATACAATAATCTACTACCCTCTGTACTATGCTGCCCCTTTCAACCTTTATACAATACTCTGCTACCATCTGTACCATGCCCTCTTTATTCAATACTCTACTACCCTCTGTACCATGCCCCCTGCTCCCTTTATACAATACTTTACTACCCTCTGCTCCCTTTATATAATATATTGCTACCCTCTGTACCATGCCCCCTGCTCTTTTTATACAGTACTCTGCTACCCTCTGTACCATACCCCAAGCTCCCTTCATATAATATTCTACTACCGTCTGTATCATGCACCCTGCTCCCTTTATACAATACTCTATGTAGCGGATGGCATTGGGCTGTCCTAATAATTACAGTTATTGCTATGTGTTCGTTTAAATTGTGACCTATGTATGTGAAATGTATGCAGCATTCGACTGATTGTTCGGTAGAATCACTCCAGTTATTATGAGAGTGAAACTACCGAACAGTCAGACCACCCCAGTAGTAAGTGTGCCTCCAATTACCGTTTGCAACAATGTTGCAAACGGGTAATTGGCAATTCGTGTAGTGGGTTCTTTGTTCTCTGGGTGGCCACCATCCGGGAGACGAACACGTGGTGGCGGCCATTTTAAACTCCCGAACAGCGGTGTTTTGCCGTCGAGTGTCTGGAACCCAAATCGGACACTCGGCTAGGCAAACACCACTGAGACCTCCACACCACTGGCGGATCCAGGGGGGGGGGCAACGGGGCAATTGCCCCCCCGAGAAATCCGCCGGTCTCCCTCCCCTACCAGCAGCACATGCAGGTGCCAGCCCTGCAATGTGCCTGCGGACCGGAGGGGAGATCGGAGATCTCCCTCCCCGGTCCGCAGGCACTGTGCTGACAGCCGGCAGGGGAGGGAGAGGGAGGACCCGGGAGCTCAGTCTGCAGCTCCTCCGGGTCCTCCTCTCGCGAGGTTTGGAGCGTTGCCAACGCTCCAAATCTCGCAAGAGTGAACTCTAGCCCGGGAGCGCGGGCTAGAGTTCACTGTAACCACTGGGACCACCAGGGAATCACCACTGGGACCACCAGGGATGAAAATATGTCCCCCCCTCCTCCTCAGCGAGTAGCAGAAGGGGACATATTACCCAATTAAGATATATATTTAAAAAGCCCCCCCACCTTAACACGCACGCACACACACACACACACACACACAGCCCCATGCCCCCCCATACACATACACTTTATGCACCTTTACACACACACACACACACACACACACACACACACAGCTCACACACTGTCCCCCTCACACACACACACACTGCACCCCTTACACATTGCACCACACACACACCACTGCTCCTATGCCCTACTACCGCCCCATTTCCCAGCAGACCTCAGGTAAGTTGTGAAACTGTTCTTAAACGGTTTGACTACTTACTCTAGGAGGGGGTCCCGGCACTATTGACACCATAACCACTACACTGAGCTGTAGTAGTTATTGTGTCTGGATTATTTCTTTAAATAATCTACAAGTGCCCCTCCCGAGATCAGGCTCTGGATCCGCCACTGCTCCACACTGCCCTTAAATTCGTATAGAAACTACCGAACGGCCACCCGTTCGGTAGGAAGAAACACCCGAACAAGGGGATTTATGCGAACCCTCCCTAGTCTCCATAGCCCAAGTCTTTCATGCAGTTTATTCCCTTTTTCTGTGACCGACCGCAGGGCCAAAACGCATGGAACCAATTTCGTCTGTTACCTCCAGCGTGGTCGGTCTTTTTACTACTTCCACAAATCTCCTGAACCCCTGGTCCAATCTGGGTGATTTTTGGATATGTCACGCACCCAGATCAGGGCTACCAGGGGATTTAATATTTTTAGGGGTACATCCAGAAACCCAGGGAATTTGTGTCCTGCATAATAGGATTATGAGTCAGGCTAAGGGGAGGGGATGTGTGGGCGGCTACTCATGTATGATTGGATACTGTACTAATGATTGTAAATCCCTCCCTTGCATGGGAGAATGCTTTAAAAGAAGGTTGAGTGATTAAAAGTTCAGTTCTGCTCCTGATGCTGTGTGTCATCCAGTCATTGGGATCTGTATGGGAATATTCGTGGATTACATTGCTTGCTGGGATTATTGCTCTATGGTATTTTATTACTTGTTCCTGTACCATGCCCCCTGCTCCCTTTATATAATACATTGCTACCCTCTGTACCATGCCCCCTGCTCCCTTTAGACAATACTCTACTACCCTCTGTACCATGTCCCAAGCTCCCTTTATATAATACTCTACTACCCTCTGTATCATGCGCCCTGCTCCCTTTATACAATACTCTACTACCCTCTGTACCATGCTCTCTTTATATAATACACTGCTACCCTCTGCACCATGCCCCCTGCTTCCTTTAAGAAATACTCCACTACCCTCTGTACCAAGCCCCCTGCTTCCTTTATACAATACTCTACTACCCTCAGTACCATGCCCCCTGCTCCCTTTATACAATACTCTACTACCCTCTGCACCATGCCCCCTGCTCCCTTTATAAAATACTCTACTACCCTCTGTACCATGCCCCCTGCTCCCTTTATAAAATACTCTACTACCCTCTGCACCATGCCCCCTGCTTCCTTTATGAAATACACTACTACCCTCTGTACCATGCCCCCTGCTTCCTTTATACAATACTCTACTACCCTCTGTACCATGTCCCCTGCTCCCTTTATACAATACTCTACTACCCTCTGTACCATGCCCCCTGCTTCCTTTATACAATACTCTACTACCCTCTGCACAATGCCCCCTGCTTCCTTTATATAATACACTGCTACCCTCTGTACCATTCCCCCTGATCCCTTTATACAATACTCTTTGCTCCCACTGTATCATGCCCCCTGCACATCCTTAATAATCTGTATATGGATAATTGGATACATTTTCTGCATACACATATTTTAATATATGTATACATTTACACACATAAACTAATTCTAATTCACACAGCTCTCTACAGATATCCATTGCTCTGCACTCACATTACACTTTACATATAAACACTTTGCAACCACACAGCTTTAAATAGATACTCATTGCTCTGCATTCATAAAGCTCTGTATACAGATGCACATTGCTCTGCATTCAGACAGCTCTGTATACAGATACACATTGTTCTGCATTCATACAGCTCTGTATACAGATACACATTGCTCTGCATTCAGACAGCTCTGTATACAGATACACATTGCTCTGCATTCATAAAGCTCTGAATAGATACACATTGCTCTGCATTCAGACAGCTCTGTATAAGGATACACATTGCTCTGCATTCATACAGCTCTGTATGCAGATACACATTGCTCTGCATTCATACAGCTCTGTATGCAGATACACATTGTTCTGCATTCATACAGCTATGTATAAATGCTTTGCATGCCTACAAAATCTCTCTCTCTCTCTCTCTCTCTATATATATATATATATAAAAATAAACATTGCTGTGTATACACATAGCTATAGTCACATAGCTGAAAAGAGACGTGTCCATCAGTTTCAGCCTTTTTCACATCTGGTTTGGCTGTTGAGCCAAAAGAAGGCAAAAAGCCCAGTTTGAAGCACTTTCTGATTTTACAACAAACAAGGAAAATAAATTCCTTGTTGACCCAAGAATGGTAGTCAGATCTCTCCTTGGACCAAGAAGCTACCCCACATGTTAAAAATTATATCCCTGAATATTATGTTTTTGCAAGTATTAATTCTGTTGCTGTTAAACAGACTCTGATAAAACCACCTATTCAGTTAGAGAATTCTGCATCCTTATTATTCTTACTGTAAAAAATCCTTTCTTTTGCCTTAGACTAAAGCTCCTTTCTTCCAGTCTAAATGTGTGACCTTGTGTCCTATATATAGTCCTGTTTATGATTATATTATACATACACACATACACACACACGCGCGCACACACACACACACACACACACACACACACACATATATATATATATATATATATATATATATATATTGTAGATTGGATTAGCCTTATTAGTCGAGTAGTCCAATAAAAAAGGTATCATTGCATACTGCAATTCTCTGGTATTATGGCATCTTATATATAAACAAACAACAAGTCTTGATAAAGACCCGTTAGAGGTCAAAACGTTGCTTTTTTAATGCAAATTTCAATTCATTAATTGATTTATTTAAAAAGTCCAGTGAGTCCTCTCATTTTTTCGTTTATATATATATATATATATATATATATATATCTTTATACATTGCTCTGTATACACACACACCTATAAATGCTGATGCATGTTTTTCAGCAAAGCATCACTTTTTACAAATAATTACACTTTTGTCTGTATATTCACTCTTGGTAAACACATTGACAAGTGTACATTGACTTTGATTTGTATACACATAGCCCCGCACACATGCATATTTGCTCTTTAAATAAAAATGGCTGCACATGCCTATTGCTCTGTATAAAGATGCGCATTTATTTACACATACATGGGCATTGCTCTGCCTACATCAACATTGCTTTATACACAGAGATATATATTGTCCTGTCTGCAAACAATCTCTGCAGATAAAGCGTTTCCTGTAAAACTAAGCACTGTATACAGCACTCTATACATACTTCATCAATAGAGAAATACATTTTTGTGCACACAAGTACCATTGCTCTGCATCAATACAATCCTCTGCAAAAGGATATGGTGCTCTGGTTGTCTTTACTTAACCCCTTAAGGACACATGACATGTGTGACATGTCATGATTCCCTTTTATTCCAGAAGTTTGGTCCTTAAAGGGGTTAAAAGCAGTTTTCCTTACAAAGAAAGCCTTCTGCACATTCAGGTATACCATACCCATTGTACAAGGAAAGGTTAAATGTTCTTAACATGTATAGCTTGGAGGAAAGACGAGACAGGGGGGATATGATAGAAACATTTCAATACATAAAGGGAATCAACACAGTAAAGGAGGAGACTATATTTAAAAGAAGAAAAACTACCACAACAAGAGGACATAGTCTTAAATTAGAGGGACAAAGGTTTAAAAATAATATCAGGAAGTATTACTTTACTGAGAGGGTAGTGGATGCATGGAATAGCCTTCAAGCTGAAGTGGTAGAGGTTAACACAGTAAAGGAGTTTAAGCATGCATGGGATAGACATAAGGCTATCCTAACTATAAGATAAGGCTAGGGACTAATGAAAGTATTTAGAAAATTGGGCAGACTAGATGGGCCGAATGGTTCTTATCTGCCGTCACATTCTATGTTTCTACACAACCGTCTTCTTACACATGCAAAGCTGGTATGCAGCTGTAAACTGAGATATATTCAGTCCAGTCCAGATATATATCCACCTTAATGTCCCCAACCTAAGCCATAAATTGCCAAGTTACTTCCCTGAAATCCATTATCTCCAACACAAGCCATATTTTGCATCAGTGCTTCCCAAGATCTACTAGCTCAAATCCAAGCCATACATTGAACCATTACTTAAATGTGATCCATTGAGGGTTATTCACAAAAGTGAGAATTGAAAGTGAATTTCAAATGTAAGGCTAAAGAAGCCAAACTGAAAGCATAGCGGAATTAGAGAATGTTTTCCAGTTGGACTTTTTTTTTTTACTTTAAATGTAAAATTCCCTTTCAAAACACTTTGAATTCTTACTTCAGTAAATAACCATGATTATCTCCAACCCCCCAGTCCCAGCTATTTAATGTAGTGTCATTTCATTGAGAACCATCTATCAAGAGAAAAAAATATTAAAATGCAATTCTCTTGCATTCCAAAGTTCTGGAAAGAAAACATATGTATCTGTCAGTGTACAAATAGAAATATTAGAAGATCTGGTCCAAAAATATAGGCAAATTAAGTGGCGGGTAAATATGCCAGACTGGAGGAGACGCTGCATTGTAGAAGTCGAAAGATACTAATATACCGTATTCACTGGAAACGAATGTATTGGCAAAATAAAGTCTTAAAAAATTTGCATGTGCATTAGATCCGATGGCGCAATAGATTGGCGTACGAATGGTGCATTAGATGCTACATGCACACAACGCAAATTCACAGAGGCAAAATTTGTCGGGGCAAAATTTGCTGGTGGCGAATTTCGCATTGGCATCGCTGCGACAGTGAAGCAAGACTTGGTTTCTGTGTACTGTAATGCTGTACCTTGCCTCTTTGTCGCGATGCAAATGCAAATTTTGCCCTGCCAAATTTCACACGGGCGAATTTCAATTCGATCAGAGGGTGGTCCTCGCTTATCGAACTGCATGTTGTATAGTAGTATCTTTTTGTACGATTGCGCATTACATTCGCCAGCGAAATTATTTTTGGCTTCCAGGTTTCAAAATTTGAATGCGCATTAGATTCGAGTTAGTACAGTATTTCTTTATTCAAGTATCCTGTAATGTTAGTTCACTAATATAAAAACGAACAAAGGAGATGCAAATTTTTGATCAAATAGCAGAGATGAAAAAATATTTGTATTTAAGTCCCCCCCCGTCCCCCTCCCCCAGTTTGGCTACCATACCTTAAACTCTGCAATTCTATACACAGTCTACTCCAATTGCCTGCTTATTGAATAACCTATGACTCAGACAAACTTCCTTCCTACAGAAGAGATAGACATATCTATCCATGGTGCTGAATCACAGAGACAAGGCAAAATGTGCATGCAGGAGGAAAAGTTACGTACGTAAGATCAGGACATAAACATCTCATATATATGCAGCCGGAGGGGATTAATAATCAACTAATGTTACAAGTGTCCCCTGCTGAGGAAATGAGCATGTATTATGCACACACATACATTGTATCAACAGGAAACTGTTCTATATAGCATAATTTAGTAATATCTGTTCTCTTATCACGTCACCTAGGTGCTCTTAAAAAAAATAATATTATATTTGCACAGTAATTAATATATGGAGGGTGTTACTAGCTAATTAGATACAGTATCTCAGAAAAGAGAGTACACCCCTCACATTATTGTAAATATTTCATTATATCTTTTCATTTGACAACACTAAAGAAATTACACTCTGCTACGATGTAAAGTAGTAAGTGTACAGCATGAATAACAGTGTTAAATTTGCTGCCCCTCAAAATAACAACACACAGCCAATAATGTCTAAACTGTTGGCAGTACATCTAGGCCGCAAGCCTATTAATGCCTCATACAGTACATCTAGGCCTCAAGCCTATTAATGCCTCATACAGTACATCTAGGCCTCAAGCCTATTAATGCCTCATACAGTAAATCTAGGCCTCAGCCTGTTAATGCCTCATACAGTACATTTAGGCCTCAGCCTGTTAATGCCTCATACAGTACATCTAGGCCTCAAGCCTATTAATGCCTCATACAGTACATCTAGGCCTCAAGCCTATGAATGCCTCATACAGTACATCTAGGCCTCAAGCAGGGCCGGACTGGGAAAAAAATTAGGCCCGGGCATTTTTCAATCAGAGAGGCCCCCTAAGAAGGGGGCGGGGCCAGTGAGTGTGTTTTTTGTCATCACTAATGACAACACGCCCCCTCTCAAAGTGAGCATGTTGGTTCAATGCCCAGAGCCCTGCTGAAGAGCTCTGGCATTAGAAAAAGGCCCTGAATTTGTTCTGCGCTGCGCAAGCAAATGTAATAACATGCTTGTGCTGTGTTTGCTTTTAAATTGTCTCTGATGTCTGGTGGGATTGCGTGTGTGTAGAGTGTGGTGTGGTATTGTGTAAATAGGTCAATTTAATTGCAGCGAGTGTGTGCATACGGGCTGAAGTGTGTTTGTATAGGTGACGTAGTGTGTGTAGGGGTTGCAGAGAGGGTGTGTTTAGAGAATGTTGTATGTGTTTGCTGACAAGGAATGTAGTGTGTGTGTGTAGGAGATCTACTGTGTAAAGGACCCAGTGTGTGTGTGTGTGTGTGTGTGTGTGTAGAGGATAAAGAGTGCATATAGAGTAAGGGATCTAGTGTGTATCTGGAGCGTAATGTGTGTAGTGGTGCAGTGTGAGGGGTGCTGTAGTGTGTGTGTGTGTGTGTGTGTGTGTGTGTGTGTGTGTGTGTATGTATATATATATATATTTGGACTTGTATGTGTGAGGGGCGCAGTGTGTGTATGTAAGAGGGGTGCTGTGTGTGAGGGTGTTTTTATCTGCTGTCACATTCTAGGTTTCTAATTTTCTTTGTCTGTTAACTCACTGAGGGTTATTTTATATATATATATATATATATATATATATATGTGTGCTGTATATGTGTGGGAGTGTGCTGTGTGTGTCTAGGGGGTGCTGTGTGTGTCTGGGTGCGCTGTGTGTGTCTGGGTGCGCTGTGTGTGTCTGGGGGTGCTGTGTGTGTCTGGGTACTGTGTGTATCTGGGGGTGCTGTGTGTGTCTGGGGATGCTGTGTGTGTCTGTGGGTGCAGTGTGTGTCTGTGGGTGCAGTGTGTGTCTGGGGGTGCTGTGTGTGTCTGGGGGTGCTGTGTGTGTCTGGGGGGTGCTGTGTGTGTCTGGGGGGTGCTGTGTCGGGGTGCTGTGTGTGTGAGTGAATGTATTTTTTTATTTAAATTTAAATATTTTTTTTTACTACTAAAAAAAAAAAATTAAAAAAATTTATTTCCCCCCCTCCCTTCTTACCTTTATCCTGGGAGGGGGGGGAGCCGTGCCGTTCTGCCATGGAGGGAGGGGAGCCGTTCTGCCATCCTTCCCTGGTGGCCCAGTGGTGAGAGTGAACTCTAACCTGCAGGTTAGAGTTCACTCTCGCGAGATCTGAGCGTTGCCGCGGCAACGCTCAGAATCCCGCGAGAGGACCCGGCGGAGCTGCTTGTTAGAGCTCCGCCGGGTCCTCTCTCCTGCCTCCCTCCCTCCCCAGCCGGCGGCCGCATTTCCATGCCTGTGGGCCGGTGAGGGAGATCTTTGATCTCCCCACCGGCCCATGGAGGCACACAGCAGGGCCGGCGCTCGGGTAGCGCTGGCCCTGCACGGGCTGGCAGGGGAGATCCTGTGATCTCCCCTGCCGGCCTCGGCCCCACGGCCATCGCGGCCCACCGGGCATTTGCCCGGTGTGCCCGATGGCCAGTCCGGGCCTGGCCTCAAGCCTATTAATACCTCATACAGTACATAAGCTAATAATAAAAACCTAAACTCTAGGCGTCTCACATTTATACCTGAGCATGTAATCTAGTGAATCTTAACCAATAATAATACTCTGGAACACATGGTCCGAGATAAAATTCCATACCACCCAAGTGTCCCTATTTAGGAGGGACAGTCCTTATTTTGGGTGTGAATCCCTCTGTCCCTCTTTTCTATCCTAATGTTCCACAGCAATAATACTTCCAGTAATGTGTCTTTAAACCACAATAAATGTGTTTAGAATCATATAAAATCCAAGGAAATTAGATTATAGTTGCACAAATTGAAATGTTGGGATGTATGCAGCACATAGTTACATAGTTACTAGTAAGCTACGTTGAACGGTGATTCAAGTCCCTCAAGTTCAATGTTTAATAACAATACCTCATAAATATAAATAGTATCTCAGCTTGGTTATCTAGGCCTCACAGCAAAAGTAATACTGGGGAGTTTTTTGTGTGAAGGTATTCACCAATGGAATGTGTCTGCTGGTCCCATTGGTTTACATGGTGACGGTCTCGTTTTTAGTATTTTTTAGAACAGACTACATTGATAAATCTCCCACATTGTGTTTCAAAATATAAAGCGAGGCCTTGCCTCCAATAAAACCAACACCTCAACCTAATAACGTATCAAATAATAACAGCACCTTGGCCTGTATCATCTCTACACTAGGGGTTTTGATATATGAATATGCTTTTGCAAATAAGTTGGCTTTTTAAAGGGGCACTCTAAACACCATAACCACTACAGCCTGTTGTTCCTGGCCCCACCCCACAATTCTATATCAAACATCTTGAATATTGCAACACAAACAGAGGCCCAGCTTCTTGGACAGAATGTTGCTATTGCAGACATTACAGCCTCACATTACCACTATAGATTTAGCCTCAACAAAGACAGTACTGATTTTGCTAATGAAGAAGTGCAACTTCCACAGCAGCAATACATGCCTTTCAACAGTCCCGGATATGGTGGGATCGGCCTGATTTGGGGGAACTGTCCTGCCATCCAGGGTTACTTCCTGGTATGCAGCATACAGGGACAACAAGGAACTGTCCACAGCAAGTGCAGCATGAGCACATCGTAAGACGTGCTGCCTGTTCTGTGCTGAATGGTGTCAGGACATAACTGGGGCCAGAGGGAGGCTGTCTGTCGGTCTGGTGCACATTCATGTACCCAACCATAAAGTGACCGTGTCATCTAGGGCATATCAAAACATGTGTTCTGATTGGTCAATGTCATCTCTGCAACTCCAAACAACATGAGGTGGTCGCCTAGATTCTAGGCGACCTCATGTTGTTTGGAGTTGCAAAGATGACGTTGACCAATCAGAACACATATGAACCCATATAAAGCCTGTTTAGGGCCTTACTCATTGCCCTATTGTAGTTTCTGTTTGGTTACATGTTTAGTGTTACAAGTGACTCTCTTGTGTATTCCTGTTAATGACGTTGGCTTCGTTTTGACTTTAAGAACTTCTATATTCCCGATCTGGCTTGTATATTGACCTGTATATTTCTATATTCCTGACCTGGCTTGTATATTGACCTGTATATTTCTATATTCCTGATCTGGCTTGTATATTGACCTGTATATTTCTATATTCCCGATCTGGCTTGTATATTGACCTGTATATTTCTATATTCCCCATCTGGCTTGTATATTGACCTGTATATTTCTATATTCCCGATCTGGCTTGTATATTGACCTGTATATTTCTATATTCCCCATCTGGCTTGTATATTGACCTGTATATTTCTATATTCCCGATCTGGCTTGTATATTGACCTGTATATTTCTATATTCCCCATCTGGCTTGTATATTGACCTGTATATTTCTATATTCCCGATCTGGCTTGTATATTGACCTGTATATTTCTATATTCCCCATCTGGCTTGTATATTGACCTGTATATTTCTATATTCCCGATCTGGCTTGTATATTGACCTGTATATTTCTATATTCCCGATCTGGCTTGTATATTGACCTGTATATTTCTATATTCCCCATCTGGCTTGTATATTGACCTGTATATTTCTATATTCCCCATCTGGCTTGTATATTGACCTGTATATTTCTATATTCCCGATCTGGCTTGTATATTGACCTGTATATTTCTATATTCCCGATCTGGCTTGTATATTGACCTGTATATTTCTATATTCCCGATCTGGCTTGTATATTGACCTGTATATTTCTATATTCCCGATCTGGCTTGTATATTGACCTGTATATTTCTATATTCCCGATCTGGCTTGTATATTGACCTGTATATTTCTATATTCCCGATCTGGCTTGTATATTGACCTGTATATTTCTATATTCCCGATCTGGCTTGTATATTGACCTGTATATTTCTATATTCCCCATCTGGCTTGTATATTGACCTGTATATTTCTATATTCCCCATCTGGCTTGTATATTGACCTGTATATTTCTATATTCCCGATCTGGCTTGTATATTGACCTGTATATTTCTATATTCCCGATCTGGCTTGTATATTGACCTGTATATTTCTATATTCCTGATCTGGCTTGTATATTGACCTGTATATTTCTATATTCCTGATCTGGCTTGTATATTGACCTGTATATTTCTATATTCTTGATCTGGCTTGTATATTTCTATATTCCTGACCTGGCTTGTTTCTCGTGTATCCGTACTTCTGAATTCCTGATCTGGGCTATTCTTGACTTTGATCCTATCTTTTATTATGTTACGTCCTGTCACTCCAAGGCCCAGTAATACGGCTTTTTGAACCATCGTTTTTGGACCCTTGTTTTGTTAAAGTAAGGTTATCCGTGACAGCAATACAATAGGCAGCCACCCCACATATGCAACCCCACAAGCAGAATCTCAACAAACCTGCATTAACGCATCCAAACACAAATCCTAAACTTTTGCATATATGTATGTGGTATATATATATATATATATATATATATGGGGTGAGGTGCATTGAGGGTTAATCTGGCACTGAGTATGTTCATCCATGATATTAAAATATAAATCAGAAACAATATCAAACTTATGGTGTGACATAATCGAATCCTGTTCTTTGTGAATAGCCAGAATATAGTCAATAATATTCCTTTCTATTGCCACCCTCCCCCCCAAATATAACCATTTAATTAAATTGCCTTTGCTGTAATACTTTGCCATTGAATCAACTTGGGGTCGATAGCAGGCTGAATACCAGCTGCATTGAATAACATTTTTCAGCTAAATCTTTTCACAGGTTATGTTGCTAATATAATCACCCATTCAGGAACTACCCTCACCCTAGATTTAGTTATAGAACACACTTCCCAGCATAGAAAGAAATAACTGATAATCCAAGGTCAATTTATTCAGATCATCCCTAGATGTCTATGGTAGCATGGCAACAGTAGACAATCTTACTTAACAGATGTTAAATTGCCCTTGTTTAGATAAGGTAGAAATTGTATAATTAACTTTGGTGTTTTCTGTGGTTAATTTGTCTGTTAATAAGATGACTAGGTTTTGAGGGCTTTGTGTTAAAGGACCACTATAGTGCCAGGAAAACAAACTCGTTTTTCTGGCACTATAGTGTTAATAGGTCCCCCAACCAGGGCCGGACTGGGAAGAAAATTCGGCCCAGGCATTTTTTAATTACAGCGGCCCACTAAAAAGGGGGCGGGCCAGAAAGGGTGTGTTTTGTCATCACCAATGACAAGCACGCCCCGTCACAAAGTGAGCATGTTGGTTCAATGCTCTTCCAGGGTAGACCATGCGCAGAGCTCTGCTGAAGAGCTCTGGCATGAGAAAAATACCCTGTATTTGTTCTGCACAGCGCAAGCAAACTTAATTACATGCTTGCACTGTGTTTGCTTGAAATTTGTCTCTGGTGTCTCCATAGTTGGGATACCAGGAGACAAAAATGCCAGGAAAGCATATTGCGCAGTGTGTGTGAGGGTGCTCTGTGTGTGTGTGTGTGTGTGTGTAAGGGGTGTAGTGTGTGTGAGTGATGGGTGCTGTGTTTGCGTGAGGGTGCTATGTGGGTAAGGGTGCTGTGTGTGTGATGGATGCAGTGTGTGTGCTGTGTGTGAGTGGGTGCTGTGTTTGCATGAGGGTGCTATGTGCATGTGAGGAAGCTGTGTGTGAGGGTGCAGTGTATGCATGTGAGGAAGCTGTGAGTGTCAGGGGTGCAGTGTGTGTAAGTGAGGGTGGGTGATGTGCGTGTCAGGGGTGCAGTGTGTGTGCTGTGCGTGTCAGGGGTGCAATGTGTGTGTGTGAGGGTGCTGTGAGTGTTAGGGGTGCATTTTGTGTGTGCTGTGAGTGTCAGACGTGTAGTGTGTGAGTGTCAGGGGTGCAGTGCGTGTCAGGGGTGCAGTGTGTGTGTGAGGGTGCTGTGAGTGTCAAGGGTGCAGTCTGTGTGCTGTGAGTGTCAGGTGTGCAGTGTGTGTGTGAGGGTGCTGTGAGTGTCAGGGGTGCTGTGTGTGTGCTGTGTGTGTCAGGGGTGCAGTGTGTGTGTGTGAGGGTGCTGTGAGTGTTAGAGGTGCATTGTGTTTGTGCTGTGTCAGACGTGCAGTGTGTGTGAGGGTGCTGAGAGTGTCAGGGGTGCAGTGTGTGTGCTGTGTGTGTCAGGGGTGCAGTGTGTGTGTGTGAGGGTGCTCTGAGTGTTAGGGGTGCATTGTGTGCGCTGTGCGTGTCAGGGGTGCAGTGTGTGTGTGAGGGTGCTGTGAGTGTTAGGGGTGCATTTTGTGTGTGCTGTGAGTGTCAAACGTGCAGTGTGTGTGTGAGGGTGCTGTGAGTGTTAGGGGTGCATTTTGTGTGTGCTGTGAGTGTCAAACGTGCAGTGTGTGTGTGAGGGTGCTGTGAGTGTTAGGGGTGCAGTGTGTGTGTGTGAGGGTGCTGTGAGTGTTAGGGGTGCATTTTGTGTGTGCTGTGAGGGTCAGACGTGCAGGGGGTGTGTGAGTGTGCTGTGAGTGTCAGGGGTGCAGTGTGTGTGCTGTGAGTGTCAGGAGTGCAGTGTGTGTAAGTGAGGGTGCTGGGAGTGTTAGGGGTGTCTGTGAGGCTGCTGTGACATGAGTGATTATATCCCCCCTCCCTGCTTACCTTATGACTGGGAGGGGAGATCCTACTGCTGGGGCTGCCATCCCTGGTGGTCCTAGTGGTGAGTGAACTCTAGCCTGTTGGGCTAGAGTTCACTCTCGCGAGACCCAGAGCGTTGCCATGGCAACGCTCCGAATCTCGCGAGAGGAACCCGGCGGAGCTGTAAGTTAAAGCTCCGCCGGGTTCCTCTCCTGGCAGGCTGGCTCCCTCCCTCTCTCCCCCGGCGGCCGCACTATCCTGCATGTGGGCCGGTGAGGGAGATCTCTGATCTCCCCACCGGCCCACTGTAGACTACTGCAGGGCCGGCGCTCAGATAGCGCCGGCTCTGCAGAGACCGGCAGGAGAGATCCTGTGATCTCCCTGCCGGCCCCGGCCCCACGGCCCACCGGGCATTTGCCCGGTGTGCCCGATGGCCAGTCCGGGCCTGCCCCCAACCCTCATGGCCCCCCTCCTGCCGGGCTCCAGGTGGAGGAAGGGGATAAATTCTTACCTTTCTCCAGTGCCGGGCTCCTTCGGCGCTGGGGACTCTCCTCCCTCTTCCGCCGAATGCGCATGCGCGGCAAGAGCCGCACGCACATTCAGTCAGTCCATAGAAAAGCATTCTCAATGCTTTCCTATGGACCCTGGCGTCTTCTCACTGTGAAAATCACAGTGAGAAGCGCGGAAGCGCCTCTAGCGGCTGTCAATGAGACAGCCACTAGAGGCTGGATTAACCCTAGTGTAAACATAGCAGTCTCTCTGAAACTGATATGTTTACAGCTGCAGGGTTAACCCTAGATGGACCTGGCACCAAGACTACTTCATTGAGCTGAAGTAGTCTGGGTGCCTATAGTGGTCCTTTAATGTGGTTAATAATCTAGAACCTAGGGGACTGACGCCAGCAGGGTTAGTAACTAATTTGAGAATTGTCAGGAATTTAAAGTGAATTTCAAATTTAAAGGGACACTGTAGTCACCAAAACAACTTTAGCTTAATGAAGCAGTTTTTGTATATAGATCACGCCTCTAAAGTTTCACTACTTACTTCTCTGCCATTTAGGAGTTAAATCACTTTTATTTCTGCTTATGTAGCCCTAGCCAAATCTCCCCTGGCTGTGACTGACACAGCCTGCATGAAAACAAAATGAATTCAGTTGCAATCAGATGTAATTTAATTTAAAAGTTTTTATCTCCTGCTCAGTATTTAGAATTTTAATTGCACACAGGAGGCTCCTGCAGGTTCTAGTAAGCTATTACCAGCGCAGGAGATAAGACCATCTAAATTAAACAGAATTTGCAATAAAGGAAGTGTAAACATTAGATGACTCTTTGCAGGAAGTGTTTAGTAAGGCTGTGTAAATCACATGCAGGGAGGTGTGCCTTGGGCTGCATAAAGAAAGTGATTTAATTCCTAAATTATAGAGAATTGAGCAGTGAGATTGCAGGGGCATCATCTATACACCAAAACTGCTTCATTAAGCTAAAGGTTTTTTTTGTGTGACTATTATATCCCTTTAGGGCCAAAGAAGCCAAACCAGATGCATGGAGAATATTTTTTTCCTGTTTATTAGAATTTTAAATGTTAAATTAATTTTGAATTCACTCAGAATTCCAGACAATTCTAACCTTAGTGAATAACCTTTCTGGTATCAATTATACACAATTTAGAAATAAACAAGGGTCCAATACAAACCATTGCCTGGAAATCCATATACTGTACATAGGACACAAGGTCACGCATTTAGAATGGAAGAAAGGAGATATAGTCTAAGGCAAAGGAAAGAGGTTGGTATTTTTTGCAGTAAGAACACTAAGGAGATGGAAGTTCTCTGCCTGAAGAAGTGGTTTTATCAGAGTCTTTACATATATTTAAACAGCAACTGGATGCATATTTGCAAAAACATAATATTCAAGGATATACATTTTTAGTTTGAGGGGTAATAGCCTCTTGATCCAAGCAGAGATCTGACTGCCATTCTGGGGTCTAAAAGTGCTTCAGACTGGGTTTTTTGCCTTCTTTTGGATCAACAGCAAAAACAGATGGGAGAAAGACTGAACTTAATGGACGCATGTCTCAACAAGGCTTAATTTTCATGAATCCCTGATATATACATTGTATGACCTATGTCTACATTAAAATGCTCTTGACTATGTGTCCAGTAGGTATTTGTTACATTGTCAGGCGAGCAAAAGTTTTACCAATAGCAAACAATAATAGTATGAAAGTAGTAAAATGGGTACTTTCTTCTCCTACTCTTAGAAAACTTGGCAAATCTAGTAGCACAGTAAAGGGTTAACTCTAGCTATATAACCCAGGATCCTCAAAGGAGGGCTTTTTGCCCAAACTAAGGCTTTCTTTCCAAACTAGGCCGAAGGTTTATGACACTATTTAGGGAACGTGAGCCCACACGAGAGGTTACTGTAGAGCAAGACGGATGTAAATTGCTCAAGATTTATTAGTCAGAAAAGACGTCATTTGCATTTAACAGTTGTTGTTTTTTGACACGGTTTTCTTTTTTGCTGACTAACATAATACCCACCACCGTATGTGTTGCTGTACGTTTCCCTCCTCCTACCAGCTTTTCCCTCACACAGTCTCTGCCTGTTTCTTTATGTCCTTTATTTCACTTTTCTCCAAAGTCTAACAAATTTTGTTTCAACTTCTACCCCTGTGGGAGGGAAAGAGTAAAGGACAGATGACATGCGATATTCACTAACGTGATCAAGTCCGCCATTTTTTCCTGATATTTGTGTTTTTATATGTCTTTTCCAAGTTGTACCAGGGTGTGATGCTCTTATCAATTTCAGATCTGTATTTGTAGAATTGTCAGGTTTGAATAACAAGTCCTGGGACAGAAATGGTTAATTAACAGATCAGTTTGGAGATATTAATAACCCCTTCACCCAGGCAGGGGGATAGGAGATGTATTTAGATGCCCTCCTACCCCCTGCGGCGGCAGCACGCTGAACTGTAGATGTAATTATGCGGAGATGTGGGATTGAAATTCATGGTGTCACCACAAGATACCCTGGACTAATTTCCTAACTGATTCCTGATTAAGACGATCCGATCTATTCAAAGCAGTGTGTCAGTTACTTATCTAAGGTGGCCTGGGGACACTTTGTAACACTGAGCAGCACTCACAAATGGATAAAGGAGAGGGAGAGGTATGATATACATCACAATCTGGCTGTGATACTCTAAGAAAGAGCGAGATCTTATGGCTAACAGGGTAAATACAGATGACAAACTAATATCAACATGGGGCTAGTGTTGAGCACTTGGTCCGAAATACAAAACAACGGTAGAATTGTTGCAAATGATGCTGCATATGCAATAGTTATTAAAATAATAAATGGCGCAAGATACCTACAATGTAGACAACGCAATGAAAAAATATTATTGCATCCTCAGTCCCAGTGAGCAATAATTTTATCCAAAAAGAGACAGCTGACAGCATTTCACTCATGGTGGTCAATAAGGTGTCTTGAGAACCAGCTGTTATAAAAGTGACACTTGCGAATCTGCCTAAATAAAAGATGTGTTCCAAAAACAAAGGTGTGTTAGAACATTCGTTACATGGTAATCTAGGTTGGAAAAAAAACTAAAGTCCATCAAGTTCAATGTTTATGCTGTTGATACAAAAAACATCACAAAAAGGTAACTGTATATAGAGACACACTATACAGTGTGTATAAAGTGAAAGCACAAAAACCCAGTCGCAGCCATTTCCAATAATGCCACAAAAAGGGGGTGGGGGGTGGGGAGAGAATACCTTTTGACTCCATAATAGCAATTAGATTTCTCCTTGGATCAACAACCTGTTCACATACATATCCATTAAATTTCTTGAATATTCGGTTTATGCAGAAAAGCATCCAAGCCTTTTTTTTTTTTTTTTAAACGTATCTGTAAAATCTGATAACACAACCTCTTTAGGCAGAGAATTCCACATATTTATTGTTCTTACTGTAAAGAACCCTTTCCTCTGCTGTAAGTGAAAACGCTTTTCTTCCAGTCTCATGGGTGACCTCTCTGTTGTATATTCCTGTTAATGAACAGGTTAGCACATCGCCAATTTGTACTGACGCTGTGTTTATTTGTTAAGTCATGGAAAATGGATCACGTTAAACTCATATTTATTTGCAGGATGTGGTGTTATTACTTTCTCATATTTCAATGCTCATTTTAGTTCATGTATCCATGCACTCATGCCACACCAAAGCAAAAATAGGCCAGAATACAAATTTACAATGACATATTGCACATTCTTCCCATTAAATCTCTCCTTTCCCAAATGCCACATATTCTCTGCAATATTTCATACTGCTTCTCTATTGTGCCATTGTTCTAGTTAAAAATGTCTTTATATTATGACTCATGTTTCGCTAACATACACACCATTTTTTGTGTCCATCTTTCCTAATACATTTTTCACTCTCCATTTCTCTCACCACAGATTTTATTGGGACCTAATTATGCTTCTCCTCATGGTTGGAAATTTGATTATCCTTCCAGTGGGCATAACGTTCTTCAAGGATGAAAACACCCCTCCATGGATCGTGTTTAATGTCCTGTCAGACACGTTCTTCTTGGCGGATCTAGTGCTAAATTTCCGAACTGGGATTGTGGTGGAAGATAACACAGAAATCATTCTGGATCCGCACACCATTAAGATGAAATATTTGAAAACATGGTTTTTGGTGGACTTCGTGTCCTCCATCCCTGTGGACTACATCTTCCTTATTGTGGACTTGGAGACAAGGGTGGATTCTGAGGTGTACAAGACTGCTCGGGCCCTTCGGATTGTGAGATTCACCAAAATTCTTAGTCTTTTACGGCTTTTACGACTTTCTCGTCTCATCCGTTACATCCACCAGTGGGAAGAGGTAAGACTAGTTTGCCATACCATCGCTGAATGGAAGTGAGAGTGCAATGTCAGAACTTGAGGCTTGTCTGTAAACTTCAATAACTAAACCTCCAACTGATGAATTATTAAGACAATGACAAGAGATGTGTTATAGATTGTAAATCCCAATTATACACTTTTCAGCTTTTCATTATTAGGACCATTGCTAAACCTTTAGATTTAAGAGTCATTATAAAATCTTCAACATGTAGGTCCTAGCAGTAAATTTACTGCCAATCCCTCCCTCTTCACCCATTACTAAACACCCACTGGATAATGCCATCTAATCCACTTCTATGTTCTTCAACTGGGCTTAAAATACAACCCAACACACCATCACAGTGTTCTCTTACTCATCATGCATTTAGAATAATTGTGAACAAAGAGACTTCTCCCTCGAGTCAATACCGTGTATTGACTCGGGTTGTTCCAGAGTAGTGTTCTGTTCACCCTACCCTCTTCTATCATTTACCAGATTTTCCACATGACCTACGACCTGGCGAGTGCCGTGGTACGGATCTTCAATCTCATTGGTATGATGCTTTTGCTCTGTCATTGGGATGGCTGCCTCCAGTTCCTCGTTCCCATGTTGCAGGACTTTCCCGAAGACTGCTGGGTCTCGATCAACCAGATGGCGGTGAGTAAATAACTGCCAACCCAATCTCTAAGTCAATGTTAAATATTGAGTGGAGCTACCACCACCAATCTGTAGGATGTTCTAATGCCCAGATATAAATGGATTTGTGCAATCTTAACTAAATCTTATATTAGGAAGATGTAAAAGTATGTGTGTGTAACCTCAATGGGTTTCTCCATTCTCCAGTTTTGACGTAGTCATCTTGTGTATTATGGGTTCTTGTCAAAGGCAGCTCTCAATGTCTATTCCATTGTGACCAAACACAATGTGTATCTGTATTACTTCTTGACACATATCACTATATGGCAACTTAGAATCACAAACCAGGCTCTGACTCATACATGTCAGCCATTCATGAATTTTCATTCACACCGCACAACAAATAACAACTGGTTTAAACCTATATGACCCTTTGATCCCACTTTGATCTTTGAGGGTTTTACCCCTGAGCTAACTACTTTGTTGTATTTGTGATCTGGCTTTTATTTTCATTAGTTTTGATCTTGGGTTTCTTGATAATTTATGATTTGTTGCTTAAACCATCCCTTGGCGTTTTATGCTTTAATTCCACTTCCCCTGATTTTACTTAGATCCTGTGTCAAACTAGTTAGGTTTGCCTTTGAGGTGCATGTGGTTACAGCTATTCTAAAACTACAATACTCCCTCCATACCTTTTGTCTGTCTGTGGACCACTTAATTGTGTTGCATCTCCTATATTCCGCATATTGGAGTCCCTCAAATATTTGAAACCTGATCCGTCGGAATATGAAAAGAAGAAAAAGAATAGTTTTTCTAGGCTCTTCCTTTTCCTTTTCAAAAGTGAGAACGCTGAGATGCCTAAAATATCATGCAGAAATAAATATAGCATAATAAAAAAAAGTGTAAAGACACAAAATGTCACATGTAGTGTCATAGTGTTATTCACTAGACCCGGACGTACAGCAAATTCAACTCTGAATGGGAAAATTTAGGCAAATAAAATAAGACCTTCAACTCGGCCATAGTCACAGATTGCATATATGATCCTCAATTCTGCCATTCTAAAGTTAATTCGCTAAAATTCATAGTACAGCCCAGTGGTTCTTAAACCAGTCCCCAAGGCACCCCCACCAGTCCAGGATTTATGGATTACCCAGTTGTGTCTAAGGTGTTTTATTTTTATTTTTTCCTAAAAACATCTTAGACACAGCATGGTAATCCATAAATCCTGGACTGATAGAGATGCCTTGAGGACTGGTTTGGGAACCACTGGAAGAGCCAATAGCTCTGTCAATATAATTTAGTATTATCCTACTTCTCATTTCATTATTATTATTATATTTATATAGCGCCATCAGATTCCGTAGTGCTGTACAATGGGTCAACTACAAGAATCCGATGTGAGATAAAGATGTAAATGGCAGAACTACTAAATATATTACTACAGAGGACATTAAAAAAATACTGCTTATATTATAGAAAGGTTCTAAAGTAAATTTAAAGAAGGTTACCATAACAAACTGTGACCATGTACCAGGAGATCAATACTTAGTCCAGTTATATTTGGGATTCCACTGCCTTTAATTATGCCAATGGTCAATATGTTCTCTTTCTTTATAATTATTAAAATCACCACAAACATTTGGATAAAGTAACATAAATACACATGCACACATACAGTGATTACAAGCTATTGCATTAGGATCATCACACAGACCGATTCGTTTAATTGCACCCTGAAATGTTCCCCTGTTACTAGTTAATTAGTTCTCGGCAAACAAGAGAAATTAATTGAAAGGGAGCCAAGAAAGAAAGACTTGGAATGATTTTCTGCGCAGAATTCTGATCTAAACACTTCTCGAAGACCGTATTCAGCCAGATGTCTCGCTATCTGCTCCCCCTCATTCCTGGCTCGGTCTCACTGTCCCTTGGAGACTTGCCAAAACACTATGTACCAAGACAAGGCTCCGTTTACTGCTGACAAATCTTCAATAATACATGGCCTAGTCAGATCTACTAACTCCAAAATACAGCAATGTTATTGCCACTGGATCTGCCTTTGTTTGATCCACTGAAAGATGGCAGGCCGAATGGCTTGCCAACGCTCACTTAAGCCATTGCGAATTTTGATTAATCGAGCTACAAAAAAGTTTAGCAAAACCTCTTTTCACAATTTGCTTTAAATATACTTAGAAGAAGTAAAATGTAGCATTTCTGTAGCGTATGATGACGTATTTATTATGGAATGCTTTACATTAGGATTTTTTTTTAAACTATCTGCGCCCCCCATTTGTCTTCAAAAACTGTACTATGTCTAAACCATGTATTATAACCTACATTTGCTTGTGGAAGTGGATTATGAACGCCTAGTTGGCAAAGGAACTTTCTTACATAGCCATATTTGCAGGTATACATATTTATATTGTGTTTACATTACATGTTAACAGCAAAGATTGAACGCTATACAAACCTATCAGTTGAATAGGAAGAGCAGAGCATTCTGGGAAATATCTCCCCAGCACATACACTAGGACAGGGAAAGGCAACCTTCGGCACTCCAGATGTTGTGGACTACATCCCCCATAATGCTCTTATATCCATAATGCCAGCAAAGCATCATAGGAGGTGTAGTCCAAAACATCTTGAGTGCCGAAGGTTGAATATGCCTGCAATAGGAAGTGAAAGGGCATGGAGTCATACAAATTTAGGGTAAAAATATGGTTACCAGAGTCACTATGTTTTCATGGACACATATAATGTATACATATTGATGGGCAGCACATGAAAAAGGTTGCCCCGAAGTATGTAGAACTCAGAAGAAGGTGTATAAGATGTAGTAATTAGGCAATGAGGAATCCTGTAGAATATGCATTATACATAGTGCAGGGCAACTGGTTTTTATAAGCATGACAAACTGATATGTGTCCCTGAAAACATGGAATTGGTAATCCTAGTAAAAAAAAAACCCTGCTTTCACTCACCTTAATTCCAGTACCAAGGTCCATTTGCAGTGGCTCAGTCGACAGCCACTAGACTCGAGGATGTCTTGACCCCCTGAAATTACAATGTTTTCACTTGCAGGGTTAAAGGCACACGCCAGATCCCTAAAAACACTTTAGCTTGCTGAAAAGCTTTATGTGTGAAGAGTGTGTCCTCTTTTTTTTATTTTGAAAAAAGTGCAGGTTTCAATACAAATTTACACTTTTATGAATTAACCTGATTACACCCCTTGACTTTCAAGCATACAATTACATTTGGAAGTCTGTGATTGGACAGTCGCATAAAGTCTGGGCGGGGTTAGAAGGGGAGGGTTTGTAAAGCCAGCAGACAAGAGATTTGCAGTTTTTGCAAGTTGTTTTTTAAACAGAACAACAATTTTAAAAAAATGCATAATGAAATGTTACAAATCAAGTTTTCATTTGGGATATATCTTTTTTTTATATATTTTGTATTTGGGCAGTCGATTGTTCCTTTGCGTTTAAGTCATCTGTTGTTCATATTGAACTGGTTAACTTTTAAGTTCCACTACGTTTAAGGCCAAAGCAGACAAACTGGTCTACTGTGCTTCCAGTTTGATTATTTTGGCCTTAATGTTTAAATTCACCTTGCACCAAGATTCTGCTGAGTTTATAATTTGATGTGGACCATCAGGGATTGATATTACTGATATTTACCCACGCTTATCCCAAGCCCCCAGCTCAGAATATAAATGTACACTAAAACTCTATAATGCACTTTCTCTGGATTGGAAACTGACAGCACAGAAAAACATAATGATAAACCTGCAAATGACTTTTAACCCTTTGTCTCCAGGGAAGTAAGACGAAGAAATGATTGGGGAGCATTGGGATCTCATTAATAAGCACAGCTGAGTCTAATTAGATAACAGGCAGGATGACAGTATATGTCACTCAAAGTCACACAGCGGCTGGTGTTAAAATAGGTACCAACGCAGTGGTTCAACACAGAATTGTCTGCTTCTCTAGAGAAGATTGGGTTATAGCCAGGATCCTTTTAGCAGTAATCTTGTGTTTTTTAAGGAAGGGGAATAATTTGATTTTATATATATATTTGCAGGTGTGAAAAGGAAAGGTTTAATCACTGTGATGCAGGTGGCAATCTCTAGGGAAAGGGTAGGGCTACATGTTTAGATAGAAAATATTAATCTTGTGTGTCACAACCATTCTCAAGTGTGATTGTCAGGCGGGAGGAAATAGTTTCTCTCTTATCACACGTTGGAGATGCACCACAGCTTCCTATACACACATCACTTTTACTGTAAATACCGCCCTGTAATGTGTGCTATGCAGAACTGCCCATTTCATTAATTGATTTCCCTTCTTTAGCATAGGAAGACTACACAGAGGTGCATATTAACGCAGGCAGAACTTTTCATGTGCATCCCATCAGCATGAATGTCATGTCAAGAGTGTGGATCACAACCTTCTACCACAGAACACTAAGGAGATTTAAGAAAGCCACACAGATATATTTGAGATATTTTTGGTGTAGGGAGTGTTCGGATTTTCATGCTGTAACTATTGTTTTTTGAATATAAGCCATTTTTTCTTCAACAAAATAGATTTATCGATCATTCCGTCACTTTTTCCATCCAAAATGTGTTTTTTTTTCCCTTCCCTTTTTTCTGCTGCTCTAAATTTGTTGGTCCTGTCTGCAAGTGAGATTTCTTTAAATAATGGTGGAATTTAGGTAGAAGGAAAAAAAAATAAAAAAATTTTTGGAACAATTTAATGAATATGAACAGAGCACGGATAAAACAAAACATAAAAGCCACTTTTCAATATACTTTGATAATTCCCCCCCACTATGTCTGTCCAATCAGAATGAGGCAGAACTGAGACTACATTTTCTGTGGTCCATACAAAGGGCTCATCAATAACAAAGTAAAGAAGTGCACTCCAATATGGCACAAACTGTCCACTAACCTTTAATTTGGACACAGCTACACTTGGCAGACTCCCATGTGTAAAGGGAAGTGTCCCTAAACTTCTACATTGTGGGTGGGTAGGACATGCTCCAGTAGTATGCAGTATTCATATGCTGCAGGAGGGGCATCAATTGACTAATCAACACAGTTCATTTGGGGCCCCTCCTTGACTAACAAATTGACTTTCTTCCTACTTCAGGTCAGCACTATTCATGTATTGCCCATCAACCTACAGAAATAACAGGTGCCAGATAGCTTTTTCACTAAAGTGAAAAGTTTCTGGATTTTAAAGTGATTTTAAAATTTAAGGCAAAATTAGCGTAGCAGACTTGAAGTTCAGCTACTGTGGCCTTAGCTTTAAAAGTTCACTTTATTCCCAACACTTCTCACTTTAGTGAGACTTCAGTAAACATGAGGAAGATTTATCAAAAGGTTGTGTTCTAAAAATAAATGCTAATATTGTAAAAGTGGAGTACAGTAATCACCAACAGACTGTGCCTCCTGGTCACATTGGTTTCCGTGGTGATTGCATCACTTTTACATGGTTATTTACTTTTAAAGTGAATTTCACATTTAAGGTCAAAACAGCCAATCCAGATAAATTCTCCCATTCAGCTATGCTTTCAGTTCGATTACTTTGTCCCCCAATTTGAAATCCACCTACAATTCCTTGAAATTCACACAGAATTCTGCGTAACCCTTTGATAAATCTCCCTCTGTGCACCAGTCATCCCTTCTCCCAGCCAGATTTTGCTTTGCAGCCAATTGTACCCTTCTACTCCTCGAGACCTTCAAGAAGTCACTCTAATTACCTACACTGTAATATTATTGTGCTTTAATGAACACAGCTCCATTACAAAGTCATCATTTCTGACATGCAGTAATGACACAGACCCGTGTGACAGGATACTGTACAGCTAATGGATTATGTCAGTAATTTAAAAGATAAATTAAGTCATTCTATGTAGACAAATCAGATCGATGCATATGCTACATATGGGAGACATCAGGACATGTTGCACGTAAGACATCACAGTACATAATAGTTTGTGTCACATACAGTACATAATTACACAAAATAAAAGTGACATTATACACTTGGACACATAGTAATGATGGAACGTATATGTGATATGCGTAAATTGTATATATAGAAACATAATGTGACGGCAGATAAGAACCATTCGGCCCATCTAGTCTTCCCAATTTTTAAAAATACTTGCCTATCCGACACATGCTTAAACTCCTTTACTGTGTTAACCTCTACCATTTTAGCTGGAAGGCTATTCCATGCATCCACTACCCTCTCAGTAAAGTAATACTTCCTGATATGATTTTTACCCTTTGCCCCTCTAATTTAAGACTAGGTCCTCTAGTTGTGGTAGTTTTTCTTCTTTTAAATATAGAAGTATACGTGATTCATACATTACCGGACACAGGACAGATACTGGTACGATAGATATTTCTAATAAAATGACTTGCTCTACACATGATCAACATAATTTCACATTTGTCTGCCAATTAACAGAATGCATTTTTCAGCTGCTCCGAGGTTCTTCCCATTTCATGTCACCTATAGGTACGGTAAACCCTTCTATGCAAGAGGCACGTCTTCTGCATGCAATGTATGCTGGGTAATAATTAGCACTGCATATAGAATGCACAGGAACACACCTAGCGCATGTTAAGTGTGTGGAGTGAACTATGTACAGGATTATTCAATGAAGTGAGAATTTCTGGGCATTCAAAGTGTATTGCCAGGGAATTTTAAAATTTAAGGCCAAAGTAGCCGATGCTAACTTTTTTTTTTTTTTTTTACTTTGGCTAATTTAAGCCTTAAATTGTAAATTCACTTTAAATTCATGACTATTCTCACTTTCCTGAAGAACTCTGATATAGTACAGAATTATATTTATAAAGCATCAGAAAACTAGACTGGTAAGCGATTTGTTACCAATCCACAAGGTCTATCAAATAGTATAAAACTGCTCTTGTTAGAATATTGAAACAGTAACTCTCGCAGTGAATTATATCAGAAGTGCTGGATAGATGTAACAAGAGGCTTACCGATACTCCTTCACCTTACTGATCTTATAAAAGACTTCAGCGTTTCTGTATAGAGGAATGGTACATGGTTAAACTAAATAGAAAGAAATACAAACATCTCAGTGGTCCTACGTTTGTATGCTACCTCATAGATCACCAGCTGTGTATATATATACTATGTTAAACACTAAATAGCCATAGCCAGGAGTCATTCAATGAATTCTGCCTGCTAAAAATGCCCTAAAGGAATCCCCATCGTAGAGAGTAGTCCCTATAGGTATGCTTGATAAATCCTTAAAGGACCACTATAGGCACCCAGACCACTTCAACTTTAAGAAGTGGTCTGGGTGCCAGGTCCAGCTAGGGTTAACCCCCCTTTTTTTTTTTTTTATAAACATAGCAGTTTCAGAGAAACTGCTATGTTTATAAATAGGTTAATCCAGCCTCTAAAGCCTCTAGTGGCTGTCTCATTGACAGCCGCTAGAGGCGTTTGCGTGCTTCTCACTGAAAATCACAGTGAGAAGACGCAAGCGTCCATAGGAAAGCATTATGAATGCTTTCCTATGAGACTGGCTGAATGCGCACGCAGTTCCTGCTGCGCATTCAGCCGAAGAGGAGGAGAGGAGGCGGAGAGGAGGAGGAGAGCTCCCCGCCTGGCGCTGGAGAAAGAGGTAAGTTTAACCCCTTCCTCTCCCCAGAGCCCGGCGGGAGGGGGTCCCTGAGGGTGGGGGCACCCTCAGGGCACTATATCTTTTCCTGGCACTATAGTCATCCTTTAAACCATAACAAAACAAGTGCCAAACTAAAAAGTGCCGTGGTTTAAAATAAAAAAGTCATGAAGCCTGCCTGACGCGCATTTCGGCGCTACTGAAACGCCTTTGTCTTAGACACTCTCTACGATGGGGATTCCTGTAGGGCATTTTTAGCAGGCAGAATTCATACAGCGCTACGGAATCTGATGGCGCTATATAAATAATAAAATAATAATTGAGCGACTCCTGGCTATGGCTATTTAGTGTTAAACATAGTATATATATACACACAGCTGGTGATCTATAAGCAGGGCCGTCTTTAACGCGGGGCAAACGGGGCAGCTGCCCCGGGCCCTGTCCCTGCTGGGGGGCCCGAGGTAACTACCCTGTTTGCCCTCTGCCCACAAACTATGGTGGCCCATCGGGTGGCCCATGCACTTAGGGCCACCCGGTGGGCCTGTGTCAGCAGGGGCCCGGTCGGGCGCTGTGGCGCTTTAACAGCGCGACCGGGCCCTTGCTTTTCGGCAGCACTGGGAGGAAGTGACAGCCGTGCGTCACTTCCTCCCACAGAAACAGGAGCCGCGCGGGAGGAAGGCGGACCAGCTGTTCCGGAGGGGGCCAGGCCGGGAGCTTAACTCCCAGCCAGCCCACTGGACCCCAGGGAAGCCACCCTCCAGGAAAAGGTAAGAAACTGGAGGGTGGTTATCAAAGTCTGTCAGTGTATCTGTATGTCTGTGTGTGTGAGAGTCTGTCAGTGTCTGTGTGGTTCAGTATGTCTGTATGTGTGTATGTCTGTCAGTGTGTCAGTATGTCTGTGTGTGAGTCTGTCAGTGTCTGTGTGTATGTGTGTTTCAGCATGTCTGTCTGTCTGTGTGCCAGAATGTCTGTCTGTGTGCCAGAATGTCTGTCTGTGTGCCAGTATGTCTGTCAGTGTGTCAGTATGTCTGTGTCTGTGAGTCTGTCAGTGTCTGTGTGTTTCAGTATGGCTGTCTGTGAGTTTCAAAATGTCTGTATGTGTGTATATCTGTCAGTGTCTGTGTGTTTCTGTCTGTGTCTGTGTGTGTGCCAGAATGTGTGTATGTCTGTCAGTATGTCTATGTGTGAGTCTGTCAGTGTGGTTCTGTATGTCTGTGTTTGTCAATATGTCTGTCAATGTCTGTGTGTATGTGTGTTTCAGTATGTCCGTCTGTCTGTGTGTATATGTGCCAGTATGTCTGTCAGTGTATCTGTATGTCTGTGTGTGTGAGAGTCCATCAGTGTCTGTGTGGTTCAGTATGTCTTTGTGTATGTGTGTTTCAGTATGGTTTTCTGTGTGTGAGTCTGTGTCAGTACGTCTGTCAGAATGTGTCTCTGTATCTGTATGTTGTCCATTTGTATTTGTGTGTGTATCTGTATGTGTCAGTGTTTGTATCTGTATATCTGCATGTGTGTCAGGTTGTGTATCTATAAGTAGTCAGTGTGTGTACCTTTGTATCTGCATGTATGTCAGTGTTTGTATCTGTGTGTGTGTCAGTGTATCTATATGTAGTCTGTGTGTATCTGTATGTTCTTGTGTGTATCTATATGTGGTCAGTGTGTATCTGCATGTGTGTCAGGTAGTGTATTTGTGTGTATCTAGACGTAGTCACGGGGCCCAAGTAAATGCTCGCCCAGGGTCCAATCTAAATTAAAGACGGCCCTGTCTATAAGGTAGCATACAAACGTAGGACCACTGAGCTGTTTGTATTTCTTTCTATTTAGTTTAACCTTGTACCATTCCTCTATACAGAAACGCTGAAGTCTTTTATACGATTAGTAAGGTGAAGGAGTATCGGTTTACACTTTAAGCCTCTTGTTACATCTATCCAGCACTTCTGATATAATTTACTGCGAGAGTTACTGTTTCAATATTCTAACAAGAGCAGTTTTATACTATTTGATAGACCTTGTGGATTGGTAACAAATCGCTACACAGTCTAGTTTTCTGATGCTTTATGTATCTAATATTATAGACCGTTTGACTATACAAGATACATAATTTTCATTCCTTTTACATATTGGCATTGTACACGAATCTCTACCTTATATTCGCTATTTGCCATTTTAGGAGCCTCCTATAGACCGCTATCCCTCCTCTCCATCAGGTCTGCTGAGCTTATTAGCTCTCCTTAAGGATTTAGATGTGGTGTGATCATTTCAGTTTTATTTTTTGACACTTATGTTCTTTAATAAAATGTGATTTTATTCTGTATTAATTTGCAAACCCAGGGAATTAATTGTGCCCTTTGGACTTAATGTCCCCAGGGTCACTTCAGTGTTCAGTTTTAAATTTAAAAGGGTTACCCCCTGTTATAAGTTCTCTTGACACACTATATGTCCCTTCTATTTAGGGACATTGTTTTTTGATAAATCTCCCCCATAGAGTGTTACAGATTTTGTTGCTGCATGCAGAGGGCACAGAAGCTTGCATGTTACGTGTGCTGAGAAACATCAGCTGATTGAAGGGCGAGCAGGGTGGCATAATGAGCACAACGAGCTGCACGCAGCAGGGATATTTAATGCTGTAGATGAACTACAAATCCCAAGAATCTTTGCCAGCAGTAAAGGACACTATAGTTATCAGACCCACTACAGCTTAATGCATACCTCCCAACATTGAGGTCCTAAGAAGGGAATATTGGGGGTAAAAGGTGTGTGGTCAGTGAAAGGACTTCTCCACTGGCTTCACCCACTGGGGGGAAGGGGCAGACCCACCCAGAAAGGGGCGAGTCCATTTGAATTACTGAATTACTGTCAGGTAAGCCTGGCATGAATGCATGTCAGTCTGCCTGCCAATCAAGCAGGGCAGTCCAATGAGGGCAGAGCGTTCAGAGACCACTGTTTTGGAGACAGTTTCCTGGTGTTGCCATAAGCAGGACACCAGGAGAGAAATAGGACTTTCAAGAAAAAAATTAAAATAAATAAAAGTTGAGATTGTCCCGCTGAATCGGGTATGTTAGGAGGCATATATTGGTTCTAGGGCAGAGAGCTTGTCTGGGCAGGGTCAGCACTGCACTAGAGGGACTTCCTTGGTTTGCTCCTCCCAAGGCATTTGGCATTTCTAATGCTTTAGTGTCTCTTTAAAACTGGCAATGGCTCATGGGAGATGTAGTTCTGTAACAGTTGTGTATTTACGCCGTTCTGGCGTTCAGAGTGCAGGGGCACAGCTGCTGAAACTATATATGTCCTGACTTTTTAAACTGCAAGAGAGAGATGTATTTAATATGAAGCTATCGCTGTAGATCCTTGATTAAACATTTATGGTTGGCATCCGAAGTAGGGTTGCCAGATCTAGCATGCTTTGCAGGATACGCTAATACATGTGGACAGCCAGCATGAAATGTTTTGCCCTGTACTACGTGGAATTCAGAGGTTTCAGGAAGTAATGTAAATTATTAATCATGGTGGAATCAGAAAAGAGATACCTTAAATAGTTCACCGATTTCCTTCCTGCAACAAAGCAGGTACATAATACAGGGCAACACTTTTCCTGTTCTGCTTATCAGAAATGATGCGTGTCCAAGAAAACATGGTGGAAATGGCAACCCCTTGATATTTTGGGAGGTAAAAGGTATGGCAGCTGTGTGTAAAGTGTACAACTAACGTGCAGTATATAATTTTTGCTGTATGTAAGATCTTGTTAAAGGGACACTGCAAACACTATAACCATTTCATCTTACTGAATTGGTTGCAGTGCCTGGAGTCCTCTGGCACGGTCCCTCAATTTCAGATAAGTTTAACACTAAATTAGAGTACCTGGCCACATACAGCCTAGCCTAATTCCTACTGGAGATTTGGCTAAAGCAGAGATTACACACTTTCTTATATAGCCATACCAATTCATACCAATGGGCGCTGTAATAGGTTGAAAGCGATTAGCAGGACACTTACAGCCAATCATAGCCACCCATTTTTACTCAGGGTAATGTTTTCTCATTAGCCCAAGCAACACAGGGGGGGTGGGCTGCTGGAGACTCTCGTTTAGCATTAAAACATTAAAAAAAACGCTTGTTGTTGAGTGGAAGGATAGAGCCAGAGGACTCCAGACACTATAACCACTTCAATGATATTAAGCAGTTACAGCGCCAACAGTGTCCCTTTAATGTCATGTAGAAAAAAACTTAACTGATGCATGTTATAGGTATGTTATCTCCATATTAGTTTGTAGGGACATATTCACTGAATGACTTTATGGCAAAGAATGTTAGGTAGCGTACCTGCTGTGCATTATGGATGCAAATGCATGTTTATAGCATAATAATGAAAAATAGGGACATGCATGCTTTGGTAAGATTATCATAAGATGTATGTTTATTCTGTGCCTATTGTATTTATATGTTCAATGTAGAGAAATATATTAGTATTGTCGGAGATATGCATGCATGTTCAAAAGGCCCCATACGTTTAATATTGTGTTTCTACATATTTGGGGCTTTAAAGAGCCATCGTGTAAGGTGAAATTCTCACTAGGATGCTAGAAAATGTCCGAATACTTTTCCGTAACAAATTGCCATATAAATTGCTAAGAGGAGACATTTGCAAATCTATTTTTGGATACATTTTCCAGCTGTGATAGTTTTGGCTTAAAGGGACACTATAGTTACCAAAACAACTTAACAGCTTAATGAAGCAGTTTTGGTGTACAAATCATGTCCCTGCAGTATCGCTGCTCAATTCTCTGCTATTTATGTGTTAAATCACTTTGTTTATGAACCCTAGTCACACCTCCCTGCATGTGACTTGCACAGCCTTCCTAAACACTTCCTGTAAAGTTTATCCTTCCTTTATTGCAAGTTCTGTTTTTTTTAGATTTTCTTATCCCCTGCTATGTTAATAGCTTGCTAGACCCTGCAAGAGTCTCCTGTATGTGATTAAAGTTCAATTTAGAGTTGAGATACAATTATTTAAGGTAAATTACATCTGATTGAAAGTGAAACCAGTTTGTTTTTTTTCATGCAGGCTGTGTCAATCAGAGCTAGGGGAGGTGTGGCTAGGGCTGCATAAACCGAAACAAAGTGATTTAACTCCTAAATGGCAGTGAATTGAGCAATGAAATCGGAGAAGCATGATCTATACACTAAATCTGCTTCATTAAGCTAAAGTTGTTTAGGTGACTATAGTGTTCCTTTAAATTTTGCAACATGTTGTGGACTCAATATTTACTCAAAGATTTGAGGATTTATTGGGTAAATGAGAAATGTTTAGGGATTTATTCTCTAACCTCCAAATTTTAGTGACTTGAAAAACAAATTGTAAAATTTTGGCAAAAAGTGCAGATTTTGAAAAATTCTCTTACTTTGAGTTACAGCTTGGCTATTTTAAAGTTGTCTCTCCCAATTATTTACTCATGCCAATTGTTTGGGCACTATACATTATCTACAATCATTAACGCAATTCTACACTCTGTAGCTTCTTAAAGGAAGACTTTGCTCAGCACAACAACCTCATCTTAAAGAAGTCGGTATGGTGTCTCCAGGTGCTCTTACCTTAAAGGGTTAAACCATTCTTGTATAGTTTAACCCCAAAGCTTGCCTCCAACCCCTATCTCCAGGTCCCCCAGGCGGCATTCAACTTCTAAAATGGAGTTACAGGAACCGCAGAGTGCAGACTGGTAGGGGCACCGCTGATTGACTAGAGCGGTCAGCTGATACTAAGTAGCTCCTAAATAAAAAAAGAAAGTTACAATGGAGATTGTGTCTGAAGGCAAACTTTGAGGTTAAACTGTTCAAGAATGGTTTAATCCCTTAAGGTGAGAGCGCTAGGGGGCCATTTGGCACCATAACAACCTCATGTAGATTAAGTTGTTATAGTGACCAGAGTGTTCCTTTAAGAAGCTACACAGTGTAGAATTGTGGTAGTGATTGTAGTAAATGTATGGTGCCCGAACAATTGGGATGAGTAAATCATTGAGAGAGACAAACCTTTTAGGGTTTTACTTACAATACAGAAAATTGTGGACAATTGCAGATTTTAGCCCAAATTTGCCAAACTGTAAAAATTCCCCAACAGATTTATTTGCAATTCTGCTATTCTGCCCTAAGCTTTGTTTTAATCTGGTCATTTCTCCACAACTCCTCATCTAGTGAATGAATATCTTATAACTGTGTCATCTGTTTAATCCCTTTAACCCCTTAAGGACCAAACTTCTGGAATAAAAAGGAATCATGACATGTCACACATGTCATGTGTCCTTAAGGGGTTAAGGACGCAGCTTCAGAAGGAAAAGGCCTGCATGATGGAAAATTTCCGTTGTGTCCATAAGGGGTTAAAATGGCTAAAGATACATTGTACACGGCACTACTTTCCCCCGTTTACATTATTTGCAATTGCTCGTGACTTCCCAACAATTCACTGTTTACTAAAATAAGAACTGAAAATGAATTTGAAATTTGAATAACTTTGACTCAAACACCAAGCCCTCCTTGTAATGGATAGTGCCACATATTATAAACGTTGGGTGATGTAAAGGAAAACCACAAATGTGAGCTAATATTTTAATCCTTTCTCTCGGCAGAATGAGTCCTGGGGGAAGCAGTATTCTCACGCCATATTCAAGGCCATGAGTCACATGCTCTGCATCGGGTATGGCCAGCAAGCTCCGGAGGGCATGACTGACGTGTGGCTCACCATGCTAAGCATGATTGTGGGGGCCACCTGTTATGCCATGTTTATTGGCCATGCCACTGCTCTCATTCAGTCACTGGACTCCTCCCGCCGGCAGTACCAGGAGAAGGTGGGCAACATCAAACATCAATATCCAACTCATCTTAGGGTGGGGTGCAATAGTAAGATAGCACACTGGGGCTAGGTGTGAGGAGGGGGGCCATGACCAGACTGGTAAAAAGATACGTGCCATACTGCTATATGTAGAGAGAGAGGAGCCATACTGCTATATGTAGAGAGAAGGAGCCATGCGGCTATATGTAGAGAGAGAGGAGCCATACTGCTATATGTAGAGAGAGAGGAGCCATACTGCTATATGTAGAGAGAGAGGAGCCATACGGCTATATGTAGAGAGAGAGGAGCCATACGGCTATATGTAGAGAGAGAGAAGCCATACTGCTATACGTAGAGAGAAGGAGCCATACTGCTATATGTAGAGAGAAGGAGCCATACTGCTATATGTAGAAAGAGGAGCCATACGGCTATGTGTAGAGAGAGAGGAGCCATATGGCTATGTGTAGAGAGAGGGGAGCCATACGGCTATGTGTAGAGAGAGAGGAGCCATACGGCTATGTGTAGAGAGAGAGGAGCCATACGGCTATATGTAGAGAGAGAGGGGAGTCATAAAGCTATATGTAGAGAGCAGCCATACCGGTATATGTAGAGAGGAGCCATACCGGTATATGTAGAGAGAGGAACCATACTGGTATATGTAGAGAGAAGGAGCTATACAGCTATATGTAGAGAGAGAGAGGAGTCATACTGCTATATGTAGAGAGAGAGAGGGGAGCCATACTGCTATATGTAGAAAGAGAGGAGTCATACTGCTATATGTAGAGAGAGAGAGGGGAGCCATACTGCTATATGTAGAAAGAGAGGAGTCATACTGCTATATGTAGAGAGAGAGAGGGGAGCCATACTGCTATATGTAGAGAGAGAGAGGAGCCATACTGCTATATGTAGAGAGAGAGAGGAGCCATACTGCTATATGTAGAGAGAGAGAGGAGCCATACGGCTATATGTAGAGAGAGAGAGAGGAGCCATACTGCTATAGTTAGAGAGAGAGAGGAGCCATACGGCTATATGTGGAGAGAGGAGCCATACGGCAATATGTAGAGAGAAGCCATAGCAGTATATGGAGAGAGGAGCCATAGCGGTATATGGAGAGAGGAGCCATAGCGGTATATGGAGAGAGGAGCCATAGCGGTATATCTAGAGAGGAGCCATAGCGGTATATGTAGAGAGGAGCCATAGCGGTATATAGAGAGGAGCCATACCGGTATATGTAGAGAGGAGCCATAGCGGTATATGTAGAGAGGAGCCATACCGGTATATGTAGAGAGGAGCCATACTGGTATATGTAGAGAGGAGCCATAGCGGTATATGTAGAGAGGAGCCAAAGTGGTATATGGAGAGAGGAGCCATACCGGTATATCTAGAGAGGAGCCATAGCAGTATATGTAGAGGAGCCATACCGGTATATGTAGAGAGGAGCCATAGCGGTATATGTAGAGAGGAGCCATAGTGGTATATGGAGAGAGGAGCCATACCGGTATATCTAGAGAGGAGCCATAGCAGTATATGTAGAGGAGCCATAGCAGTATATGTAGAGGAGCCATACCGGTATATGTAGAGAGAAGCCATACCGGTATATGTAGAGAGGAGCCATAGCGGTATATGTAGAGAGGAGCTACACTGGTTGCTATGGATAGAGAAAGCGGACATAGGGATGAGGTGGGACTAGAAGAGATCAGGGAATGCAGAGTTCAGTACAGACAAGGCCAGAGAACCATCCTGAGATAAGTACAGATACAGGAGCAAGTCTTATTGGGTTTAGTACAGATGTTGCCATAGAGAGAGAACCTTACTGAGTCAGTACAGAGGGGCCATACAGAGAGAGTTCGTACCAAGGCTTTCATAGAGAGACAGGGTAATTCACTAAAGAGGATTTCTCTTATTAAACTATGCTTCCAGTTCTGCTATTTTAACCTATTACAATATGAAGTCTGCTGAATGATAGAATCTGGGTGCCAGGACTCTCCTTGCATTTAAAAATATTAAGAGGGTTTGCCATCCCGTGAGTCTGGAGTAGCAGTATATTATTTATATTATATTCCATTATATTATATTTTTTAGAAAAACTGACTTCAGAGGATGTGTGCAGTTCCTACTGGAAGCATATTTGCAACACATTTCTCTCTAACTGATATAGCCACATTAAGCAGGTGGTCTAGATAGAGGGAAAATGCCAGTACTGAATTAAGGAAGTGAGCAATACTGGGAGAAGTAAATTAAGTAAGGCCAATACCTGGTTTGACATAACGAGAGGGGGCCCATGCCCAGTCAAAAGGGCCATGCCAGGCCTGGTAGGTGTGAAATCATGGCAGCCCCGATAAATGGGAAGTGTCTTGCACGTCCTAGTAAAAGCTGATGTGTTATGGTGGGATACGTAGAAAGAGAAAGTACCGAGTGAGAGTGGTAGTGAGACAGGTGGCCACGTAGAGGTCCATGCTGGAAGGACTCATCCAAGCATGACTGTTACATACATGTGCATGTAGTTTTAGACAAGAGTGCAGACTGATACCCATTTTCTTTGTGTTGCTTAGTATAAACAAGTGGAGCAGTACATGTCCTTCCACAAACTTCCTCCAGACACGAGGCAAAGAATTCATGAATATTATGAGCATCGCTACCAAGGAAAGATGTTTGACGAAGAGAATATTCTTGGAGAGCTTAGCGAACCCTTGAAAGAGGTTAGTGATTCTTTCCTGTTCCCAGAGACTGTATCCATTCGTAGGATCTCTATTGTGCATGGAAGCCCCCATGAGATCCTTGTACATGCTGCTCTTCTCTCTTCGACCATCTCACCAGGTTTCTTAATATCTGACATTTCTTCTAACTGCAGGAGATCGTCAACTTCAACTGCCGCAACCTTGTTGCCAACATGCCGCTCTTTGCCAACGCTGACCCCAATTTTGTAACCGCCATGTTAACAAAGCTTCGATTTGAAGTGTTTCAGCCAGGAGACTATATCATACGCGAGGGTACCGTGGGCAAAAAGATGTACTTCATTCAGCATGGCGTTGTGAGCATCCTGACCAGAGGCAGCAAGGAGACCAAGCTCTCCGATGGCTCCTATTTTGGAGGTGAGATGACAATGGAATCCAAATCTTAGGTGACAATACAGGCTTTTCTAAAATAAAATAAAAACACAAAGTAGTGGTATTTATCCGTGCATATCAACATTGCTCTATATAGACTATGCACATGCATCAGGTGTGTGCACACCCTTAGCTACAGAGAAGCATCTTCTAGATTGCACGGTTACATATACATCAACATGTGCACTTCACCTACATCACTATGCCATTCTACACATATCAGGGGCTGCACAAATCACAACATCCAACATACATGGAAAGGCTCCCCAACCTTCCACATACAAGTTGCATTCTTTGATGGTCCCACATCCATGCTATTAAGCAGATTTATCATCTACTCTGTTTATATGTTGGGCTCTCTCGGTTTCAGAAATCTGCTTGCTGACACGGGGTCGTCGTACGGCAAGTGTACGCGCAGATACCTACTGTCGCCTGTATTCCCTGTCTGTGGATAATTTTAATGAAGTCTTGGAAGAATATCCTATGATGAGACGGGCCTTTGAGACGGTGGCAATGGATCGTCTGGACAGAATCGGTGGGTACCCAACACTTCCTCTGTGCATCGATGCATGTGGTCTAGAACTCCATAATAAACAAACAGGAAATGGTATTATGGGTGATTTGTTCACACAGCATGGGCACATGATTTAAACAAGTACTTTTTCACTGAATATAGTTCTTAAAAGGATACTCTGTGCACCATCTCTCTGGAGTTGTTATGGTGTTTGCGATTAAGCGGTTTAATAATGGTTTAACTCCTCTAAGGGAAGACAACCCGCAAAGTACTCTCAATGGAGCCCACCTTCTTGGAGTACTCAAGACCTGCATCCCTATATGATTATCCAGCCAGTCCAGGTTTCAGTGGTCAAATTATCCTCAAAATTAAAAAAATTGTTTACATATTAAAAAAAAAAAGACACAAATGCAGGTCCCTGCCTGATCCACGTGCTAAAACCTGCATATTAGCAGGGTCTCCCTGATTAACTGCACATTTTTACTCAATGATGTAAAAAAAAATTTAAAAAAAATGTATTGAAATAAAAAAATTTGTCATGCTTCAGCGATGATAGTTCTCAGAAGGAAGAAGTCTCTATGGCAGGAATTTACAGCCATTTGTCACCTCTGGGAAAAGCTGTATTTAGGAAATAAATTGCTCTGTGTAATAGAGAACAAGGAATCTCCTGTGTTTAAGTGCAGGGAATCCTTGCTGTTGGTGGAATTGGCTTTCTATCGTCCGCTTTGTCGTCAACGTAATTGTGCATCCAAATCGACCGTCAAATCTAAACATTGCACCTGGGGCTAGAGTTTAATGGGGGGAATGTTTTCTACAAATGTAACATCTCTATCTGGTCTTCTCTCAGAACTGGTACAAGCAGGATACGGTCTAGGCCTTAATCTGCCACCATGTCTTATTGTTTGCTTTACCTTCTTTCTTTATAACATAGCCCCCTCCTCCCTGTCTCTGTATCCGTACAGCCCATTCGCTTACCACCCCCATTCTCCCTCCTCTATTGCTCTTTCTGTGCTGCCATCCCAGATTACTCCCCCTCCTTTCTGAATAGCACTCTTAATCTGCTACTAACCTATAATTTCCCCCTCCAGTTATATCTACCGCCATCCCATAATTTCCATCGTCCCTTTATCACTCTGTATCTGCTACTAAGATTATACTACAGCTCTATTTGCCACTATTACATAATTTCTCCCATCCTTCCTTCTGTATTTGTCACTCGCCTCCCCCCTCCCCCCATCACCATTGCTTTTACCATGCCATAAATGTCCTTCTCCTGTCTGTATCACTCTTGGCATTTTACGCTATTTCATTACCTCTTTCTGTATTTATATTTGCTGCTGTCTTCCCCTTCCTATATTATTCTATAGATGTGCTGATGTCCCCTATCTATTTCTCATTTCTGTTTTACTCACTGTATCTGCTGATATTCTGTATACCGTTTCCTTCCTTTTTCCCCGTATTATACGAAACCGCTTCTATCCATCCTAAACTATCCTATATCCACATGATAATTTTCTTGTGTCCCCCTTCCCTTCTTCAGGTAAAAAGAACTCCATCTTGCTACGTAAACGAGCAGAGAACAGTTCAGGATCGGTAAACAACGAGATAATTCAACAGATCGTGAAGCATGATCAAGACGTTGCTCACAGCATTCAGGATCTCCAGTCTATGGGGGCTACACGGGATCCTGGTTACAGAACCCTAATCTGGGAGCCTCTGATTCACGCTCCAGTTCAGACTGCTGCAGCCACCACAAACGTGGCTATTGCTCTTACCCACCAGCAAAACCTACCAGCTCATATCTTCTTACCACCATCTTCACTTCCAGAAACTGCCTACATGAGTCGCCAGGCAAGAAGGTCACAACCGAGTCTTGGGCTGTCCAGGCCTTCTTCTGTAAGCTCTCCTTCTGGTGCACCGTCTCAGCAACAAACCCCAGCTGGAATCTCTCCATCCACACCTTGTGGTGTCCAAAAGCAGAGTGTAACTGGGCAATGCCCTCAAGTCCCTTCACGGCAATGTCAATCACAAAGGGGGGATGCTCCTATGCTGGCAAAACCACCATTACGGACCTCTCAGGTGCAGCTGTCTCGTTCACGTGGGACATCAGCATCCACCTCAGTCCTGGCAACAGGACCTACAACCTCTCAAGCAGTCCTAGGACCCCTCTCTGGGAGGACTCTACACTACAGCCTGTCAAGAGCCAGTGGTTCCCACATCTCTCTTCTCATGCAGCACGCAGCCAGCTCACCGCAACAGCTTGTCAAACACAGAAGCATCCAAGGACTTCATTTTGGGAGACTTTCACAAGATATTAGATTCCTTTCTGCCTCTCAGCCTTCGTTGCCTAATAAAATGGCCCAGCAGCAGGATAGTGGCACATCCCAGCATAGTGCAGGTTCTTCAGGGACAGCTACTAACAAATCATCTCCCTCTGGACCTGGGCTCCTAGTTAAGCCACCCATACCTTCTTCCCTTTCTTCGCATCCACAATCAGTCCCTTCAGGGTCTTTAGCTACATCTGGATGCTCAATCAGTGGTTCGTCCGCACCACAGACGCCAGTTTCTGCGATTAGACAAAGTACACCATCACGCAAAGGTTCTGTAGCATTCACCTCGGATGTTGAGATGGGCAAACCAAAACTGCCATCTAATATGTGAACTGAAACCAGGCACGGAATTATAATAATAGCGAACTATTGGTCAAGAACAGCACAGCAACATCCTCCATTTTAAGGAGAGAAATAATTAAGCGCATCTAGGCATCAATGGTTAGATATAGCATATTAAAAAACCAAAATACAATATATCACTATGCCCAGCACTTTTTACATTACATGGCTGAGAAAACAGTGGGATTACCACAAAGAAAATGATCCGTTGGTGAAATTGCCTTTACCCAGTCAAAGAATAATCTGAATCTAGTCCTAGTGATTGGTGACCATGACGAATAAGCCATGAAGTCGTGCTATGCCATAATGAGAACAGATGTCAGCCTCCACATTCCTTTTAAAGTCATACAGGTTGGATCTCAGCCATAGGTCCCATGGCATGCCATGCAGAAGACAAGTCACAGCCGCTAACCTGTTGCACAGAGAATGAATCCTAGGCATGTGGCCCACCGCAACCATATGAAATCTAGATCTGAGGAGTAGGGCCCCTACTGTGCTTTACAGACAATGGATCCTAGCATGCTAAACAAAGGATTATCCATGCCATACAGAGAGTGAGCGTCAGTGGTGGTGTTCCTGCTATACAATATGGAGACTGAATCCCAGGTATGGTTCCCCCACCATGCCATATTGAAAATGGATCCAGCTTGTGGGATTCATGCCACACAAAAAAAATGGATATCAGCGCTTTGGCTCCTGCTATGTAATAGATGGATGCCAAGGAAGACATAATACAGGTTCTAACTGTAGAACATAGAATGCAGAGATTAATTTCTAGCAAGTAAAAGGGGGCCCTTAAAAGTCAATCTAAAAAAAATGCCCCAATAAAGGATGAAAAACGTGCCAAGACTGATTTATGCATTAAACCAAACCTGATAAGATGGAGTGAATGTACCCTAAACATGCACCTCAATCTTCCACCCTTGCTGTGTCAACTCACGTCTGTGAGCCCGTTTGAATTTGTGTTTCTCCTCTTCTTTCTCAAAGTAGAGTTATTTTTGTTAAAACGGTTCTATTTTGATTAGTGATACTAACACCTGTTGTGCAATAAGACTGAACATACCGGGGTGGAGATGATGTACTTGGACATTTCAGGAATCTATCCCACAGAACCATTTACCCCAAAGATGATGGGTCACAGTCATCCCTCCTTATGTCTTCCAAGTTCTTGCTTTAGTCTCCAGTCTCTACAGTCTTAGAGACTTTCTCCCCATTGGACTTACCAACCTTCTCCACCATCATGTAGCCATTGACTTCTGCTACTTTCTTGTAGGGTCCTTAAGCCTACAGATGACAGGTTTCTTGAGCCTGGGGCCTTTAACTCAGTGGAAAAGAAAGACCAGCAAGTGCCTTGAGGACAGAGGGTGCCTGGCTAACTGTAGTGACACGAGTTGAATAATTCTTGTGATTTCCCCCCCCCCCCTTTCTGTGGATTCCATTAAATGTACACTGAATCAAGGACCAATCGCTTGGGGTGGTGATGGGTGGGGTGCTGAAATTTCTTTGCCAATGGTGCATTACATTTTAAGCGGTCGATGGCCTCACTAAATTGTGTTGTTTTGTTTTTTTTTCTTTAGAAACATTGTTCCCTTGCACTAGAACCTGAGCTTTTAATGTGCTATATAGGTTCTGGAAGTTAAATACACTACACGGTATGGAATTTGCAGATCATGCTCTGTCTGGATGCTGAACACCCTTTACACCAAAGCCTTGTCCCAACACAAAGCCATTAGAACAACCAGGAACACAACATATATTGCTTTACAAGAAAGACAATGAGGATACACAATCGGTCTGAGTACATAAACAGTGGTGCTGATTAAGGATTCCGAATCTTTATAACTGTATGGGGGCGGCTCAGTGGAATAAACGGCCTGTTTTCTGGGGAGAAATAACAATGCCTATAAGGGTCTGCTCTTCAATCAGCCTTTTATGGAGGAGACTAATAAGAACCTGTACCCCTGAGACAAAAACAGCAAATAGAGTTCTCCATCTGAAGTCCTTCGTAATGTGCTATCTAGATAAGACTCCATATGTATTGCACGACTTGCACAATCCTGTACAGCTTGGGAGATGAAGAATTGGATACCCCTATCTCTTGAGTTGAGAGGCTATAGATTTCTATATCACTAACAGGGAAATTATACCACCATCATGACAACCCTTCCATCAGAATACTCTAAAATGATACTAACAAAGAGTAATTGTAGGTTTGTCAATTGAAACCTCTATTGCTCCATCTCTTCTATGTAATAGCAGTCCTACTAAGATGCACTCAGAAGCCCAGTCTTTGTGAAAAATCCCTAAATTGAACAGTGACTTTGCAGGGAGATTCCCCAGTAGCATTGTGTGTCTGTCATGTCCTGTTAAAGCCTGGTGTTCATGACAATAAGAGAATCCTACAGGGGAAGGAAGGAGGGGAATACATGGCATTAGAGCACAAATAGGTATTTATTGCAGGAATATAAGCAGATTTTTTTTGTATTGTGTTGTACATAAGTTGTTTTAACTAAAATGATCTGTAAATAAAAAATAAAATGCCAGACGACGACTGCGTGGATGCACTTGGAAGTTCAGGGTATCTGGGGAGCTTGAACCATGTAAGTCTTTCTATCCATTTACTAACACAAAGCTGTATTAAAGGGGAACTGTCCTTTCCCATGATTTTTAATTTTATGTTTACTTAACCCCATGTTAAAAAGTTTAGATTTCACAATTCACAAATACATGAGGAGAAGTCAAGTTAAATGTAGAAATCTACAACTCTTCATTCTGCAATTGGGCGCCTCCATCTTGGCTCCCTGTGAATCGATGTAATAAGTTCTGCACCTGGTAGTCAGCATCGAGAAGCATACAGAGAAGAAAAAAATAAAACGGTTTAGATTTCTACTCTTTCTTTGCAATGTTTCCCTTGGCTGTGCCTGGATTAAACTGGTTTATGATGTAATTTGCTAAATATTTAAAGGACCACTCTAGGCACCCAGACCACTTCAGCTTAATGAAGTGGTCTGGGTGCCAGGTCCAGCTAGGGTTAACCCATTTTTTCATAATTATAGCAGTTTCAGAGAAACTGCTATGTTTATATGGGTTAAGCCTTCCCCCATCCTCTAGTGGCTGTCTCATTGACAGCCACTAGAGGCGCTTGCGTGCTTCTCACTGTGATTTTCACAGTGAGAGCACGCAAGCGTCCATAGGAAAGCATTATAAATGCTTTCCTATGCGACGGCTGAATGCGGCGCAGCTCTTGCCGCGCGTGCGCATTCAAGGGGAGGAGGAGGAGGAGGAGGAGGAGAGCTCTCCGCCCAGCGCTGGAAAAAGGTAAGTTTTACCCCTTTCCCCTTCCAGAGCCGGGCGGGAGGGGGTCCCTGAGGGTGGGGGCACCCTCAGGGCACTATAGTGCCAGGAAAACGAGTATGTTTTCCTGGCACTATAGTGGTCCTTTAAAGGGACAGTTTAGGCACCATAACAAATTTATTTAAATGAGGTTGTAATGGTGCCTTATGGTGTCAGGAGGTGCCCGGGCGCACTCTTGCCTCAAGGGGTTAAACAGTTTTTGAACAGTTTAATCCCAAAGTGAGCTGCCAGCACCAATCTCAACTACCGCCAAACAGCCTCCGGCTTCTGAAAGTTCACTTCCAGGAAGCTCCAAGTGCTGCCAGGCAGGGGCTCCGCTGATTGGCTGGGAGCAGTCAGGGCTGGATTAACATAGGGGCTGATGGAGCTGCAGCTCCAGGCCCAGACCCATGGAAAATGCCCATTGATTTTAAAGAAAATATTAAAAATGAATATATATATATATATATTTTTTTTTTTTTTACACACTACTCTTAGGATTGTCCCCTCGCTGGTATTTATTTGAGGCTGCCTGACTGGTGCAGATATTGCAGTATTACCGGCAAATGCCGGTATTTTTTTCAGTATAAACAGAGATTACACCCAGCAGGGGTCACAGTGTGTGGAGAGAGGCAGGGATAGCAAGTTACAGCATATACCTGCATCTCTCTACTCACAGATCCGTAGGGGAGCAGCTACACAGCACAGATAGTCCAGACAGCAGCTCCCAGCCTGCAGAGACAGTCTACAGCTCAGGGACGTGAGGGATGGGGTAAAGGCTGCAGGTAGACATGGGGACACATGGAGACCTCTGGGGACGCTGAGAAACTTGGGGACACAGAGACATGGGGACACTAGGAGACATGGAGACACAGACACTAGGTGACATGAAAACACGGGGCGACATGGAGACACTGGGACACAGACACTGATACATAGTCTGTGTCCCCAAATGCACAGACGCTAGGGGACATAGGGACCCTGGGAACAATCCATCTATACAGCAGAATCAAACTAAGTTTTTTGGTGAGTTTACAGAATTTTCTCTTGTCACTCCTTGTGATTTACATTATGTGATGACACGCATACATAATTAGTTATGCAAATTAGTAAGGCCTATATTTTTTTCCCAAGTAAGGTGGCAACCCTAACTACTCTTCACGTTACTTAAAGGACCACTATATGCACCCAGACCACTTCAGCTCAATGAAGTGGTCTGGGTGACAGGTCCCTCTAGTTTTAACCTTGCAGCTGAAAACACTGAGGGTTAATCCAGCCTCGAGTGGCTGTCTCACTGACAGCTGCTAGAGGTGCTAGAGGCACTGTGAAAATCACAGTGCGAGGACACTGGACGTCCACAGGAAAGCATTACTCATTACGTGGCTCTTGCAGCGCATGCGCATTCAGATCTGATGGCGGCAGGAGAGGTCACCAGTACCGAGGGAGCCCGGCACTGGAGAAAGGTAAGTGGCTAAAAGGGTTTTAACCCCTTCTGCCCAGTTGGAGGGGGCCCTGAGGGTGGAGGGACCTAATGACGCTATAGTGCCAAGAAATGGGTTTGTTTTCCTGGCACTAGAGTGGTGCTTTAAGTATGGAAACTTAAGAGGGATATATGGAAACAAAACTTGTGTGGACTAGCTGAAATTAAATTAATAAAGGTAATGTGGACTTTGGTCTCTCTAACACTGTGGCATGTTCCCTTTCTTCTACACTCACTACATCCACCTTTTCTCTGTCTCAGACTGTGTACCAGGAGCTTCTCCCTGCTTGTAAGGAGACAAGTGGACATGAGTGCGAGGGGACAGTCCTTAGAAAGCATGGAGCGAGCGCATCATTAGACGCATTTATCCCAAACTCAGGATGCTGTTGGCCAGTATGTATGATTGGCAGGCAGGCTGACATGCATTCATGCCAGGCTAGCCTTCCAATTCTTTGGGCAGACACCTTTTTAAGCATGTTCGGCCCTTTCGGAAGTTCTGGTTACGTGATCCACGTCAGTGGCCCAACCTTTTACCGTGCCCATTGACTTCCTGCTTCACTGGATACTGCTGTTGGGGAGTATGGATTTACTTGAAAGGTGAAAGCATGAATTCGAGAGATAAACATATTTTAAGAGAATCTGAGTTTTCGTATAGCTGCATCCTCTGTTTTTCCCTCCGGCAACATCTCCACCAGATACATAACGCTTGAAAGATATGACTGTGTGTTTTTGGTCGATAAGATTCTGTACTTTGGCCCCTCATAATTGTCAGCACCAGGCCCACGAGGCTCTTAATCTGGCCCTGGGAGCAGTCCGTGATTGCCCATTCACAAATTAGTGTGAAGTGATCCTTTAATATAAACGTAAAAACAGCACCTTTTATAAGGAGAAAAAAATACAAAACAAAAATAAAACCACAAAGAGACATCAATATTGGTGTTCGATGATTTTAAAAAAAGGTTTTCTTCCATAGAGTAAATTCCAGAAAATTGACAGTACCCCTTTAAAGAATGCGAGGGAGGGGTGAGGTGATTGTAAATGATAAACAGAGCAGTGTGCAAGATCCAAATCCATGTTTTACATAAGCTGTGCATAGTGCAATAAAGACTTATTCATTTAGAGCAGAATTCAATGTGCAGATTTGCGCTCTGTCCATTTCCTGGGACTTGAGATACTCCGGCCTTAGACGCAGGCTGCATGTTCCGAAGTGGTCAAAATGACATTTGAGCAGCTGTTGTGTAGCCGGATTAGCCATAATCTCTCGCACTATGTGCTCTGTTTACAGTCTGCTGTCTAATATGAAGAGATTATATAAGGTCACCCCCAGAAATAACGGCACATGAGAAGTGAGCTGGACCCCTTACTCCCCCATGTACAATAAGCCAGGTTAGCGATTTGAGACACATGGACAGCACAATGTACAACGTGATGGCAACATATACCAAAGATGTGTACAACGGGCACACCAGTGTTACAATAAGCAAATGGTGATATATGTCACTATGGTGGATGGCTTCTGATCCCACGTGGGCAGAGTTTAAAAATAATCTTGTTGCTTTAAACAGGCAGAACATACACTGGATTCAAAATATTACTGGCACAGGAAGAGACAGCAGCCCATCCCCTTGATTGTAATCACAACATTAAAACTGCTTTATATAAAGCCTGGAAACGTTATTGGGAAAAGCGTATTGGTCATTAATCTGTCTGATTAATCCTTCATCTGAAATCAGCTTAATCAACTTACTCATTACTCCCCCAAAACCAGATTGCCCTCTGTCTTAGAGAAAGTGAAAGAAGGGCTAAGCAACAGTGAGAAGGGGGGTGGGGGGAGAGACAAAAAGACTAAGTGACATTGAGAAGAGGCAGAGCAAGGGAGGGGCTACATGACAGTAAGAAAGACAAAAATAGGGGGGCGAGTGAGGGCCCAAAAGAATGAGGGGTGAGAACATTCTGAAAGTGGAGGTATAAGAGATTGTGTCCACAAAGGGTCAGGTAATAGACAGCACCCATGAGAAGAAAAAAAAAAGAGTGAGAAATATAGCAGGACTGAATGATAGATAAAAAAGGGCAGACACCACGAAGAGGGGGAGAAAATAGGTTAACGAGTAAGAAACGAGAATGGAGAAAGCAGTTCGGTATAATAAGATGAGCGAGAGGGAATGAATAGTGAGAAGTGGAGAAAGTGAAGAGAGGGTTTTAAAAAATGGTGGATCACGCAAGGACGGAGAACAGGAGATGGACAGAACCAGCTTGAAGAGGGATGAAGGCCAACGAAAGGCTAGAGCAGGATCACATTTAACCCCTTAAGGAGCAAACTTCTGGAATAAAAAGGTAATCATGACATGTCACACATGTCATGTGTCCTTAAGGGGTTAAAGACAGGTAAACTTACTGAAGTGGCAATAAAGAAGTACTAGAAGGGAAATGGGTGAGAGCTTAAGTACCTGGTTTTATATATTTCATGGATCGCACATTCAGAATGGAGACAAGTTAGACTCCGCTCCACATTGGGCAGACTGTTTAACTGAGAGAACAGGCCAGTTGATTGAATTATATGGAAAGAATGATATTAGCAGAACCCTATGAGTGGATCATTTTTGAAAACAGATCGGGAGACGCTGTCATGAATACATTCAAACAAAGCACAATTGAAACATTCATTCTCCCTCAATCTGTAACTGCTTCTATGGATCTGTCATTTACAATCCGCCATCTCAGCCCCACTCCCCTCAAACTTAAACAGTCACTCGCTGCCAATATAATTGCCCTGCTCATCTCTTACCATAATACATTTCTCTTCTCCTCCACTTTTCACCCAATGTTAAATTTCAGGGGGAACACTACCTCGTTCTCCTACCGTTCACTGCTCATCTTACACTACAAAAAAGCACTCACCCCCCCACCCTTCCATCCTTACATTGCCAAGGAGGAACTACCAATCCTATGTCTAACTCCAGAGGGAACTCTTTTCCCATCACATATTTCACCTCCTCGTGTAAAACCTCTCAGGAGGGTTTCTCATTCTACAGCCAATCAATCCTGGGTTCTGCCCTCCACAGTGTATATTACATAACACAATTTAGCACGTGCACCCAGTTCAGGAAGAATTTTCACCCCACTATCTCACACTTCTCAGTAGGAATATTCACTCTACTCTACCTGCCCAGCTTTCAAAAGCAAAGGTGGAAAGTGGAACAACCAACTCATCATACACCTTACGCAACATTACTTTGAAAAAGAGGGTGATGAGGGATTACTTTTTCTTCCATCTATCTACACATTCCCCATCCTATACTGTTCAGGAGGGCTTCTTAACACCTTCATGTTACACTGCTCAAGAAAACCTCTCACTGCTCCACAATTTAAATCACTCAATAAAGCCTCTCACACCCATCCTCCACTGCTCAGGAGGACCTCTCAATCCCCCCCATCCTCCACGGCTCAGGTTTACCTCTCAATCCCCCCCACCCTCCACTGCTCACGAGGACCTCTCAATCCCCCCATCCTCCACGGCTCAAGAGGACCTCTCACCATACCCCTCCTCCACTGTTCAGGAGGACCTCTCATGCCATCCTACACAATACTGCTCAGGAAGACCTCTCATCCTTCACTGCTAAGGAGGACATGACATTTTGTACCTTTCGCTCATCTTACATTGCTTTAGAGATATGTTCATTCTCCTCCCTACATCATACACTGCAAAAAGGGAGATCTTCCTTTATTCCCCATCAAACACCACACAAAAGGACTCAACCCCCAATCTAACACTGCTCAGCAAGAACACTCAATCCACCACACTGATATTAAACTGCTCAGGAGAACTCAACATAATTCTTCCAAACAATATTCAAAAAGAAACATTCTTTCCTTTTGATTCTAAAGTAGGAATATTCACTCCCTCCCTATCTGACTCTGATCAGTAAAAGTACATTTCCTGCAATCTATTCTGGGCTCGGAGCTCTCTGGGGAGCTTTACACACAGCGAGTCAGCACATGTACCCAGATCACAGTCACGCAGGAGAGAGAGGACACAATCAGAGCCAAGGCGCTGGGTAAAGCTTCCAGAAATGTTTAATAAGAAATGTTTGGGAATGTCAGAGTTTGTTTCCAGGACAGCAGATCCTGCACTCTAGGGTACCCGCACCACCTGCATGATATTGGTATATCCAGAGCCAGGTCTCCATCCAGTCAGGAAAATCACCACATCATCTTTGTGGAGGAAACCACGGACCTTACCTGCAGAACACATGTTGTATAGTTACATAGTAATCAAGGATTAAAAAAAGACTATGTCCATTGAGTTTCACCTTTAAACCCATATTTTTATGCGGTTGATCCCAAAGAACCTCCCCCCTCCCATTTGAAGTGATTTACAATTATGCTACGAAGGACAATAAATAAATATAGTTCTTGACTCCATTATGGCAATCAGATTTTTCCTTGGCTCAACAACCTGTTCACATTCATATCAATCATATAATATATACGGTATATATTAATATATCTCACTGAAAACCTGTCTGGCACACCAGACAATGGTTTGCACTTTGCCCTCGTGTTTCTTTACAACTTAAGAAAAAAAATACCTCGCTAAAAACTCCACATGCACTCAGCTGAACCATATCCTAATGGTAGAGTCCTGCAACAGTTATAGCATGCTACACAAAAATACCAAATGCTGAGCCAATGAGGACAAGGAGGCCATATGCACACAGTGATATATATTAAAGGACCACTTAAAATCACAGAGGGCACTTCTTCTCAATTTAGTGGCTGGGGTTTAATGTTCTTGTAGTTTTAACCCTACAACGTAAATCACGGGCAGCAGTTTTTATTTTTTTGAAACTGCAAGGTTTACATTGTAGGGTTAAATCCTCCTTTAGATCGTCTCATGCTGACCACAGCTAGAGGCGCCTCCTGCTGCAGCAACAGAGTAAGACAGCCACCTGACTGCAGCCCCAAAAGCAAAGCACCGATTCAATGCTTTGCAGCTTAGTAAACTCAGCTATGTTAGATATACTAAGAACCTGAACCTCTCCTGAAACTTGCCTTGCGAATAGAACTTCAGTGAGCATATGAACTGGGCTCTGCATGTGAAAATAAATATAACAATATATAAATAAATCTTTAAAAATAGGCATGCTTTTACCAGCAAAGATGGAAGCATATTTTTCAACTTGTTAAAGTTATTTTTATATTTAAATTTGTTATCTTTCTCTCCATTTTATTCCTTACTTTATTTCAATCTAATTTCATTCCTTTTCAAGCAACTCTTTGCTATAAAACAACCTCTAACGCCTTTATCTGCTGTTGAGATATGAAACAATATTTCAGTGTTAATGGTTAAAGTGTCTTTCAATATGGACAATGTATACTGTTCTATAGACACCTCACATTTCTACAAGAGAATTATATACTGGGACAATTAAAGGGACACTATAGTCACCCAGACCACTTCAGCTCAATATAGAGGTCTGGGTGCCAGGTCCCTCATGTCTTAACCCTTCAGATATAAACATAGCCATTTCAGAGAAACGGCTAGGTTTACATTAGGGGTTAAACCTACATTAGGGGTTAAGCCAACCTCTAGTGGCTGTCTTCCCGAAAGCCGCTAGAGGCGCATCTGCGATGCTGGATGCGAAGAGCGTCCATAGGAAAGCATTGAGAAATGCTTTCCTATGGACTGTTTGAATGCGCACAGCACTTGCTGTGCATGCGCATTCCGTTCCACTTGGGAGCAGACGTTGGCGGGGGAGCAGAGGGAGCCCTGCACTGGAATAAGGTAAGCTACTGAAGGGGGTTTTAACCTCTTCAGCGCCACGGGAGGGGGAGTCTGAGGGTAAGTGTACCCTCAGGGCACTATAGTGTCAGGAAAACCGCTTTGTTTTCCTGACATTACAGTGATCCTTTAAGCAATATTTAAAAGGATGTGCAACTTATTTGTATTTAGCTTTCTTTTCTATGGATTCAGATATGTGTCCTGATTTATACTTCTATTTGTTGTTTTTTGTGTATATATATTTATTATTTTTAACATCTCCGTATTTGGCAATATAAGCATGGACATTTAGATTGAGAAAGTCTTGGAAGCAAGACAAAATAAATAAATAAAAAGCACCCGATAGCCTAGTTACCCGACAGGTACATGGAGAACGCTGAAGAGGTTCTGCAGTGGGTGTACAACTTGGACCTCCGATTGTCACTGACCGCTACAAAGTGGTTTAACTTTTTCAAGAAAATTTTTGCACGTGCGGAGCCTTCTCTGTTTATATGCCCACTGTGAATAAGTTCTATTCGTAAGGCAACTTTCAGAAGGTCAGGTTCTTCGTGTTCCTTTAACATAGCAGAGAATATTAAGCTGCAAACTGCTCAGTAACCCTCTACAGGAATGTTGAAGCATGTAATACTGCAAGAGTGACGTCTGGCAACTTTATTACCATAGCAGTAACCATAACCAGTATTTGCTACTTTGGACTACTGAAAGGGTTCCTCACGTGTTTATTACGGTTTGATTAGTATTGCAAACAAGCTATAGTCTACTAGGCACATTTCAGGTTATGGATCTCAGCATTTCACACCATCTAGGCATCTCTTCGTGTGACTTGCAGAAAATAAGAGAAATTGTCATTTACTTATTCAGACTGAAGGTGGACTCTGCAATATTAAAGGGACACTCCAGGCACCCAGACCTTCTGCCCATTGAAGTGGTCTGAGTGCCAACTCCCACCACCCTTAACCATGCAAGTGTCATTATTGCAGTTTTTATAAACTGCAATAATTACCTTGCAGGGTTAAGTCCTCCTCTATCAGACAGCCACTAGAGGGACTTCCGTGTTCTTAGAACATGAAAAATGTTTTAAACTATGCTGGACGTCCTCATGCTATGTGAGGACCTCCAGCATCGCCGGAATCCCAATAAGAAAGCATTGATGTTTTCCTGGCACTGGATCGTCCCTTTAAGGTGACGTTATTCACCTATTGATTTTTATTTTATTTTTATACCAGATTTTATACCACTGTATACTATTGCTCTTCCTATATTTTATGTTTTACTGTGATGTATTAGGCGCAGCTTATAGGTAATGTATAAAACGGTCACTTGATTGCAGCCCCCCAAAGCAAAGCATAGATTCAATGCATTCCTATGTTGAAATTTGATATATGCGCAGTGCTGTTCGCACATTTGCATCAGGTCCACAGAGCATCGGATTCGATCTCCAGAAAAAGCACTGCGATGGTGGTGGTGGTGGAGTGGGGTGGTTGGAGATCCTTTGTTTTAAGGGACTGTGACCACGCACCACAACCACTTCAGTGGTGTTTGAATGTGCATGGTTTCATTATGACATACAGAGAGATATTATATTGCGGCCAAAGCTGTAACTCCACCTCTGGCAATGTCATTAGTACGTCACTAGCCAAACTCAAACAAGAGTTCCAGTCTAGCTATTTCAATTCTGTGCATATTTAATGCCCAGATGCACATTCATTGGCCAAGAGCACTCCGCTGATACTAATGGAGTCATAGTATCCTGTATTGGATAGTATTCAGCCTGCTGTACTATGGATTATATTAGTTTACTATCAGTAGATACTAATGATCTCATAATCCAATAAAGCTCTGCTTCTATGAACTGAATATAATTAAAGCATGGATTAAGTTTGTTATTACAATCCCAATTACTGCTAAACATTTTAAATGGACAAAGTAGAGCAGAGTCAGTTTCGTAAGAGAGGCCATGCGTAAATCAGCTAGCAAAATAGTTATGTCGCCTTCAATCCTGGACTAGTAGGGGAGCCTTGAGGATTGGTTTGGGAACCCCTGATCTATACCATTGCACAGTGTAGGATTCTTTGTTACCGGTGTGTGACTTTGATCATTAAATCTTTGCGATACTTACCAATTGAAATGGCAAACTGCACCCTGCGATCCACATCATCTGCCCAGACTTCAAGCTGCTTCTCGCGGTAAAGAACAGGGAAAACTCCACGGCTCAGATGAGCCTGACGTGCTACCTGGTCATTCCGTGTCACCGCAATGATGGGAGCGCGAGGGCGGTAACGGGAGAGCAGCTGAGCTGACCTAGGACAAATATAAAAAGGATCAGCAAGTGGAAACTATCGCTACAGCAAATGTAGTGAAAACAGCTTTGCAGTGTATGCGGTCCCTCACCCAGAGAGCCAACAATAGGTTCCAGCCTATTCCCATTTCCACTCTAGTTAGAAGGGTTTATCATTTGAGCAGACCCAGGTGAGGATCTGCGTCATTTTTTTTATAATAAGGATATTTAGTCTGTGCTAAGGATACATATAAAATTATAAATAACACATGCACAAAAATGGTTTATCATACACGGGATATGGCCGCTGGAAGCCTTGATTTGGTAAAGTAAACTATGTTAAAGGGACTCCAAGAACCAAAACTACTACATGGTAAAATAGTTTTGCTGTAAAGACCCAGCAATGTTTACATTTGTTACTAAGGCTGGCTGTAGTGGCTGTCAAACTAGAGAGACACTGATCCCAGAGCACATTTGATTTTTGAATGCGGTCACGTTTCTCATCATCATGTGGATGATGACACAGAACGTGCCCCATGGAAAATGCATTAGGATAAAGCTTCCCTGTGAGAAGAATCCAATTGGCCAGCAGGGCAACTGTGGTTCTATGGAAGCAATGACGCCCGAAGAGGAGGACTGGGACGCTGCTGGGTGAAAGGAGAGTTTAACTTTTAAAGGTAGCAGTTTTGGTGCATAGTTTATGCCCCTGCAGTCCCACTGCTAAATTTGCCACTTGCCAGGAGTTAAATCACTTTAGCTGTTTTTTTGTTTTGTTTTTTATTTATTTTTTTTGAAAGTGCAGGTTAAACACAAGAGCAGGCAGTGTCACAACAACAGCTGCGTGCACAGTAGTTAAAGACATAGTTAAACAGCAGTGTGACGTACTAAAGCAGGTAGTAGCACAATTTTATAATTTTTCTTGAGTGTTGCAAGAACTAAAAGTGAATATGTAACAGGTTAGAATATATTAGGTGGTGTAACCTTGCCTGTGCCACTTCTGGTGGCCTGTATGGCCGTATTGTTGTCTGCCCCTGTCCTACTTAGCTTGGGGTGGGGTTGGGGACAAGCTCTAGGGGCGTGCGCGCTATAGCGGCTAGAGGCGATAGTGGTATGTGGCATGGTTTAATGACTCCTTAACCCCGGAGTCTGGGGGAGGTAAGCCATCTGCCTGGCTGCTGAGTGGGGTTTCGTGACATTGGTGCCATGGGCTTAATGACACTATATGTATAATGGTTCCTTAGGTTTAGGTTGTTGATACTAAACCATAAGTAAATCAAGTAGAATACCAAGAGAAATAAAAATGAAAAACAAACACAATAAAGCAAAGCATAATACGTAGATGTGGGAGCCAAGCTCCAACTCGCCCAATATGTGACAACACCAGGATGGAGGTTTTGGTTGCAATGTCTCTTTATCCGACGGCTGCTCAGTCGGTTCAAGTGTCCCGGGGCTGCACTGGCCCCTGTCCCGCTGGTGTTATCTGTCCCGCAGGAGTAAAGTCCGGAACATTAGCTACGTCCCACTTGTGTGGAGGTCTTGTCTTGGCCCCTGCCTTCTGTTGGATGCCCAGCACCTGCAGAAATTGTGGAGCCTCTTCCGGTGATGCCCATCTCGCGTAGCGATAAGAAGCCTTTGGTATCCCCATTTATATGGTATCTCTGCTGTTCTTAGTTGTGCCGTGGTTTCTTTTAAGGATGCACGCCATTGTAGCGTCTGGCGGCTGAGGTCTTGATAAAAGTTCAGGTTGAGGTCTTCAAATGCAAATGGGGTCTGGCCCCTGACGGCCCAGAGAAAGCCATCCTTATCTGTGCGGGTTTTGAAGTTTAATATGACATCTCTTGCGGAATCAGGTGCGTTGTGTGGGCGTCCCGGTATGCGAAATAGGCCATCTAGAGTTATGCTTTTGGCCTGTTTGGGTGGTAGGGCGGCCTGGAGCAGTCTCTTAATGAGATGCGGTAGTTCCTCTATTGTTACGGTGTCTGGGATCCCCCTCACCTTGACAGTTTTTTGCCTTGCTGCATCCTTCAGCTGCCCCATTCGGGAGTTCATCTGCGTGCACATGGCTGTTAGTTCTAGAGTTTGATTGGCGGTAGCTTCTTGCTGGGCTTTCAGGTCCTGGACCCCGGCTTCTGCGGCTTGTATGCGGCCCGTGAGCGTATTTAGCTCAGACTTGAGGCCTGCGAGTTCTGCAGCGAAAAAGGCCTTGAGGTCTGTCACCATCCCTGACAGGTCGACCTTAGTGGCTAGTTGGTGGTCAGCAGGGCCGGACTGGGAAAAAAATTAGGCCCGGGCATTTTTCAATCAGAGAGGCCCCCTAAGAAGGGGGCGGGGCCAGTGAGTGTGTTTTTTGTCATCACTAATGACAACACGCCCCCTCTCAAAGTGAGCATGTTGGTTCAATGCCCAGAGCCCTGCTGAAGAGCTCTGGCATTAGAAAAAGGCCCTGAATTTGTTCTGCGCAGCGCAAGCAAATTTAATAACATGCTTGCACTGTGTTTGTTTTTAAATTGTCTCTGGTGTCTCCACAAGTGGGATACCAGAGGACAAAAGGGCCAGGAAAGTGCCTGGTGCATATGTTTGGAGCCTGCTTGTGGGATTGCGTGTGTGTAGAGTGTGGTGTGGTATTGTGTAAAAAGGTCAATTTAATTTGTGTTTGTGGTGTAATATGTGTGGCTAGGGGATGCAGCGAGTGTGTGCATACGGGCTGAAGTGTGTGTGTATAGGTGACGGAGTGTGTGTAGGGGTTGCAGAGAGGGTGTGTTTAGAGAATGTTGTATGTGTTTGCTGACAAGGAATGTAGTGTGTGTGTGTAGGAGATCTACTGTGTAAAGGACCCAGTGTGTGTGTGTGTAGAGGATTAAGAGTGCATTTAGGGTAAGGGATCTAGTGTGTATCTGGAGCGTAATGTGTGTAGTGGTGCAGTGTGAGGGGTGCTGTAGTGTGTGTGTGTATGGATGGATATATATATATATTTGGACTTATTGTATGTGTGAGGGGCGCAGTGTGTGTATGTAAGAGGGGTGCTGTGTGTGAGGGTGTTTTTATCTGCTGTCACATTCTAGGTTTCTAATTTTCTTTGTCTGTTAACTCACTGAGGGTTATTTTACACTCCCACACATATACAGCACATATATATATATATATATATATATGTGCTGTATATGTGTGGGAGGGTGCTGTGTGTGTGTGTGTGGGAGGGCGCTGTGTGTGTGTGTGGGAGGGCGCTCTGTGTGTGTCTGGGGGGTGCTGTGTGTGTGGGGGCTGTGTGTGTGTCTGGGCTGTGTGTGTCTGGGGGTGCTGTGTGTGTGTCTGGGGGGGTGCTGTGTGTGTCTGGGGGGTGCTGTGTCTGGGTGTGAATGTATTTATTTAAATTTAAATATATATTTTTTACTAATTGTTAGAGCTCCGCCGGGTCCTCTCTCCTCCTTCCCTCCCTCACCCAGCCTGCGGCCGCATCTCCCTGTCTGTGGGCCCGTGAGGGAGATGTTTGATCTCCCCACCGGCCCATGGAGGCACACAGCAGGTCCCTGCAGGGGCCGGCTGGGGAGATCCCCTGCCGGCCTCGGCCCCACGGCCATGGCGGCCCACCGGGCATTTGCCCGGTATGCCGATGGCCAGTCCGGGCCTGGTGGTCAGGTTGTTTCGGCAGTGCATTCTGCAGCCTCCGTTGGGGTATCTGGGTTGGTATGTCACCAAGGTATTCATCGTCCGATGCCGAAAGTGACTCCATCCCCATGTCGTGGTAGGCGTCCGCCATCTTGGGCATACATGCTTGGGACAGGAGCTGCCCGATATCTTGTGTGTGGCCCGTGTTTTGCCCTCGGGGTTTTTTGGAGTGCTTCCCCATTGTTTGGTGTATCCTCTGTAAGTGATTTGTCGGTATCTGGAGGCTTTTTGGGTGAGCCATGAGGCTTTTGTAGAGCAGCTTTTGTCAGCTCAGCCGCTAGCCCTGCCCCCCTTTTAGCTTTTGTATTTGCAGCTCTAGTCACACCTTCATTAGCTGAGACATGTCCTCCATGGAAAAAATTGTGTCAATTCGATCAACTCTCACTTTACTTTTAACCAAGTTAAACTACAATTACAGACAGGATGCTCCTGCAATCTCCAACAGACCATAAACAAAACAGATACTAAAATTTTAAACAGAAAGTCCTATAAAGGAAGTATAAACATTAAACTTCCAGGAAGTATTAAGGAAGGCTGTGCAAGTCACATGCAGGAGAGGTGTTTAGGGCTGCATAAACAGAGATTTAACTCCTAAATGGCAGAGAATTGAGCAGTGAGACTGCAGAGGCATGATATACTTACCAAATCCACTTCATTGATATTCATTTTTAAGTTGTTTTTTTTATAGTATACCTTTAAAATTTTACAGGTGGGTGGGGGGGTTGAAAATTTATTGTAGTAAACGCTAATATTATAAAATTAATATTTATTTAGAATAAATTCTATTTTAATCAAGTGTTTTATAAAAGTTAGCAGGAGAGTTTACCAGCCAGTTTTTAGGCAGGATTCACAAAACCTACAGCCCTCCCAAACAAGCAGATTATAAGATGCTCTTCCATTTAGGGTAATTCTGTATTCTAGAATTTTAAATTATTATTGTATACTGCTTTAAAGGTTTGCAATGACTACATTCATTTAGTATAAGCATAAGGTTTTTAGTTTGAATTGCCTTCCTGCCAGTGGGAGCTGATTTATTTCCTGAGTGAGCTGAGAGAGCAGACAGCTTACTGGCCTGTAGAGAACATTATTGGACGTGCAGCTAAATAAACACTGCTAATAAACACTGCTAAGGAGGAGGGACAGTGAGGTCTGGTCATTTAGATTTTGGTTTTCCACGGATATAAAAAAAAAAAAAATTAAAACAAAAATTAATCCTAACCGCTTTTAAATCTAAGTGTTACAGCCATTAGAAGCTTTCAAAGTAGCAGATCACAACAAACGTTAAATCTTCATATAACAATTTATAATCATTACCTTTTAAATGAGAATGTTTCAGCTATCACAAGACGACTTTAGGAAAGCTTGTAATTCAAGCAGAAGACCAGGTTTGGAGAGAGGGACAGCGCACAATGCTCAGACAGAAGGATTAATAAGATAATGAAGATAATGAGACTAATAAAGATCGGATTTGCAAGAGGGCTAGAGCATAATGCCCAAACAAAAGAGTTAATACGAGGCATAGAGTTTATTACACAGGCAGACAGGGTTAGAGCATAATACATAGACAGAATTAGCGAGAGGAACACAAAGTAATCAGCGCCTATTCATGAACTGTCCCTGGGCCAACTCTCACCTGCCAGATGTGGTCAGAACAATGATGGCTCCTGCACAGCATTTAAATGATGCCTCCACAGCCCCGATCGCGGTCACCTCCGTGGGATCCTGGGTTAAGGGAGTCACCCTGCGCAACTCCTCAAATAGCTGCTGGTTGTATATAGCCGCCTCTGCTTCCCGAGCAATCTGTGAACACACCCCAGGACACACCGGATTATTCACCAAGGACTGAATGTGGTCCAGGATTGACAAACTTTGGATTGAATATCGGATGGGGTTATTTACTCAGGTGAGAATTCAAAGTGAATTTCAAGTGCAAGGGAAAATAGCCGAACTGGAAACATTTTTTGCCATGCAGCCAGTTTCCGCTACTTTGGCCTTGAATTTGGAATTCCATTTGAATTCCCACTTCGGTTATTACAAAAATAAATTTAATATTATTCACCAACGGCAAAACTGGTCATTATTGTATTATTCTAACAAAATGAGCACAACTCATTCATTACAATCAACCATCGAAATTAAAAAAAAAAAAATCAGTCATTCATTACCAGACACTAAAAGAACAGACCTTGCAGGCAACTTTGCAAAATAGTTTCACTTGCTGAGTTATTCAAGAAAGAATTCAAAGTGAATTTAAAATTTCAAACAAAAGTAGAGGAACTGAAAGCATAGCTGAATGAGAATTTCTCCAGTTCTGCTACTTTGACCCTAAATCTGAAATACACTTTGAATTCTCACTTTAGTTAATAACACTTACCTTTTAATGGTGAATGTAATTAAATTCTAACTGACTGCTAGCGAAAAAGCATATACGAGTCAATACAATAAATTCTCTTTAACTTCCAACTGACACACTGCAACTGGGAACATGTCCATAGCCGGTAATAAACCATCCCTGAGCAGTGTGATGGGGCATGAGAGCAAGACGTAAGAACCGGTCTCTGGTCTCCTCTTGTTCAAAGGAAACCACAATACAATATACATTCCATGCCACAATATAATCACACCCCCAGATCATCCCACTGAGACTGATGATCCAACAGAATCCATCCCACAATAGAGGAAACACCTTGGCCATCGCACGGAACCCATCTCACCCTACGGTCACTACCCAGGATACATCATACATGTGGACCATTCAATGGAGACTGCTCCACCACAGCACACAGTCCGTACCGTGATAACCATCTCCTGCCACAAGCCTACAATACAATATACACCCATCCCATAGACCAGGCATAGGCAACCTTCAGCACTCCAGATGTTTTGGACTACACCTCCCATGAAGCTCTGCCAGCATTATGGATGTAATAGCATTATGGGGGATGTAGTCCACAACATCTGGAATGCCGAAGGTTGCCTATCCCTGCCATAGACTATTCCATCAACTGAAAACTCAGAAGACACCAGTCTCTCTGGATATTGCAGGACGCCATGACTTACCGCATGCTGCATGTGTACAGCCTCAACAGGATAGAGCCCTTTGGCGGTCTCTCCGGACAACATAATGCAGTCTGCTCCATCCAGCACGGCATTCGCCACGTCACTGCTCTCTGCGCGGGTTGGGCGTGGCTTTTTAATCATACTTTCCAGCATCTAAATAAGAAAATGAGACAAGGCCGTCATTTGTTTTGCCTGGATTTGGATTTAATTTCCTTATTTTGTTTACTGCCTGGTGTATTTCTATTATCTTTTTCCCACAATAAATAAGCAACTATCCATGTTCATTACTTATGAGATTCCCAAGAGTGCAATATATTCCTTTTTTTTTATTCATTCCATACATTACAGGATAGAAGGTGTGACTGGTTTATTCTGTACATTCTCACCATGTGAATAGGGAATGGAGCAGTGATCGGTTCATTCTGTACATTCTCATCATGTGAATAGGGAATGGAGCAGTGATCGGTTCATTCTGTACATTCTCATCATGTGAATAGGGAATGGAGCAGTGATCGGTTCATTCTGTACATTCTCACCGTGTGAATAGGGAATGGATCAGTGATCGGATCATTCTGTACATTCTCACCGTGTGAATAGGGAATGGAGCAGTGATAGGTTCATTCTGTACATTCTCACCGTGTGAATAGGGAATGGATCAGTGATCGGATCATTCTGTACATTCTCACCATCTGAATAGGGAATGGAGCAGGGATCGGTTCACTCTGTACATTCACACCATGTGAATAGGGAATGGAGCAGTGATCGGATCATTCTGTACATTCTCACCGTGTGAATAGAGAATGGAGCAGTGATCGGTTCATTCTGTACATTCTCACCGTGTGAATAGGGAATGGAGCAGTGATCGGTTCATTCTGTACATTCTCATCATGTGAATAGGGAATGGAGCAGTGATCGGTTCATTCTGTACATTCTCACCGTGTGAATAGGGAATGGAGCAGTGATCGGTTCATTCTGTACATTCTCACCATCTGAATAGGGAATGGAGCAGGGATCGGTTCACTCTGTACATTCACACCATGTGAATAGGGAATGGAGCAGTGATCGGTTCATTCTGTACATTCTCACCGTGTGAATAGGGAATGGAGCAGTGATCGGATCATTCTGTACATTCTCACCGTGTGAATAGAGAATGGAGCAGTGATCGGTTCATTCTGTACATTCTCACCGTGTGAATAGGGAATGGAGCAGTGATCGGTTCATTTTGTACATTCTCACCATTTGAATAGGGAATGGAGCAGTGATCGGTTCATTCTGTACATTCTCACCGTGTGAATAGGGAATGGAGCAGTGATCGGTTCATTCTGTACATTCTCACCGTGTGAATAGGGAATGGAGCAGTGATCGGTTCATTCTGTACATTCTCACCGTGTGAATAGGGAATGGAGCAGTGAGCGGTTCATTCTGTACATTCTCACCGTGTGACTAGGGAATGGAGCAGTGAGGTTCATTCTGTACATTCTCACCGTGTGAATAGGGAATGGAGCGGTGATCGGTTCATTCTGTACATTCTCACCGTGTGAATAGGGAATGGAGCAGTGAGGTTCATTCTGTACATTCTCACCGTGTGAATAGGGAATGGAGCAGTGATCGGTTCATTCTGTACACTCTCACCGTGTGAATAGGGAATGGAGCAGTGATCGGTTCATTCTGTACACTCTCACCGTGTGAATAGGGAATGGAGCAGTGAGGTTCATTCTGTACATTCTCACCGTGTGAATAGGGAATGGAGCAGTGAGGTGTACATTCTCACCGTGTGAATAGGGAATGGAGCAGTGATCGGTTCATTCTGTACATTCTCACCGTGTGAATAGGGAATGGAGCAGTGATCGGTTCATTCTGTACATTCTCACCCGTGTGAATAGGAGCAGTGATCGGTTCATTCTGTACATTCTCACCGTGTGAATAGGGAATGGAGCAGTGATCGGTTCATTCTGTACATTCTCACCGTGTGAATAGGGAATGGAGCAGTGATCGGTTCATTCTGTACATTCTCACCGTGTGAATAGGGAATGGAGCAGTGATCGGTTCATTCTGTACATTCTCACCGTGTGAATAGGGAATGGAGCAGTGAGCGGTTCATTCTGTACATTCTCACCGTGTGAATAGGGAATGGAGCAGTGACCGGTTCATTCTAAACATTCTCACCGTGTGAATAGGGAATGGAGCAGTGAGCGGTTCATTCTGTACATTCTCACCATGTGAATAGGGAATGGAGCAGTGAGGTTCATTCTGTACATTCTCACCGTGTGAATAGGGAATGGAGCAGTGAGGTTCATTCTGTACATTCTCACCGTGTGAATAGGGAATGGAGCAGTGATCGGTTCATTCTGTACATTCTCACCGTGTGAATAGGGAATGGAGCAGTGAGCGGTTCATTCTGTACACTCTCACCGTGTGAATAGGGAATGGAGCAGTGAGCGGTTCATTCTGTACATTCTCACCGTGTGAATAGGGAATGGAGCAGTGAGCGGTTCATTCTGTACATTCTCACCGTGTGAATAGGGAATGGAGCAGTGAGCGGTTCATTCTGTACATTCTCACCGTATGAATAGGGAATGGAGCAGTGAGCGGTTCATTCTGTACATTCTCACCGTGTGAATAGGGAATGGAGCAGTGATCGGTTCATTCTGTACATTCTCACCGTATGAATAGGGAATGGAGCAGTGAGCGGTTCATTCTGTACATTCTCACCGTGTGAATAGGGAATGGAGCAGTAGTAACATGTTAATTCCATACATTAACAAACACCACATGAAGGTGTGATAGGTTAATTACACAAACACAATCCTAATGCCAAATCCAACCTCTTTAGTCCAAATACTACAGCCACTTTGGTGCTTATTATGGTCCATGTAAAGCAGATTAGAACCATTAAGCACCTCCTAAAATACTGAATGATTCAATGATCCTAGGCTTGGACTGAGATTCTTTGGCATCAAATAGGTAAAACAAAGATAATAAAATCCTGAATGAGGTGTACAGCATCATTAACATATAGAATCGTGTGAAAGAGACACTATAGTCACCAGAACAACTACAGCTTATTGGATTTGTTCTGGTGAGTATAGTCAGTCCCTTCAGGCTTTTTACAGTAAACAAAAAATATTTTCAGAGAAAGTGCAGTGTTTACATTACAGCTTTACATTACTACCTCCACTGGCCACTCCTCAGATGGCTGCTAGAAGTACTTCCTGAGACAGACCTGCCTAGTGTGCAGCACTGCCATTCAGTGTCTCCACCCTCTGCATGCAGAAAATGAACTTTCCTCATAGAAATGCATTGATTCAATGTATCTCTATGAGGAGATGCTGATTGGTCAGGGCTGTGTTTAGCTTGTACTGGATTTGCCCCTGATCTGCCTCCTTGACAGCATCTGCAAATCCTATGCTTTCCTATGGGGAAGAATTGGGATTGTCTCACAACACCGCATCTGGTTAGGTCAGCCAAGCAGGCAGATCAGGGGCAGAGCTAGCAGCCGCAGACATGAATAAAAGTAAAATTTTACTATATTTAGGCGGGCAAGATACTTGTTTTACCACTATAGGGTCAGGAATACAGGTTTGTGTTCCTGACCCTATAGTGTTTCTTTAACTCAGGAATATATCACATAGCAGGTCATAAACAGAACAGGAGCAACTCGAGTGAGATAGGCAGGAAGCCTGCATGGGAATGATATGGTCTCACCTGGGTGGCACAAATAACTGGTTTGCCAGCTCGGTTGCAGCGTCCAATCATCATCTTTTGTGCCAGGAAAACCTTTTCTGCAGGAATTTCAATTCCAAGATCACCACGTGCAACCATGATCCCATCACTGGCTTCCAGAATCTCATCAAACCTTTAAAAGAACTACAACTGTGAGCAGGAGCCAGAAAGCTGAAGGATGGGGTAAAGCAATGCAGCAAAAAGTAAAGAAAGGACACAGCAGCAGGCTGCAAGGGAGGGAGGGACGAGACTCGGCAGCCGGTAGCGAGGAGGGAGGGATGAGACTCAGCAGCGAGGGAGGGAGGGAGGGATGAGACTCCGCAGCTGGCAGCGAGGGAGGGATGAGACTCAGCAGCCAGCAGCGAAGGAGGGACGGATGAGACTCAGCAGCCAGCAGCGAGGGATGAGACTCAGCAGTGAGGGACTCAGCAGCCGGTAGCGAGGAGGGAGGGATGAGACTCCACAGCCGGCAGTAAGGGAGGCAGGGATGAGACTCAACAGCCGGCTGCGAGGAAGGGGGGGGGATGATGCTTGGCTGGAGATAGGTGAGAATGAGACTAAGCCAGGGACATTGATAGTGGGGTGCTGACAAGGGCTGGAGACCAGAGTGTGGTCTTGAAAAGGCATGTGTCTAAATCTGGCACCATCATATTGTAAGCCCAGTGTCCCTTGTAATGGTGCGAGAGAAATAATTCCAGTTATACAATTTGTGAAAATGCCACTTTATTGCACCATAACTGAAGTTAATTATACCACACAGTGTGGAGGTTTTGCTGTGGGTTGAAAGGTTAATACAGCATGGCTTAAAGTTAACTCAGCAGATTTAGGGTTTATTAAATATAGGCTCTGAATTCAATGAGAGGTTGGGGTCACAGTGTGATTTATAGAACAATTAAGTTAGTGTTTGATTTTGAGCACAACACATGGTTGCTTTCAGGTGGAGCCATAAACTTAACTCTTGGGCTGAAGCCCCTGGCCATTTTGCCACCTATCGACACCCCTGGACACAGCAGCTGAACGAGGAGGATAAAACCCAGGTAGGGGAGATCAAGGTAGGACTATATCTAACAGCAGAGGGTGGAGCAAGATGAGACCAATCAGCAGTCAGGAAAGGAGGTGGGGACAGGGCCCACAGAAGCAAAAGCAGTTTTCGTGGGCATGGTAGTAGGAACACCCTTTAGTCTAAGAAAGAGACAGCAGGAAGTATAGAATTAAGGAGTTAAAGTGGTAAGCTGAGAATAAAGTAGAAGAGCTTTACATATAGTCCAATGGAAGAAAAGGCACCTCTTTACTCCTTCATGATTCTCAATCTTGCTGATAATGCGGATATTCCGACCAGCCTCTCCAAGTGCCTCACGGATAGCATGGACATCCTGAGCCTTACGGATGAAAGAGGCGAATACCATATCTACTCCTTGCTCAATTCCAAATTTAAGGTCCTGTTTGTCTCTCTCTGAAAGAGCAGGGAGATCCACTTCCGCCTCTGGCAGATTCACTCCTTTCCTGCTGCAGAGATTTCCTCCATTCTCCACCTCCGCCAAACAATAACCAGGACCTTCCCATGAGAGAAGATGTGGATTTTCTGTAAGCTGCCATGATTTCATACCTCCAAAAAAAACCTATAACCCCTATTTTTTACACTTTATAGAACTTTAAACTCCCCTTCCTCTTCTTTGGAGCCCCACTACCCAATTCCTCCTCTCTTGGAGTCGACTCATGCACCATAAGCACTAAACCACCCATACTATCCCACCAGTTTGACCATGATCATTTCTCTAGTAAGTTACCATTCAGGTCCTATTAAAAAACCTGTACCTTTAATATTCCCATCTTGACCTCAGTTGTACCCTCTTCCAAAACCAGTACTCACCAATCTCTTTAACAAGCAGAGACAGAAGCCCATCATCTACGAAGATTCTGCCGCCGACCTTAACCACTTTAGAGATGTTTTTGTAATCCACCCACAGAGTCTTTTCATCACACTGGTTCCAAAGGGTCTCGTCTGTTGTAACTTTCACAACCGTCCCTTTCACCAGCTCCACCTCATCGTTTTCTCCCTGAGGGAAAAAATATTGAAAGATTAATGAAAGCAAGATGCGGTAGACATAAAAATGGAAATAATAGGGATAGGAGGTCAGAATTACTAAGAAATACATAGTACTAGAGACTTTCCCTTACCGTTTTTATGACACCAGTGCGAATTTCAGGTCCCTTTGTGTCCAGAGCTATGGCCACTGGTCGATAGAACATGGGATTGGCCGCAAAGCTCTCCGTAGCTTCACGCACATTTTTTATAGAGCTAGCATGATACTAGACATAAAGAAGAAAGTATTTCGAATAAGAAACCCATCAACATGTGCAATATTCCATAGACCAACACTCCGAAAACACAACTAGAACTTCGCTCTACTTACTTCGTGGGAACCATGAGAGAAATTTAACCGAGCAATATTCATTCCAGCTTTTATCATTTCTTTTAACATCTCAACGGAGCGTGATGCTGGTCCTAGGAAAGAATACACATTGAAAAGTTACACCGAGTACATTGAATCTATTTTTTTGATGCTTTAGATACAAAGGGGCCCAAAGATAAGGGATAAATGCAAGGTAAGGCCCCCACAACAGTGGCTTAGTATACAGCTAGAGCCCGAAACAAGACAGGTCTCCCTTGAAAACAGTCCATGAAAGGCTAGAGTTCAGTTTATGACAATGGCCAATGTACAGGCTAGAGGGGTGTAAAGGAAGTCTCCGAGAGGCTCAGGAAGGACTAGGGCTGTCAGAAAGGAGTGAAAATCTCAGTTGTGTTAGTACTAGTATAGGACTCGGCCCCACCATTAAAACCCACTAATTATATATTTTGAGAGTTAAGGGTGAGATATCATGCCTTAGCTCAAGTAAGTATTACCGATGGTGCAGATAATGCTTGTGTTCCGGGCTGTGGTGGGCTCGGAATCGATGTCCAGCAGACAGAGATGTTCCAGGAAAGTGTCAGCCATTGAAGCATTAAGTTGCTGCTTCTGGAAAAATGCTTTACCAAGGTCTTGTGTTAACTGCGCCATGTTGTCTGAGAGACGCCTTCGGGTTACTAAGAAAATAAATTACACAGATAGACCATCAACCCTTTATATGCATGGATATTATAGTCTCAGCTAGTCTTTACAATATGCAGTCAAATCCCCTACATTAGATATAAACCCAGCGCTGTCTGAGCCTGTCCTGATAATGTACAGTCTGAACCCTTATGTTGATTCTCTTTATCGGTCTAGTTTTTAGTACCTATTACGCCTTCCATGGTGGATCGTGAAGTCCTGCAGAATAAAGCTAAGTAGCTAAATGAGACAGGGTTCCTGTGGTCACCATTAGCTCTGGTTAATGAGTGACTTACTCTCCGGTCACATTTGGGAGATCATGCATTAGGAAGTGTGTACACAAGGGGAGGGAGAAAAGTGCAGCTCACAGCACCTTCAATTGAACCCACCAGTTTCACTGGGGACAGTATTGAAAAGAAGGAGTCAGCAAGGAGTAAGTGCTCTAACAGATGCACAAGGTGTAGAGAATAAAAACATATGAAGTCAGCATTTCACAATTAGTATAGTTTGATTGAATCTGTGTTGACCATGCTCATATCTATGGCACGTGACCCAGAAAGAAAATCAAAAGGTCTTGCCCCTACTGAACATTTTTTATTTTTTGTAATTAGTTACCATGCTCGAGACCCACTTCCATTGTGTATAAGAGGGCCGGCTGTTTTTCGCTTAATATCCGTTGTTTGTTTTACGTTATTCATGTCTGTAGAGCCGGATGTTAGTTGGGATGGTGGCGGGCCCGTGGTAAAGGGATCGGTTGCTAATGTTGGGATGGTTAGCCATCTCTTTATTTAGGAATTAAGGCCAGGCTGCTGCCAGTGTCCTTCGATTTCTTAAGACTGTATTGTCTTAAATGCTGTTGTCTGTCTTTTCCAAGGTTTCGCTTTGGTGGGTTGTCATAATAGATTGGGCTTATTGCGTGCAGTCCTGATGTCACCAGAGCACGTTTGGTCTGCTTCGGATCCTGGGTCAGTCAGTGTTTGCCTAGATGAGTATGTGTCATCTGTGTAGGGCGGGGGAGAGGGAAGTCAGAAGAGGGTCAAAAGGGCAGTGGGATCGAGAGAGTAAAGGGCAGCTGAGAGGTCAGGGGGTATCGTCTGGACCCCCGCCCTCACGGTGGGAAGGAATGGTGCACTCTGTCCAGATTACTTTGTAAGATCCACCCATCTTTACTTGTTAGGTGCCATTGTTGAATTTGGGCTAAATATGCTGCTGTTAGGTAGTGTGCGAAGCTAGGGAGACAACGTAGAGCGTAGTTTTCCGTACTCTGTGTGTACTCGTTCCAAACGAAGGAGTCGACTGCCGCTTGGAGGGCCTTGAGATCTAGTTTGTGGAATGGTATGAGGAGGGTCTGAAAGATGTAAAGGAATCTAGGTAGGAGATTCATTGAGGCGACGCAACCCAGTCAAGATATCCCCATGGTGCGCCATTGCACCTGGTCTTTGTGTGCTTTTTGTAGCAGGGGGTGTGTAGTTCGCTTCATAAAAAGGTTTGCTACATCGTTTGTTAGTTGGATACCCAGTTATGCGATAGTAGAGGGGCTGATGTGAAATGGGAATAGTTCCCTTGGGCGTTCTAGGCATGGTCTGTCGATGTGAACGTGTAGAAGTTTTAACTTGTATCAGCTTAGTGCAGAATAGGTCTGTCCACTATGGATTTTTCGGGGTTCGTTAAAGTTAGCAAAACGTCATCCGGAATATGCTGCAACTTTGAAGGATTCCTCCGACCTCCTGGCTGGCACGCATCACCTGTAGAAGTGTTTGAGTGAGAAGGCGAAAAGAAGGGGTGAGAGAGCACCCCTGCCTCGTGCCATTGGTGATTAGGAAGCATGGCGGGGTTATGTTAGGGAGGAGGAGTGCTCCTTGCGGGTTGTGATAAATAGCCATCAGAAAGGAAGGGTTTGAAAGCCATCAGAAATCCAAAGCATGCAAGGGTTTGGTAGAGAAATGGCCATAAAAGGCGATCGAACGCCTTTTCGGCATCTAGCGAAATGACTGCAATTGGGATTCTTCTGTGTTGCGCTGCCCATTTCAAGTCTATGCTTCTGTGGGTGTTATCCGACCCTTGCCTGTTGGGGATGAAGCCAACCTGGTCTGGGTGGACCATCGATTCTAGGCAAGGGTTTAGTCTATCAGACATTATTTTGGTTAGTATCTTGCGGTCCACGTTGAGGAGAGAGATGTTCCGGATCCGAATGGTCCTTATTTGGTTTTGGAAGGAGGCATATACATGCCACGACCATTGTAGCAGAGATCTAGTATTCCACAAGTTATCTCCGCTTAAGATCCCAGTGAGGCTCAGGAACAAGTATTATAAATCCATAAGGCAAGGTTTCCAGCAGGTAAAATAATCCAGCAATAACCCAACAGCAATCCCAATAACTGGACGACACAGCATCAGGAGCAGAACTAAACTTTTATTCACACAGTGGCCTTATAAATGCTCCCATGCAAGCGAGGGATTTACAGTAATTAGTACAGTGTCCAATCATCCTCGAGTAACCTCCCACACATCTCCTCCCCTTAGCCTGACTCATAATCCCCTTATACAGTATACAAATTCCCCCAGTTTCTGGATGTACCCCTAAACTTAGGGGTACCCCTTTAAATGTCACATCCCCTGGTAGCCCTGATATGGGTGAGTAACATATCCAAAAATCACCCAGATCGGACCAGGGGTTCGGGAAATCTGTGGAGGTAATGAAAAGACCGACCGCGCTTGAGAGAACAGCCGAAATGGGTTCCATGAGATGGGGCCCTGCGGTCGTTCACAGTACAAGGGAACAAACTGCACGAATTGTTAGAGTTACAGAGATCAGGGAGAGTTCACATGAATCCCCTTGTTCGGTTGTTTCTTTCTACCGAACAGGGGGCCATTCGGTAGTTTGGAAACGAATACAAGGTAGGTGTGGAGGTCTCAGCGGTGTTTGCCCAGCTGAGTGTCCGATTTGGGTTCCAGACACTCGACGGCAAAACACCGCTGTTCGGGAGTTTTAAAATGGCCGCCGCCACGTGTTCGTTTCCCGAATGGCGGCCACCCCCGAGAACAAAGGACCCACTGCACAGATTGTCAATTACCGGTTCGCAACATTGTTGCAACCGGTAATTGCAGGCACACTTCACACTGGGGAGGTCTGACTGTTTCATTCCCATAATTGCTAGAATGATTCTACCGAACAATCAGGCAAATACTGCATACATTTCCACATATAACATTGCAATTTTAACCGAAGACATTAAAATACATGAAATTTCCAGGACAGCCCAGTGCCATCCGCTACAACCATGTCGTCTGGGAGTGTCTCCCTTCAGCAAGTCGTTGAATACTTGTGTGAGGTGTGGTAGGAGAATTTGACTGAATTCTTTATAGTACAAGGCCAGTTACCAGTCTGGGCCAGGGCTCTTGTTGTGCTTGAAGGTTTTGAGGGCCGCCGCCATTTCTTCTGTTACTTCAGCCCCTATTGGCGTTTTAGTTTCCTGGGGAAGGTTTAGTTTGTCTAGGAAGGTATTAATGGCCGCCCGGTACAAAGCATTGTCCGGTGTTAGGGAGGGGGAGTGGTTGTACAGGGCTGCAAAGTATTTCTGGAATGTTCAATCTATTCGTTCTGGGACGTTGCTAAGTTGTCCCAACTGGGTGTGTATTTTGTCTATCCTTTTCGATTCTACTCTATGTTTGAGGCGACATGCCAGCATAGAGTCCGCTTTATTGCCTTTCTCATAGTATTTTTGTTTGAGCCACATGAGGGCTTTCGCCGTGTCGGCCTGTGTGAGAGTTGTTTCACCTGATCTCTAATGGCATTTAGTTGGGTCAGAGTGGATATTTGCGGGTCTCGTTTGTGTCTTGCTTCTGTACGACATAGTTCAGTCATAGCATCTGTGAGTTGCTGTTGTCATTGGCGCTTTTTTGCAGTTACAAAGGCTGATTAAGGGTGCCGTGATGACTGCTTTGTGTGCAGCCCATAGGGTTATTGGGGATGTCTCTGGGTTGGCATTGAGTTCAAAATAGTCTGATAGTTTTGGCCATTTCGTCAGTGACTAGTTTGTCATGTATGAGTAGTGGATTTAGTTTCCATGTCCACTGTCGCTTAAGTTGGGGGATAGTCGTGATAAGTGTAATCCAACCAGGAGATCGTGCATATGTCTGTGTTGACGATTTGAGGGAGTAAGCATGGGGAGATCAGGAAGTGGTCAATGTGTGAATAGGAGGCATGTGGGTGGGAGTGAAAAGTAAAATCTCGTGGAGGGGTGTTGAGCTCTCCAGACGTTTACTTGGTTCTGGGTTTCTAAAAATTGGATGAATAGGGTAACATTTCTATTGGAGTGTTTGGAGCAATAATGATTGGAGTGTTTGCATATGCCTGCAGGTGTGTTGTGTATTGGAGCCAAACCTCGGGATCCGGCGAAGTCCTGGCGTATAGTGTTCTGAAGGCGTAGTTTGCTGCCCCTATGTTGCCTGTCACTGTAATGAAACGGCCTTGCGGGTCTGTGTTGCATGTTAATCCTGGTAGGGGGCAAGATGTTCAGTATTCTGGCCACTCCCTTCATTTTGGTGTCTGGTGAGTTTGCCAAGAAACTGCAGTTATAGTATCTATTTGTGAGAGGAAACGACCTGTTGGCTGTGATTTGTGTCTCTTGTAATAGGAGAATAGAAACATAGAAACATAGAATGTGACGGCAGATAAGAACCATTCGGCCCATCTAGTCTGCCCAATTTTCTAAATACTTTCATTAGTCCCTAGCCTTATCTTATAGTTAGGATAGCCTTATGCCTATCCCACGCATGCTTAAACTCCTTTACTGTGTTAACCTCTACCACTTCAGCTGGAAGGCTATTCCATGCATCCACTACCCTCTCAGTAAAGTAATACTTCCTGATATTATTTTTAAACCTTTGTCCCTCTAATTTAAGAATGTTGGTTTTGTTTGTGAGTTCATCTCATTAAGGCATGCTTTTGGTGGGGGAGTTAAGTTCCTTGGCATTGACCGACACATTTTAAAGTGAGTGGCATTTTGGCTCAGGGAGTCGCTGTTTGGCTATGAAGGTTTGAGTCCAGGCGACACTTATCAAGGGCCGGGAAGCCAGGCGACACTTATATGTTAGAGTGTAGGCTACTGGGCTTATCCGATGGGCCAGTAGATTACGGAGGAGGCTACCAGGAAGATCCTCTTGAGCTCTGGGGTGGTGAAAGGGGTGAGTAGAGGTAATTGACAGTCTGTCAGAGTCGTGTGCAGGCTTACCTAGTAGAGTGGTCAAACTCTGAAAAAGCTAGTGACCTTGGGGACTGGTGTGAGTTTCCACAACCCGCCCCACGTCGCGTCCCCCAGCCTCATCCCTTAGGTCCTCCTTCTAGGAGGGAGGGGGCCTGGGGACATCCAATCCAATAGGAGTGCGGGAACGTATGGCAACAGTTCATGAACAGTGGCATACTTAAAAATCAACAGTACATCAACATAAACCGTGCAGAACCAGCTCCCACACCCCGCCCAGAGTCCCCCAACCCCATCCTCCAGTCTCTCTTTCTGGGAAAGAGGGGGCCAGGGAAGGTCCGGCGGGCGTCCTCAGCTGTGTTTTCCCTCAGGAGTAAGGGAACATATATATCCAGCTGCACAGAGACCTCGGCATCTAGTCTTGAACTTAGGCATGCTGATAAACAGTACATAAAACAGTGCAAAACCAGTAACTCTTATTTTGTCAGCTTTGCCAACTTTCCAGGTGTGCGGGAGGGAGGCATGGAGGTTGTGCTTTCTGATTGGGGAGCTTCAGTCTCAACCTTTTCTAGTTGTATGGTGTGCAGCTCTGCATTGTGGGGCTGCAAATAAGACACTGGCCTAGTGGGTAATTGTGGGCTGAGAAGCCTTCTGAGTGGTAATGCTCGACCCCCCCATGTGTGTCGGGTCCCCATCCTCTTCGGTGCGTGTTAAGTGGCGGGCGGGGAGTATGCTTTGGAGGGCAGCCTAAATGTTGGTGCGGTGTTATGGGGGAGCATATTTGCTTAAAGTGCCCGCTTAGTCTGGTGGTGCGGGGAGCTCCACGATCGGAGCTGATAAGCCACAGTGGGGAGGAGAGGCAAGCGGGGAGCTTGGGGGTTAATGCCCTGCTTTGTGTGTCCATGCAGGGTATAACCCAGTGTTAAGTGCTCAGCCCAGTGGTGCAGGGTGTCTTGTCGGGTGTGTCATTATCACAACCCCATTGGCATTATTGTGGCCATTAGATAGCCGTACGAACTTTTTCACATGAAAACTCCTGGAGTGGAATGAGATGCTACATTAATACAATAAGGAATCAGAGAGGGGAGGAGGCTGTGTGTGCAGGGTTAAGGGACATTGGCTTGGAAGGGGTAGCAATAGCAGAGTTCAGCTTTTATGAACCAATAGCTATACATGGTTGCATTTCTGCCTGCCTCGTTGCCATGTGCTTCAGAGTGAGGTAAGGCTAGCTCAGGTTGGATAATGTTCGTGGATATAATTACTCCGTCTCCTATTCGTTGTGTCATTGTCCTGTCTTTATGCTGTATAGCGTCCTTTGTGGTGTGAGGAAAGGAAAAGTTTTAGCTGGTCATCTGGAGTTGGCAAAGCTGGGTCCGATATTAGGAGGATGGCTGACGGTCTACTCCTGGGGGATCTTCCAGAGCTGCCTGGTTGAGTTGGAGATGATCCCGCGCTCTTCTGCAAATCTGTGCATTTCCATTGGATGGTGGAGTGCATGAGTCGGATTGTCCTTGCGTATAAGTAGTTTGAATGGATGACCCCAGGCATATCGGATCCTCCTTTGAGTTAGTGCTTGTGTGAGTGGTTGCAATTCCCTGCACTTGCAGAGGGTGCTTGGGGCCATATCCTGGAAGCGGTGTCTCTTGCCGTTCTCATGATTGCCTCCTTGATGTGAAAATAGTGCATCTGCACTATGACATCCCACAGCATGGAGGTATATAGGGAGGGAGCCCACAGTGCCCTGTGAGCTCTGTCAATGAGCGACTCCGCTAGAGGGGCCTCAGGGAGTAGGCCACAAAACGTTTCCTGGAGTGTAGCTGGTCATTTCAATGGTTACAGTTTCAGGGAGCCCCTGGATCCTAATATTGTTCCTTCTGGAACGGTTATGGAGGTCCTCCTGTGCGTCTTCCAATGCTCCGACCTGTTCCCCGAGGTCTTGTATGGCTTACACTTGGGTAGAGGAGTCTGAGGTTACCTGCTCCATCTTGTCCTCCATTTTAGAGGTCCTCCTGGACAGGTACACCATTCCTTCTCTGACAGGGGCCAGGTCTTTATTAAATTGTTAGTTTTTATGTCCATCAGTAGGCTTTGTAGGTCTCTTGATGACCAAAAGGTCTCTTTTGGGGAGTGGTGCTTGGTCCAGAGAGCGGCTGTGATCACTTATCTCAGAGCCAGAGTCCAAGTCCGGGATGCCATTGCCACGTGGCGATTCCCACTCGCTGCGACAGATCGGGGCTACTGCTGCATTGTGCTTTGACTTTCCGCCACCTCCCATGCTTCTCCGTACTGCCGGGGTTCAGTCGCTGACTGTTCGCTGCTTATTTTTGGTTGGGTTTGACTGCTTTTGCGGAGCTCTAACACAGTGTTGCCATTTGTACCAGCAGCCAGTCGTTTCATTTAAAAAAACATTTTTTTTTTATTTTTTTAAAAGGGCAGTAATCTAATTAATAAAAAAGAAATGATAAATTGCACATATATTGTTATTTATAAAGCGCTAACAAACTTCTGTAGTGCTGTGTTTGCAACAGGATAAGTTGGACGCACAGGAACGCACAGGAACAGACTGATGAGCTCAAACAAGTTTACATTCTAGAGGGAGTGGGGTAAAGGGACAAGAGGTAGGGGTAGGTTGTAGTTAATGTACAGGAAAGAGTAAATGTAGGTTACTATAATAGTTTACAATGAAGGATTTGTGTTTCGATCACACAGAAGCAGTATGGATTACTAAGGTGGGAATGCTATTAACATTTTCTTTCCTAAAGAAGTGAGTTTTCAAGGAAAAGGAACAGAGATTGGGTTAGAGTCTAACAAAGATGGGAAGGGAGTTCCACAGGAACGGTGCAGCCCTAGAGAAGTCTCTTAAGTGGGTTTCAGAGGTGCAAGTACAAACAGAGGATAGACGCAGGTCTTCAGAGTGTAGTGGTCTGGACAGGGCATACTTGTGTATTAGTGAGGATAGGTAGGAGCAGTGTTGTGTAGAGATTTGTAAGCAAGTACCAGAATTTGGGAAGTGAGTGTACGGAGTTACAGAGTAAGGGGGCATAGGAGGTATGGCTGGACAGGAGGATTAGCAATGCTGCTACATTCAAGATAGGCTAACAAGGCAAGCTGAGAATGTGCAAGACTACTGAGAAGCTGATTGAAGTATTGAAGGCAGGAGAGTACAGTGGTATGGACCAGCACCTTAAATCACATCTGTCATTCGATAGGGGCAAATGAGAGTTAGGTTTTTGAGATGGAAGAGGCAGGATTTGACGAGTGACTGAGCATGAGGGGTGAAGGAGAGGTCTGAGTCAAAGAACACTTACGCAGCAAGCCTGTGAGGTAGAGCTGATGGTAGTGCCATTGACTTGGATTGACAGACAGTAAGTAGCAGCAACACTTGAGGATGGGAAGACAAGTTCTGTTTTGGACAGTTTAAGTTTAAGTAAATGAATAGCCATACAGTTACAAATAGCAGACAGGCTGTCTGAGACAAATCAAGAGGGACGGCAAGAGAAATCAGGAGAAAACAGATGTGTGTCATCTGCATAGAAGTGATATTGGAAGCCAATGGAGCAGATGTTTTTACAACAGTAGGGAACCAGGGACAAAAACCATTTACGAACACGGACAGAGGGGAAGAGGAAGAGCCAGAGAAAGAAACACTGAAAGAGTTAGGGAGAACCAGGAGAAAGTTTTGTAGACCAAGATTATGGAGGAGCAAAAGAGTTGTAGATGATCAATGTAGAAAGCAGAAGGAAAGTCAGAGAGAGTAGTGACCACTGGATTTAGCAGCAGAAATTAAATCACTGGATATTTTGGTCAGGGCCATTTCGACATGTGAGGAGTGCAAAATACAGACTAAAGATGGTCAAGCAGAGAGTTGGATTTAAGGAAGTCTGTCAATGGAGCATACACAACTCTCTCTAGGTAGTTCAATGGGGAGTTAGGGTCAAGATTGGTCATTTTATAATTGTGGTTACGGTAGCATGCATAATGGATAAAGGAAATATGTCAGAGGAAAGGGAGAAAGGGGGGTTGGGGGAAAGAGGGAAGTATTGACAGGGGTAGGAGAGAGAGATTTGAGATCTCTTTCCTGATCGTGGAAATCTTCCTAGTGAAGGGAGTTTAAAAATAAATCTATCTATATCTCATCTTCCGTTAAAGGGAAAGTGACATAGGCTAGATCAATAAAAAGGGTGGGGATGCCAGAGGATGAAGCAGACTGAGATTAAGCCAGACTGTTTTTATGGAGTTTTACATATGTTTATAATCTTCTTGGTTAATAAAATAACCATTTTATGATAACAGCATTCCTTTGTCAGTGCACATGCAGCCCAATATTGCATAACAGGGCGAACCTGAAAGCTGCATTGCCAATGATTAGTCACTATAAACAGTAAGTTGTAGTTGGCTAAAAAAAGAATTACAAAGTTTAGGAGAACATGCGTAATGGTTAGAAATTCTCCAATATGTTCACCTCTTGGCTATTTCAGTTTCTGTTCTGCAATAATGTTTTAATTCACTAAGTGACTGTTTGGTGAATAAACCCCACATAAGCATATGAAAGTTTAGTGGAGCAATTCTTTCCGGTCATATGCGGTATTCGTGTGCTGCAGAGCAGGTTTCCAGAGTGTGGCGTGGAGTGTACCAATACAATGTAGAATAATGCACAATACACTTCAGAACAACACTCCCTTGTCACACTGCAGAGGGTATTTAAAATGCAAAGTGCCATCTGATACAGATTTATTTACTAAAGTGAGATTCAAATTTAAAATAAAACGTAAAAAAAAATAAAAAATTGTAGTTTGAAAACTTCTCCAAGTTAAGTCTGTTTTCAGTTTGAATTAAGTTTAAAATTCACTTTTGAATCCCTGACAATTCTAAATTTAAAGGCAGCCTAAGGAGGGTGTGTGTTTGGTAGGAAACATCCTAACTTGGAATCTTTAAATATGGCAAACTCACGCAAGGATAGCGATACACGAGGCTGTAACCTACTACCCAAGATGGCCGTTGTACCGCAGACTACACAGCCCTTCCCACAAGCAATTACCTATGCTGACCCGCTCCTGCAGGCCTTTGACAAATTGTGCGCTCAGTTCTGGGTGAAGCTGAGTAAACGCACGCTCACCACTCTACCTACTAGCCCAGGCGAACTCCCCCCGCTCGGGTCCGCGGACCAGCACCACAAGGTGGGTCCATGCAAACGTGGCCAGCATGGGACATCACAAAGCGGGAGTCCCAGGCACCGGATGCAGGGGGCGCACAGCCGTCGCGTCCTGAAGGCGAGGAGAGGAAGACAGGGGCCGCGGCGGTGGCCGCTTACTGTTCTCCGCCAAACGTGTCACGACGAGCCGCCCTGGAAGAGGCAAGCATTACCTGCATGGCGGGAAACCTGCCGCAACACTGGAGAGCTGGAAGCTTGTTCCTGCAGCTGCCCGGCTCAGTACCACAACATGCCGTCCACAACATAATGGACAATCACACGCGATCAATTGCCTTCCATCTGCGGGTATTGGCTGAGCAGACCCAAGTAAACCTGTCGAAGATAGACTGTTTTGTAGGCCGGTAGCTTATGATCCTTGTCCTGTCTCTCGTTTTAAATTGCTTACATCACTTTAAAATTCTTATGTCGCTCCTCAGAAGGGGTCAGCACTGTACATTAGCAAGCCATACATGCTTGGGTTGCGGGTTAACAACACTTACTCTATTAGGGGACCCTAATGGACTGTCTTTACTGATTAAGCTACCCAACCAGTGGTATTATCTCCTGTAATTGAGTAACTACAGTTCTATGTTAAAGCCTTAGTATTCCTCTTTCAGTTGGTAAAAATAGCATTGTATAACTTAATTATATTTAAATTCTACGTTTCAATCCACATGATTAAGTCTGACTAAATCAAAAATTTTTGCTTGTTATTCATGTACCCCGCATGTTACACGTGGGAAAAGCCAGAGGACTGCTTTCGGGGCACCTCTTGCCAGCCTGTATTATATACTTGCACTACAAAAATAAAGAATTTTTAAAAAAAATTTAAAAATTAAGAAAAGGGCTTAACTTCCTAAATTGGTATCCTTGGAGGATTGCCATATCCAAGGATAACCGATTAGGGAGCTATTTGGGAGATCGCTCCCTAATTTGGTAACCTTGTATATGGCAATCCAACATAAGGATAGCAAGTTAGGGACTAAATTATCTACTAAACAGATTAAGGCACTCCATAGTAGGAGGACACCACACATGAATTCCTAAAGCTATAGTGTCCCCTAACTATAAAAAAAAAAATTAGAGGTCACCCCCTACTTAAAATAAATTTAGTAAAATAAATAAAACGTTGAAGGATTTGACTTATTTTTCCACGGCTGTGACTCACTCAGAGGTTGCCTGCTCCACTTTCCACGACGTCAACAATCAGGCATCGCTTCATTGCCTTCTTGTCCAATCCAATGCTTCTTGTAGAGAGAAAAAAAAATCCCCTGGCACAAGCCCATTCAAATACAAGTATTGAACCAAATGCTTCTCTATGATCAGCATTTGATGAAATTTGTATTCCTCGAGGACGTCGAACGTCACATAAAGTCAAACACTGTTAGGAGTGCGAACGCGTCTCTAGTGGCTGCCAAAAGACCACCACTAGAGGTGTGCTTGACTCTCCGTTAAAACCATTGTTGTATCTACTAAATGGCAATGTTTTAGATTGCAGGGTTAAAACACCACAGACAGACACTGCACCCAGAGTGTTGATTAAGTGCTCTGTATCCCTTTAATGTTCCTATAAGAAAAGGGCTTTTCCTTAAGTTGAATCTGTTTAATAGATAGCTCTAATTCGGTATCCTTAATTATGGCAATCCCACATAAGGATACCAAATTAAAGAGCCATTGACTATTATCTGAATTTAGCTATATAGATTAAGGAGTTTTTCCATCCATTGACAGACCTGGCATTCAGCCCGCATATTGAAAAAAAGTTGCTGACCCACTTTGTTTTGCTTTTGTACAACATGAATATAAATCCTATTGAATATGTCGCAGGGCAAAGCAGTACAATAATACCGGACAAATCTGCTTTTTTCCCAGCTAAGCTTTTTTTTTGGCCTACAATACTTCCTGGTTACATCCTAACAATACTAAGTTTAATGAATGACCCATTACCCGGCCTGCAGCAATGTGTATTAATCTGATGCAGAGCAGTACATCACTACGTTCCCTTTAGCAGACTGTGCCAATAGGAAATGGATCGTCTCCATAATTAATACCCTAAAATCCTGCGTGTTCTGCACAGTTTGCTCCAGTTTTGGTACAAACCCCCATGTGTGATATTGTACAGACTAACATTCTGTTTGGGATGTTCTCCGTGTTCCAAACTAATATTCTACAGTCACGTTACCTTAAAAGAGGCCTCTGTCAGTTTGAAGGAATGAAACCAGGAAGCAGAGTAAGGGTGGAGGCAGACTGGAGACAGGGCTTCGTATTACTCCACCCTCCCTGCAGGCTCTCACCCCACCCCTCTGCAATGCCAGTGCATGGATTGTTCAGCAAACTGGCAACCATTCTTTTGGACAATCTGTGTGCTAGCCCTATGGGTCACCTGTGTGCAGGCATGAATTTTCACTGTAGTGAATAACCCTGAAATTCTCTTCGGAATCCAACAATGCACCCACAAACAAATTGCTAGTTCGGGGTCATTCACGAACAAGGAATTTGTAGAGAACTGGAACTAAGCTGAAGTCTTGGGCGTCACGGAGGGTGAGCCTCGCCACCACTGGTAGTCTGTTAAATGCACAGATTAAACCGTAGCCAGTCCAAAGCTCTCGCTCTGCGCTAGCTAATGACGTGGCAGGATATGGAGTTATACCTCTGGCAGCAAAGAGCTTTAACTAGTAATGTGCAGTGTTTCAGACATCAAGCACCATAACCACTTCAAATCACTTCAGTAGTCGTGGTGGTTGGCGTTACCCTTTAATACAATATAAATTTAAATTCCAGGCTGGCTGTTTAATCCTAAACTTGCAATTCACTAGGAATTCCTGACCGTTAACACTTTACAGGGTGGGATCTAGCAATACACCTATGCCAAAACTAACCAGAGACCTAGTAGTTAAATTGATTTCAAACTGGTAAAACTTCAAAGACTTTTCGAATCATACAAACTATTGGCCCACTTTTTTTCAATTTACTGTATTAAACATTAACAGATTAGGTCTATTGTGGATACAAGACCAATTTATTTTGCCGTCACTCAAGTTGTGCTGGCAACACTGGAGATTCCAACAAATCCTATTGCCTGGCTGCCAATACAAAGGGGGTTTAAATTCCCCATGTTACAGCAAAGTAAATATTGCTTCATACATCCAGCTGCAGTGACTTGTTTTAAATAGAACAAAAAAACTCAATATAATAAAAAGGCACGGAGCTACCCTACTTAATACGGGCATCTGCCCCCCTGGAAATTATTTCCAAAGTGCCAAGAAATTCTTCAGCAAGTATTGTAACAAAATGAGTTTGACGCATAGGAACAGTGTGTGTTGAGGGTCCTGCTCAAATTTTATAACATGACAGGAGGCTTCATATTTTGCATCAACTTTCTTTACTAGCTCCATAGCAGCAAAGAAAAAACTGTTAAAAGAAAGAACCAATCAGAGTGAAACAGAGAATATATAAGTCCAAGCATAGCCAATCATTTCCTCTTTCTTTGCTGCTCCATCACAAGTCAGGTCAGAGTACTACTGTCACATATTCATCCGCTTATAGAAATGTGGTTAATGACATTTACTGTCCACACAGGAAAATTTGTGCCGAGCAGCAACCTAATCCACAGAAGGGTTAATGCTGAGCAGTAATTGTGCAAATGAAACCTGGTGTCATGTATTCATCCGCTTAGAGAAAAGTGGTTAATGACATTTACTGTCCACACAGGAAAAGTTGTGCCGAGCAGCAACCTAATCCACAGAAGGGTTAATGTTGAGCATCAATTATGCAAATGAAACCTGGTAACTGACTTTGGGGTCAAAGGCCGGTTACAGCCTATCAGAACTAAAGGAGGGGTATTTAGGCCCAGTTCCCACCCCTCCCCCTCGTGGCTACGTTCGCCACTTCTTATATCTGTTGCCCACACTGTTCACACAAGCTACTGTGTGAACAGACCAGGGCAACTTGGGAGGCAGCGCTCACGACTTTTCCATAAGCCCGGAGGGCTGCTTTTTTCAAACCGCCCTCCCTGCGCTGTCTCTCCTCCGTTCGTGCGTTACCGGAGGTTTCCCTGGCAACCCTGTACACAGTGTTCGGTACGTGAACAGGGGAGACATTGAGTGATCAGCCAGCTCTATGTACTTGCGTTCGGCTGTTTGTTCAACAGACAAACATGCCGAACGCAATCATACTTACACTGCACCCCACTAATTTTTTCGCGGGCTTTTAAAGTGACAGGGCTTGCGAGACTCACTGCAGGCTTTTCCACCGTAACCACAACACCAACACCAACAAGATGGCCACCGCAAGTGAACGCTCCTGTTCTGACAAAATTATTATAAACGTGAGTGTTACGTTTTTTGTATTAAAGGGACCTGTGCATTTGGGCAAATTAACCCTTAGGGAGTGGGACTGCAAGTCAGTTGTAAACGAGTATTCTGGTAAGGGGTGAGCCCCCATATGAGTGCTGCCTACTGGAATTTGCTATAGCAATTCAGTCTTCCCTGGGTGAGCCCCAGTGAGAGTCTGCTTTACACGCTATTAAGCGTTATATACTACACGGCCGACTGCCTCTCCCACACCTCTCAAACCTGTGCCTGTCAGCCACCTCATACGATGGAAAAGGAGACACAGATTTCCACTGATCAAATGCAGGCTATGATCAACACGGCTGTAGCCGCATCGCTAGAGAAAGCCATGGCAATGGTGCTCCCAGCGGCCCCCGACACCCTCAAGCTGACTGGCAAATCAGACGACGACTCCCAAGAGAGACAGCGCCCGGGGAAACGCCACTGGAAGGGCAAGGGGTCTCGGAAGGCCTCTAAAAAGGGCAAAGCGCCCTTCAAGCATAACACGCACCCGCACCTCCAGCAATCCCCGAAGACGCCTCCTCGGATGAGGAAGAAGAGATGCCCCACTCCCTTTCTATCCTGGATGAGTGGCAGGCAGAGACCTCGGATTCGGATGACGGCGATTGGGGATCCAATGCCTACGTCACAGAGACTTTCCTGGGTGAGCCCCAGATGAAAGGGGTTGCAGAGTCTTCCATGACAACTGCTACCCAGGAGCAGGAGACCTTCATGGATACCACAGGACAACGCATGTTTGATCCCAGAAATATACGCCATCCCCGCTCTGGTGAATGGGCTCCACCCGACCACCTCGTGAAATTTTATGCATTTCTGGATCCGAAAACCGCTAGAGAAGCACGTCCGTAAGAGGATGCGGGCAGAGTGCCCTCGACCTTCCCTGCCAGACAGTGACGTTTACGCCAGAGTTCGATCAGCTCATGCTGACGTTTATGGAGAGAGGTGGTCGCGATCCACGCAGGGGGATCGAACGGAGCTTTAAAGGGGCGCAAGACAAGCTCCTTGATGCAATGGGGCCACTAGCCCAAATGATGTATCTGGCGGATGACGCCTACACTAGAGTGGACTCTTTTACCGTGGACATGGTGCACAATTGGGCACATGATATAAGAGAATGGACGTATTTGCGGCCCTCTCTCGAGGCCATTCACCTCCGACAACTGGCACGGATAGTGGGTCTTCTATCCTCCTCCATCCAGGCCATATTTCTGGGACCCCTACACTACCGAGCCATGCAGAGGTTGAAAGCCCGCTTCCTCAGAAAAAATCCCACATACAACCAATCGGTTCCTCTGACGAACGAGGTACGCCAGGAACTCGATTGGTGGCTCAACTGCATGCAGGACTTCATTCTAGAATCGGATGCGAGCCGATGGGGATGGGACGCCACAGATGGGACAGCATCCACAGGTGGTACCTGGACGAATCAGGAACTCACCATGCACATCAATTGTCTGGTACGATTAGCTGGATCCTTCGCCATTCGAAGCCTGGCAAAAGGGCATTCCAATTGCTGCATCCTACTGCGGATGGACAATATTTCCGCAGTACGTTACATCAACCACCTGGGAGGGACTCGCTCCCAAACACTGGCCAATTTGACTAAAGAGATCTTCGACTATTGCCTCCCGCGCAACATCTCAATCAAGGCCAAACACCTACCAGGGGAATCGAACCTCACCGCAGATTGGTATTCAATTCATTGGAGGGATGCCAGCGATTGGCAATTGAACACGCAGACATTCGCCCACTTGAACGAAAGGAGAGGACCATTCCCCCTCGACCTCTTCGCAGCACGCAGCAATCATCAACTACCAAGATTTTACAGCTGGCTCCCGGACCCGGAAAGCGTGGCGGTGGATGCGTTCACCCAACACTGGCCCAGACAAGGAGCGGATGCCTTTCCTCCATTCGCAATGATTGCGAGTGTACTTCACCACATCCGACGACGAGAAGTAACGCTAATGCTACTGACACCACTATGGCAGAGTCAGCCCTGGTTCCCCGACCTTCTCGAACTATTGTGTGATGATCCACTCCTCCTGCTGAGCGACCCATATCTACTCCGGGACCCAGTAGGCAACCCACATCCCATGCTTCTGGACGGCTGACTACCTCTGGTAGCCTTGACTCTTTCAGGGGCGCATGGGACACCCACGAACTATCGGCTAAAGCTAAGGACCTCCTGTGGGATTCATGGGCCCCGGGAACTAGAAGAAGTTACCTATCTGCATGGAGAACTTGGACCAATTGGTGCGTGGGACGGAATTTGGATCCCTTTACGGCTCCTGTGTCTGAGATAATGAATTTCCTCTCTTCCATCTTCGAAGAAGGTAAATCGTATCGCACCATCAACGTCATCAGGTCGGCTATATCAGCATCCCACATTCTATCCCAAGGGAGAGCAATCGGCCAAGATCCTCTGATTTGCCGATTACTACGGGGGATTAAAATAAGCACCTAAATATCAACATCTCTGGAATGTGGAAATGGTACTTAGATTCCTGAAGGAATGGCCTCAAAATGAACACCTATCCTTAAAACAACTGACAGCGAAATTCACCTTCTTACTCAGCCTAGTCTCATTTCGTCGAGTCTCAGACATACGGGCGTTCGATTTGGATGCCTTTAATATCGGCCCGGAAGGGGTCACATTCCAAATCTCTCGAAGAACCAAAACCGATTCGACATCAATTTTCTACCCGTTCTTCACATTAGAACCCCAACTATGTGTAGTTAAGGCTTTGAGAGCATATATGGTGGCAACGGAGACACTACGTCGGCCAAACTCCCGACAACTACTGATATCATATGTTAACCCTCACGGTCCAGTCTCGACCACTACATTATCCAGATGGATTAGATGGCTCCTCACCCTGGCGGTGGTGGTCCCGTCCTTTGGCGCTCACTCTGTGAGAGGAGCAACGGAGTCGTCAGCCTTT